AGAGAGTGAGTGTGAGTGAGAGTGAGTGAGTGAGTGAGTGAGTGAGGGAGTTAGTGAGTGAGGAGTGAGAGTGAGAGTGAGAAGTGAGTGAGAGAGTGAGAGAGTGAATGAGTGAAGAAGGGAGGGAGGAGTGAGTGAGTGAGTGAGTGAGTGAGTGAGGGAGTGAGTGAGTGAGTGAGGAGTGAGGGAGTGAGAAGTGAGGAGTGAGTGAGAGTGAGTGAAGAGTGAATGAGTGAGAGAGTGAGTGAGAGAGTGATGAGGAGAGGAGAAAGTGAGTGAGTGAGGGAGGGAGTGAGAAAGTGAGGAGTGAGAGAGTGAGTGAGGGAGTGAGTGAGAGTGATGAGTGAGTGAGGAGGGAGGAGGAGGGAGTGAGTGAGAGTGAGTGAGAAAGTGAGGAGTGAGTGAGTGAGTGAGAGTGAGTGAGGAGGGAGTGCGTGAGAGTGAGTGAGTGAGTGATGAGAGTGAGGAGAGAGTGAGGTGAGTGAGAGTGTGAGTGAGTGAGTGTGAGTGAGTGATGAGTGAGTGAGTGAGTGAGTGAGTGAGTGAGTGAGGGAGTGAGAGTGAGAGAGTGAGTGAGTGAGGGAGGGAGTGAGAGAGTGAGTGTGAGTGAATGAGTGAGTGAGTGAGTGAGTGAGTGAGTGAGGAGTTAGTGAGTGAGGGAGTGAGAGTGAGAGTGAGAGCGTGAGTGAGTGAGGGAGTGAGTGAGGAGTGAGTGAGTGAGAGTGAGTGAGTGAGTGAGTGAGTGAGTAGTGAGAGTGAGAGTTGAGAGTGAGAGTGAAAGTGAGGGAGTGAGTGAGGGAGGAGTGAGAAAGTGAGGAGTGAGTGAGAGTGAGTGAGGGAGTAGTGAGAGAGTGAATGAGTGAGGGAGGGAGGGAGAGAGTGAGCGAGTGAGGGAGGAGTGAGAAAGTGAGTGAATGAGTGAGGAGGGAGAAGTGAGCGAGTGAGGAGGGAGTGAGAAAGTTGAGGGAGTGAGTGAGAGTGATGAGTGAGTGAGTGAGTGAGAGTGAGGAGTGAGTGAGATGAGAGTGAGAGTATTGGGAGTGAGTGAGTGAGTGAGTGAGGGAGTGAGGAGTGAGATGAGAGTGAGTTAGTGAGTGAGTGATGAGTGAGTGAGGGAGTGAGGGAGTGAGAGTGAGTTAGTTAGTGAGTGATGAGTGAAGTGAGAGTGAGTGAGGGAGTGAGAGTGAGTGATGTGAGTGGAGTGAGGGAGTGAGAGTGAGTAGTTAGTGTGAGTGAGTGAGTGAGTGAGTGAGAGTGAGAGAGTGAGTGAGTGAGTGAGTGAGGGAGTGAGGGAGTGAGAGTGAGTTAGTGAGTGAGTGAGTGAGTGAGTGATGAGTGAGGGAGTGAGGGAGTGAGAGTGAGTGAGTGAGTGAGTGAGTGAGTGAGGGAGGGAGTGAGCGAGTGAGTGAGTGAGAGAGTGAGTGAGTGAGTGAGGGAGTGAGAAAGTGAGTGAGTGTCATGATAACAGTTTACAAACAACAAGTTAAGAGAGAAGAATTATTTACGATGTGCAAATTGATTTTCTAATAAAATGCAGAATCTTGATCACAGATTACAAATCAGAAACTCGGGTCGTCTCGTGTATTTTATCAACCTGCTGTAGGGGTTAGGGTTAGGAGCAGAGTTATTTAATATTTCAAAGGGGTGCTATGTAGCCATTTTGCAGAAATCCTGCGACCTAAAATATTTCCACAGGTGTTCAAATTCGGGTCAAAGTCCCCAAATATGAGATTTATTGGGGAATAAAATTATACAGTTGGTTATAATAATAATCCCTTGCATTACAATAAGGCCCTCACACCACTTTCACTGCTAGGACCCCAATAAGACAAACTGAGAAAGAAAAGGTATAATTACATCTTTCAAATAATGGAAGGCCATTCTGAAATAACTGTTAACAGATTCCTTTGAGTGATGTATCTCTGCTCTCTCCTTTGCACAGTCGTCACTGGTGCAACATCAGGGATTGGTAAAGCTTATTCCAATGAGGTGAGTACTTAACCTCCATGTAGTAACTCTCTTTATGATTCAAATGTTACGTTTCTAGCGTGAAACATTTGATACTTTCAAGGTCTGAGTGTTTTATCTCGGTGCTTGGTGTTGTTGGTTAAAACTGTCCACATTGTTTCACATCTTTCAGCTGGCACAACGAGGCCTGGATGTTGTTTTGGTGAGCAGATCTTCTGATAAGCTTCAAGCCATCGCAAATGAGATAGGTGAGCTAAATCAAAACACTAAGTTAACACTTTGTATTTTTATGTTAAAAACTGGAGAAAATACATGACGTTTGTGTTTCTCTTTTAGAGGAAAAGTATGAAAGAAAGACTCGCTGCATCCAAGTGGACTTCACAGACGGCCCCAGTATCTACCCTACTATAGGGAAAGAACTACATGGATTGGAGATTGGAATTCTGGGTAATAAAACCACCAAATACAGCGCAGAGTAAAGCAGTAGATATTTTTATCACATGAAGCATAACTTAGTTTTTGTTTTGTGTTAAGCTAACAGTGTCCTGGCTGTAGCCTACCTTCATGTGTATTGTAAAGGCTGAGCTGTATTTATTTATTGCCAATTGCAAGGTTGATTAAATCTATTCATCTTCATCATACAGTTTAAAGTCAGCGGGTAATTCCCCAAGCAAATTCTGTTTTAAGTGTCCAGAAGTCAAAATACAAATATGGAAGGAAAAAGCCACAAAAGGCTGCAGTATCATTACACTAAATGTTAACGGGTTACAAAATCCAAGAAGAGAAAAACCAACGTGTAATATTCAGGAAACTCCTCTGATGAACATGAAAAACTTGAAAAAGATTTAAAGACACATTTTGCTCATCCTCTGCAAAGGGACACGCGAGGGGAATTAGTTTATTGATTTCAAACAAGCTGACTCTCCAACTATCAACTCAGTCTACTGATAAGGAAAAACGTGATGTCCAGGTTAAAAGGATTCTCCACTCCAGGGAAAAGGTCTGATCTGACTCAATGTTGACTTTAAAAACAAACAAACAGGGCAGGATCATTTTCAAGGAATATATATTTCAGCCCACCCTCAATTCCACTTATCCAACCAAAGCATAATCACCTTCAGGCAGTTTATGTAGGGGCATTGGTAAGGTCTAATCAACTAACTGAGGAACTAAATATTTACAAAATGACTCTGATTAAAGATTAAATTCACACAGAAGCAGCCAAAATGCCAAAAAAAACTTCAAAATAAAGGATGAGGAAATGATAGAGTTTAAGGTAAAGGCTTACGATATATGATTAATAACGGAGCGTCTTGTTTGCGTCTTTGTAACCCACACAGTTAACAATGTAGGAATGATGTATTCTGAAACTTGTGAGTATTTCCTGGATGCCCCGGATGCTGAACAGGTAAGTTTAGCATTTAAAAGTCATTTTCTGAATAATAAATGATTAAATTCACAATTCAGATGTTTTCACATTTTCTCTCTTGTGTTCAATCTGACCAGAAAATCACTGATGTCATCAACTGTAACGTGCTGTCTGTCCCTCATGTAAGATATATTCATGTGATTGTTCTGTACTTACGTTGTGTTTTCTGTTTTTCCACTGCATTATAAAAAACACATTTTTTTTATTTTGCACACAGATGACTCGACTGGTTCTTCCGGGCATGGTTGAAAGGTATTGCCATAAACGTAAATAATAGAAATCTTGTAAATGTAGGACTGCATTCATGAACGTTTCTCTGCTTCCCAGGGGAAAAGGCCTGATCATCAATATGTCCTCTTTAGCGGGCCGCCGCCCACATCCTTTGGTGTCTCTTTATTGTTCTTCTAAGGTACTCTCATCCATTTGCACATGATAATTCTAATCAGAGCAGATCACATACATTCCCAAATCAGTGCACACCAAGACACTCACCCACTGGTCTGGTCTTTCTTCTCTTTTCAGAGTTTCGTTTCATTTTTCTCTGAGTGTCTGCATGCTGAGTACAAGTCAAAAGGAATCATTGTTCAGGTGAGAATGAGAAACTCTTTGATAGATGTAGGCTCAGTCACATGAACTCCATCCATCCATCGAACAGCATGAAGAAGAAATATGTTTAGAATGAAAAGATTTACATTTGTTTAATTTAACCTTTATTTAGCCTGGTGGCAGAAAAGGGCTTGCTAGTGGAAAATTAAAGCACAGTGAATTTGTATTAATATATTGTGCATTTATCCCGTTTTTTTTTTTTTTTTAACTTGGTTATTCTTAGAATCTGCCAAATTACATGGAGCAAACATACTCATCTGACACAACGTATAGCCTAGATTCAATGCCTGCCCTCCTGCTTTTTTTATCAATAGTGGGGCTGAATAGACTAATATCTTCAGTGGCTAATATCCGTACCTCATATAACCCAAGTTAAAAAATACAAAACAATCCCTTTAGACTAGATTTCATTCAACTCACCTGTTATTTATGTTTATTTGTTTAGAAAAGTTGCAATAAAAACAGGAGCCTACACTGTTGAAAAATGAAGCCAATGTAGAAGTGCAAAAAAGACTGCAGTTCCTTGAGTGTCCACTTGAGGCCAAAAGCTTCAGAAATCACATTCAATCCCATTTTAAAAAAGCCCTTTATTACAACAGACAAATGCTTACCTTGTACAAACTACAGTTGGATAGCTGATGTCTTCTTTGGTAAACACATAGATGTTTTTTATAACCCACAAACATATAATGTTTTCCAGGAGGCACCAGGCCTGCCTCTTTCTTTTTGCCTGTGTCAAGCTTGAATGAAAGTTAGTTTGAGAACATTATCAACATGGCAACCGCCATCTTTGGGCTTCAAAATTCCACTTCAGAAACCATTGAATGACAACACTGAGACTACATCCATATTTTATACAGTCACTTCTTTTTGGTTTAATTTAATTTCTGACTTAAATCTTGTTTTAAGCCACATTTTAATGAATGTTAATGCAGGCCAACATATTGAAGGCATTTTCCACAAACAAAATCTCTCTGAAATTATTATCCAGTAGTTTGGTTAGACACTTTTCAATACACTAATATTGACCTTAGTGCTGATGCCTGGTTTCTAGGTTGATATTCTAAGGACTATGATTGTGACCATATTGAAGTTACAGTTTTTATCATATTCACCAACCTGATCACAGTAAATCTTTCCCCAGTGTGTGGCCCCCTTTCTGGTGTCTTCCAACATGATTCAAAATATTAAGAACAACTACTTTGTGAGGAGCGCTCCAGTGTTCGCCCGGGAAGGCCTTGGACACTGTGGGTCACTCCAGCTACACCACCGGCTGCCTGTCCCACACGCTGCAGGTCAGGGGAAAGACAGATAACAGACTGTGACCACGTTCAGTCATTTAAATACTGCTTTATCCCAACACCTCTGCTTCTCTTTCCCATCACTCTACAGAGCATGGCCCTCACAGTGCTCCTACCCGACTGGCTCCGTATGTCATCGTTCTTTGTCCGAAAGCAACACGACTTCTTGAAAGTCCGAAACAAAAAGAACGCCAAAAAATCAGACACTCAGTGAAAAGGAAGGAGACAGAGATGTGCCTGCAGCTACGAAGAGGATTCAGACAACTAAATGCAAGAAAGATTTATTTGTAGTTTTTTGTATTTCAGGAAACATAAACATATCCCAAAAAAGGAAATATAGAAGCCTGTTTGTACACCACTACCCTTGGTAGTGGGTACTTGACACCAGAGAGGTGAGACAATTTTTTTAATTTACAAAAACAAAAAGAGTAAAATTAGGTTAAATAATTTAATAAGAGAGGATAAATAAATAAAATAAATATTAAATAAAATGTATGACGACAAAGGGGTTAAGATTGTCCAGAAAAGGACCCCTTACTGAGCAGACACTAAAACACCAAAGAATGGAAATTGGTCTGGGTGCTGGAGAGTTGCCAGTTTACTTTCTGAGTACTGCAGAGGTGCATTTGAGCAAGTAACAGAAACCCAGACTGCTCGGCGCGTCCCCCTTTATGCAGCCCCCCCCTCATTCTGACACCTCTATCACTGCATGTCCATGTTTGTGCACGAGTGTATTTCAGATCTATGTGAGTAACACGACGCTCAGTGATAGAGAGTAAACTTGAACTTCTCCTTGGCAATAAATAAAGTAAAGAAAAGAAAATATACCATAAAAACCTTAAGTTAACCTGAGAGACTGGCCCGGTCCTCCAAGGTGCTGCAGAACCCACCAGCGACCTGCAAGAAGACAAACACAGAACAACAAGAGGAAGAAAAAAAATTCCCCAAATTGAGTTTTTTGTTTGTTTTCTAAAGGGCCCCACATGGGCCCCACATGGGAAAAGTGATATTCAGTAGATTATGAATAGATGGACTACACACAGCACACATATTTACTCCTTTGACAAACAGCCGTTTATTATGTACATCTTCAGTAACAAATGTCCGTCCTTTAAGGCTCTCTCATTGTGGAACGTGCCAAAGCGGCAGATTGCTTTCTTAGCAACTATTTGTGTTTTTATTAAAAGTCCAAGTGAAACATGACAAGTAGGCGGTACAATATTTGGTGCATTTTTTTGTATGTATAGTGAATTAATTGAGTAAAACAAGCTCTGGCATCGTTCTTCATTTGGTCTGAATCATCATTGGTCAAAGTCCTGACTGAGGCTTTTACAGTAACCACGACTACACCTCTTATCTGATGTATTATAGACAATCTGCGTTATTATGTGCATTATAGACAATCTGCGTTATTATGTGCATTATAGACAGTCTGCATTATTATTCACAAATGTTTGTTTTCTTAAGTTAGGACATACAACAGTGTTTATTATTTTGAGCTCAGGTGAACTAAACTGAAGAGCTTACACGTGAACAGGACGAGTGTTTGCACAGGTGCTTCAAAACTAAAATCAGTAATTAATACAGTAAATGTCTTTGCATCATTGGTCCTGCAGACACCAGCAGAAGTGTGAACATGTAGAAGCAAGCAGAAAATAAACCCTAGGAGTTTAAAAAAAAAAAAAACGATTACCGGTAACACTACTTCATTGAGAAAGTGAACCAGGTCAGACGCTCTCACGGTAAGTAACATAAACTCTACAAATTCATAATTTCATCCCTGCAATTATATACAGACAACTCTATATGTCATCATCTGTAATGCTCAAACAAATTATTTTTGTTCGAAAGTCTTTGACACATTACTGTCTTGTGTTTAAGGACAGTACTACAGTTAATGACAACAAAATATTATATTTACTAAAATCAGGCAGACACACCCAGTTTCTTGGCTTCATCGCAAAGCCATTTCAAGTATTTGAAACTATCCTCACTGAGCGCAAAAAGTGGGAAGTGTTGTCGAGTGGTGTGACGTTTAAAATGCATTCAAGTGTGGTCCTTTCCTGCGCTTCTGTAAAACTACCCCCAACCTCCGAGTTTCATTCAGTTTTGTGTCAATTTTAAGAGTTCTTATAGTGCTAAAATAAGTGGACAGATAAGCTGCTGCTTCATGTACATTATCGAATGATGAGAAGTGATGACGGCTCATGCTCACAGTCCTGTGTATGTGACCGGGGTGACGCCGTGGATCAGCAGCGTTGGCCCCAGGTTATTAGTGACTGCTTCCAAGTGAGCCAAATACTGCTGCGAGTGGCCGCGCTGAGCAGGAGGCCGAGGCAGATACAGGAAGCGGACGGCGGCCTGTGAGCTGTGCTCCAGCAGCATGCAGTTCACCGCGGACAGGAAGTCCTCCGACAGAACGTGTTTCGGTTCTTCAACCGGCTCGATGTGGTGCTGCACCACAGTGTCCCACGGCACGATCTTTATCGACGCCCTGATCCTCAGCTTCCTCAGCAGCTCTCTGAACGCCTCCTCATTCACCACCCAGCCCTGGTCGTTGGACTCGGTCTCCACGTTCAGGAAGATTCTCATCCTCGCGCGGCGCCACTTGTGAGACATGTTGAGCACGCAGGCCATCTGCAGCAGGAAGAGGCTGCACACGTCCTCGTAATCACGGCTGCCCGGCTGGAGCAGGTTGAGAGGCCACACGTCGATAGTCCGCTCCGAGCCATCTACCTTACTATCTTTATCCTCTCCCTCCAACTGGAAGAAATAGCGGGCAAGGCACGCATTCTTGCCCATTTTTAAGGCGTCAGAGATGATCCCTACGTACTCCTCGGGCGACAGCGAGCGCGGGCTCTCAACGTGTCGGACCGGGGGGAAGTGGGCTTGCAAAGACGGCAGGTCGACCCCGAAATTATACTCGCCCTCGCTCCCTTGTCCCATGGAAGAGTTACAGAAGGCCGTGTCCTGCAGGAAGAAGTCGTCTGGAGTGCAGCTGTCATAGAAACCCAAAATCAGGGTGTTGGGCTTCATGCCACCTTTGGGAAATAAAAACAAAAACTTTTTGCTCAAAAGTCACGAGGTAGCAAGAAAGCCGCATCATGATGAGAAAGAGAAATGAGAGCTTACCGAGGCCTGTGATTCGCAGCAGATGCTGTGTTCCCTGTCTGACAGAAGGGGACAGTGAGAGGTCCACAAAGGCCTTCACATCCAGTTTATCAACCAGGCTCAACCAGAAGTTGTACTGCTGCTGGACCGGGTCTGTAGGCACGGTGTCTACAAGACAGGGGAAAGCAGAGGTTGAGAACATGCTGAGAATACAAAGAGAAAGCAAGTTGTGAGTGGAGGAACATTTAGTGGAAATGTCAAACCAAAGCAGTTCAGGTGAAGAAGAAAACAACAAAGCTTCCTGAATTGAAATGATAAGTTGAAAATAAAAACAAAATGGATACACTCAAGTTGAGTACTAGCATTTCCAATTTGTACTGCAGGTATAGAAGTAGACATTGCGATGCATCACAATGGACACCAGGGGGCATAAAGAGAATCTGTGACTAAGTGACTAATAAAATAAATATCCAGCAAACACTGTTTGTATATCCAAAGGGTGCATCATACTGAATATGTTTACAAAGTAAACATGTGAGGCGCTAGACATCTGTCTGGTTCAAACTCTCAGGCCCGGTGCTTCAACGAAAACTTACTCTTTCATTAATAATGCAAGAAAGGCAGCAGATGGAAAGTGAAAGCCCAGGAGGCAGCCTTCCATGAGGGCGCCCACAGACTTTAGGTAGTCTGAGCAGAGCTGGTTTAGATCATCAGTGGTATGCAAACTACTTTATTATGTCCTGTGTGTATTGATAATGTGACGGCATGCTTTTTGATTCAGGACAAATATAATGGATATTGGACATCAAAACCGTTTCTCCTTTATTCTTTAGGGTGTTTTGTAGCTTTTTACAGATGCTTTTTCTGTCCTTTGATTGTGAAAGCCTGAGGGAGACAGGAAATGTGGAAAGAGTGTGGGTGGCTTGAACATGTAAAAACAGATTTTAGGATTTAACTGGTGCTGCTGTAAGTATGACTTTAAGACTCAATGCCAACTATATACCAAGAGCTCCATCGGGGTTCCCCATTTGAGTTTTTTTCATCCATCATTTTTTGCTGGAAATATCCTTCATGGAACAAAATCTAATTTCTGGGCAACTTATTTGCTTCCATAACTTAAGTCTAACATTTACACCGCGTGAAAGGCACCTTAAACATTTTCAAGCTAATTTAGCTTTGACCTTAACCCAGTGACGTCACCACTCATCACCGGCCATCAATTGAATCTGAGTCTCTATGTTAGTGGAGGGACTCAGACAAAGAATGAAAATCATGAAGTTTATTTATGAAAAAAAAAATAGAGAGAATTTTGTCACCTCACCTCAACTGCACTCACCTTCCCACCCTGTAGTTTGCTGAAGGATGGAATTATGAATTACCAAATGAAAAACTATAACAGGGTCACTACTGTTTCATCACCAGCTGAATCAGACTGAATAATTACATTACAGAGTTGAAGGACTATTTCAAAAACCTTCCACAACTGCCTCCAAAACCGCCTCAAACACAACGTCTAATCCGACGTCAACACAAAAGAGGGATTCATTTTTTGTTTTTCCAATAAGAGATCCACTATGAAAAATGTGCCATTTTACCGAACGCGCACAGAGAGACAGCTGTCTAAGATAAACAACTCCTCTGCAGCCGAGGGTGATTCTGTATGTGAAAGGTCATAAACGTCCATACTGGAATAACTTTCTTTCAATAGCAACTGTTTCAAGGAAACATCAAAGCCTTAAACGAATCCCTCCATTGTGTTGAAACGTGTTTAGGCTGTTTTGGAAAGTTTGAGAAATAAGATTACAAATATGAAATGCATTTAATGATTTAATCTGAAACAGTGATGAAACAGTAGTTACCTTATTACAGTTTTTATTTGGAAATGTATTATTCCTTATTTCAGAGTGTGCAATACAGCTAGGTAAACATCAATAATCCTATTTCTCTCAGCTTAAATCTAGCTCTAAAGTGAAGTTTATGCAGGAAGTTGATAATTTTTTAAAACTAGTTTATTTTGTGTTTCTTTTGAATGCTTAAAAATTCACAAATATGCAGGAAGTAAAGAGGCTCAAATCTGCCCAAGCCCCGCCACCCTAACATTACAGGCTGAAGGGGTGAAATGTGAATCAGGTTGGAAAATGATTCAAAGATAAAAAAAAAAAAACATAATTTAATAATGTAAACTGCACATGGCCATCGCAGGCCATCCACAGTAAATTACCCAGATCTCCCAGCTGCACGTGGCCCAACACGAACAGTCCTCCCTTCTTCAGCTGGTTGACAAACAGGATGAGCTGACAGGAAGAGCGAGGGTTGGCCACCATTAACAGCACCTGCGGCCTCCAGAACTTCACGTGGTCTTTCCTCACGTCCAGCATCAACAGATACTTGCGCACCTGAAGAAAACAGAAGACAGACTTTACAGCGGACCGCAGCATATTGTCTGTTTAGATCTTTATCGAACAGGAGATGTCGATACCTGATGGAAAATGAGAGCCTGGCTGATGTAGCCCCAGCTGCTGGTGGGTGATCTGTAGTGGAGGAAAAGCAGCAGCACCAGCAGGAGGACTATGCTGCCCGAGGAATAAACGGGGTTGATGACGAACATCATCACCAAACAGCTCAGGATCCCCAGAAGGCAAGTGTGCCAGGAGAAGACTTGGAAGGTCGGTCTGTTGAATACAAAGAAACAAAAATAATAAAGCGGCCACATTTCAAATTCAGATATCACTTTTACTGTCTTGAAGAAAATAAAAGAAAGATCAAATTAAGTGTAAAAAGGCTGTGAAAAATAAGGATGTTTGGAACTTGTGCTAAACTTTTGGCTTTCAAATTCTTCATTTTGAGCCCGCAATCAGCGAAAGAAAATACCTTAAGCTACTCCACTTTTTTCAGCTTTTCTCGAATCACTGAGCAATTCAAGTTTTTTTTTCCCCCTGCACCCTAAGCCCGAGCACATGACATCACTTAACGATTGAAATAGGAGTAAATGGCAGGCAATCCCAGTGACACTTTGACTCAGAATTAAGGATTTTTATCCGTAAATTTCCTTTTGAACATTTGGCTCACCTGTCTGATTAGTTTAAGGGGTTTTGGATGTTGCATCACCAGTATGCTGGTCAAACAAGTGAGTGAGATAGCTGCACACTTATTTCCTTATAAAGTGACTAATCTTCACCTGAAATTTGGTGCAGATGCCCATTCCAGAGCCAAACAGGCCAGGTCGACGGCAGCGTAGGCAAGCAAGTAAAAAACAGTCACCAAGGCTGCTACCGAGTTGAGCTCGCCTGCGAACACTACACACTGAAACACAAACACAAACACAACACAAACCTCAGGACACTGCTTGTAATAATATATGATCTGCAGTCTGCAGAAAATATCCTCACTTGTGCCAGACCCCAGGTGTACAGCACAGCCACCCATGGGTTCCCCGAGCTTGATGTGATGGCGGCAGGCGCTAACGGCAAACCTGCGAGGAAACCAAAAGTCACTTAGGAAATGCCACTTTATTAGAGAATCCACTGTTGGATAAAAAAAACGTCTGTCCTTACCGAACAGGTGATCCACAGCGAGTGCATGAAGGATACGGGACGCTCCGATTAAAGAACACATGGCAGCTGACAGTGAAGCGCAGTATATCCCGATGGTGACTAATGGTGGCCAGACGTTTATTTTCTGCAAGAACCCATAATCCTGAATCAACAGGGTCCTGAAGGAAAAGAAAAAAAAATCACAACCAATTAGGGATCTGTCTTTAGTTGGTTAAATCACACCACACCATAATGAACATCGTCTGACCTGTCACAGGTGGCGCTGACCATGAGGAGGAGGAGGACATAGACCGTGAATGTGTAAAACACTGCTGAGATGGTGCCTTTAGGGATGGCAACACTTGGATTCTTCAGCTCCCCTAAAAAGACAATAAATGTCAGTGTGCATGTTTGTCTGTTAAAACAATATTAAGATTTACTAAAGGTGGATAGGTGTATTTAAGAATATCCTGTTTGACATGTTATCCACATCAGAGCATGCACAATAACCAAAGGTAAAATTAAAAGGCAGTATGGAGAAATACTTTCAATTTAGAAGTCCTGATAAAAGATAAAAGACAACATGTATGATTAGCAAATTGTATTCAAATTATCAAAAGAAAAACACATCGCTTTTGTTGTATTAAAACAGTGTTGTGGACAACATGCTGAGCAATTTGATTGGAAGAGAGGCCATCCATGAGTGCTGATAAAGAGTACAACAGCTTTTTTGCCTTTGTTTTGAAAGGGCAGCTGTAGAGAGACAGGAAATATGGTGAGAAATGAAATGCAACAAATAGCATCGTCACCAGGAGTCGAACCTGCGACCAATGCAACGTGGACGTGTATCTTCTGTACATGGGACGCCCGCTCTACCAAATGAGCTAAATTAGCAGCCCAGCCTAGATTATTTAAGGTTTATTTTGGGACTTTATGCCTTTAATTAGAGATAAGACAATGGATTTAGTACACAATCGAGGAGAGAGAGAGTGGGGAATGATATGCGGGAAAGTAGTCACAGGTCGGTACATGAGGCACGCACACTCCCCACTACCGGCGCCTCCAGCACTCAAATTTTAGCTAAAAGTATCACTCAGCTTCAGGTGCTCTTTATATCCTTCATTGATGTTATAATAATTGTTACAGAAAGCTGTCTTTACCAGTACACAAAGAAAGCAGGAAAATGTTTGTGTGTTGTTGGGAAACAGTCCAGTCAAATGATTAAAGAAACAACTACGATATCATTTTTACTTTTTTGCTACTTGAAGCTGTAGCAAACCTAGTCTACTGTAAAGTAAGATTTGAGTAATTAACTCACAATTTGTATTTATATACATAATATCAATCAATGTACTTTTTCATTTTAAACTCGGGCAATGATAGATGTAAGACAACAAACTTGTACCTGACATGTTGGCTCCAGCCATTATCCCAGTGCAGCTGGTGAAAAAGACTGCAAACACGGTGGCAAAGGACATGACGGTGTTGGTGCTGTAGTCCAACGAGTAATCGGCTGCAAGTACAAAAAAAAAGACAGGAAGGACATCGAGGCCTTTAATAGATGCTCCTAAATTTAAACCCACTGTGTAGCTTTTTCTTGTGAAATCACTTTTATGACCTCCCTAACACAACCCCAGCTCACAGTGCCCCAACACTCACAGTTCAGGTTTCTTCTCAAAGTGGTAGAGCTGAAGCCTGTGAAGCTGGCGTTGAACTGGGTGGACTGGTTACCAGGTCCCGGATGGCTTATGATAAAATCGAACGGCTTGACCGCCACAGAACTGATGAAGATGGACAGCAAGGATGCAGTGACCACCAGCAGGATGACGAAAGCGGTACGGGAGTAGATGTGGGCGCCCACGAGACAAACAATCAGGCACAGCAGAAGGACTACTGATGAGTACAGCACCGTGTACCAGTAACCATGAGGGAGCACTCGGAACCCCTCACCCACATGTGTGTCTATTACAGAGGAAAAAAGGCAAGGAAATTGTTATAATTATCATAATAACTGAACTGAGAACTCTGTGAAGGAATGCTGAAGACATGATGGATAAGAGGCACAGAACAGAGCCTAAAACTTACCAGGATTTGTCCCAAAGACATCGAGGATGGCCTCAACAAGTCCAAGAACGTACTCTCCACATGCGCATACTTTGGCTAAGAAGAACATCAAACCAATGCTTCCTCCAAACTCCGGGCCCAGAGAGCGACTTATCATGTCTGGTTTCATTCCGTTAAGGGGGATGTTTTTAAGCCAAATTAATGGAATTGAATCGCATCGATTGGATACGACTCGGAGATGCTGACTCTTTTCCCCCAAAAACTGCAAACTCAGCTTGCAAACCACCCAGTGTCTCTGCTGGAGGCCAAAATGTGATGGAGCCAACAGAACTACGTCATCTAGAAAAAAAAAGCAGAGATGCAGTTCTGTTTTCCCCAAACTGGACTATCTCTTCTTCATGGCTTTGGCCTTGAGATCCTGTCCATGAAACTCACAAGCAGAATCAATGAAAGGGTTGCAATTGTGACTGACTTTGTGTCAAGGATGCGTACACAGATCTCGCTTTTGGTTATACGACAACTGGCTGGCACCCTGAAATAAACTTGCCTTCCCACTCTGAATCGTTTAAAGGTTTGGCAGAACTACCTTAAGGCCAAACATAGGAGTGGCTGCTGTTTCTTCAACCACAGAAGCTACACCCCTTGTAGCCCCCAGGTACCTGTCTGCTGCTTTTGGAGACCCCCCGTGTATACCAAGGCCAGAATGACCTCTGGCCACAATTCCCATCATTTGCTTCCACAATGAAGTCTTCAAACATGGCCCACTCGCATACAAGAAGGCGGCAGACCCCAGATAATGCAAAGAAATGGATGGATGGATCGGGTGGTGGATCATATAGTATCATACATGTACTATGGTTTCCTGCCTCTAAATACTTACTGGAATGTAGTATTGGTAATCCATGAGTACGGTTATAGCATAATCTGCAAAGCCCCACACATGAGCTAGTTGTTCCTCCATCAAGAAAGCCCAGTGTGGGATATCAGACATTGATGTGTATACCACTAAGTGAACGGATCCTGATACCATAGTGCCTTAGCTCCCACAAAAATCTACTCGTGTCAACATAGTACAATGTTACAAAACTGCATTGGAACATCTCTAACCGAGTTGCATTAAAAAACATTTTGAAATTTTGAGTAAGGATACAGTAGGCACCACCGCCCTGCACAGCACCATTGGTGGAAATGGCGCAGATGGACAGTATTGTAAGGGATATAATGGTGTAGGCTACAAACACCATTAAGAGTCCCTGTAACAGCCCCGCATGACCCACCACAAACCCTGCAAGAGAGAGATCACGTCTACGTTAGTCACAACTGTACCCCCAACACAATGACTCATTTATACTCCGACATACAAACACACACTGTCTGCAAAACCAAATCAGCTTTCTGGTTTTTTCTAATCTCTCCATTCATGTAGTGCTCACCCATTCTCAGAAACAGAATAATGCTGAACATGGAGAGGATGGTCGGCACCATCACGCCAAAAAAAGTGTCCAGTCGCCGGGGGTCGTTGGTGGGCGTGTCGGAGCCAGAGTCCGGGGAAGAGTCTGTCTTTGCGCCACATGCTGCTGCGGCAACGTCCAAACCGCAGACCCCTGAGGGGATCAGGGGGCTGCGTTCGTTCAACATGGCTGGTAAAGAGTCTGATTGCCCTGCGAGACACAAAACAAACGAGGACAGAAAGAGACATCTGACTAATCTCTACTGTAGAGCCAACAGTTCATTGGCAGTATAGAAGTCTGCATTTCAAAGGCTTTCATTGCCAGAGAAAGAGCTTTCCATCTTAAGCCCAACAGGAAAAATACATTGCTCAATTCACTTTTTTTTTCCACCAGACGTATTACGGTTAATAAATGAAAAACCTTGAAGGTAAAGGTTAAGACGTGCACCGCACAAAGTCCACTAATAAGTCCGTTTTTTTGCCCTTTTTGTGCTTTCTTTCACACTTTCCATTCTTTCAGAGACAAACCAGGTTCACTTATTGATGACATGTTTGTGTTAAGTTTTAAAGATGTTTTACTTTTCAAAGCTAATGTATTGTATCGAGACGTCACAAACTCTTGCTTTGGCCTTCTGTTTCAGTGAGTTCTCATTCTTTTACCCTCTCCTCACTGAAGATCATCATGCGCACAGTAGCACATGTCCTGCACTGCCATGTGAACGCCTGGAGCCTCACGTAAACACATTGTTTACTTCAAAGGGTTGTAAGGCTTCAGGGCATATACAAGTATTTGAATAAAAAAGGGGAATCTGAACATAGTTTGAGATTTGGACTCGATCAATGAATATGTGCAACCTTTTTCTTTCATCTCAAATTATTTCTGCTCCGTACAGGTATGAAGTAATACCAGTTCAGCAGCACTCAGGTTCAACACAAGCTTGTACTAAAGCGGGATTTGTGGCTGTGGAGGTAACTTTAGGATTAACTCTGGGTTTTCAGGACTCAGAGGTACAGTAGTTCACTTCTTACCGCGGTAGACTGCCAAGGTTACTTATGCAGAACACCTAACTTAGATATTTATGTTTGGAAAAGAGATCAGTTTGAAGGAAGAAATGCCCGCTCTACTGACCTGTAAGATGTCTGTGAGGGAAGAGACGGGCAAACACTTTCCACTTTAATTGACATAAATTAATTTTCAAAAAGTTGTATTTCTGCTCTACTGATATCATCCCACAACAATGACTGAAAGTTGTTGATCCTACAAGACTTAAGCTCATTATTAAATGTACTATCACAATTACTTTCACTTCCATATTTCTTTTATTAGTCCCTTACCGCTCTGTTTGTTACAGTCGGGCCTGCAGCTAAAATGTAACGCCTTTAACTGTCAGACACGCCCATCTTGTATATGTGCAACAAATTAATGAAGGGGAATAAACGGAAGATGTTAGTCACAGCTGTGTTGGTTTTTGTGTGTTTAAGTCTAACTTCCTCTTCTTCTAATATCAATGTTTGCTCATGTGCTGACGGCAGACTTGATCATGTCTGGAAATTGGTCGTATACGGCTACGACCGCCTCATTCATGTGAACGTGCACACACAAACTGTGGATTGATTTATAGAGTTGATAACCAGCCTCAGGAGTCGACGGCCTTTAACGGGGTTAGTGAAGCCAGGTAACCCAAAGATACTCTGGATCAGGTTGAACTTCAGCACAGGCCTTTAATTCTACAACAAGGGATAGCTCATCTGTTCTGTCACTTTTCCTACATTAAATCTCTTCTTTGCGTCCTATTACAACCACAATCAGTCTCGGTAAAACTCTACCACAAAGAGCCTGTGATTGAAGTTTGCATCTCTTCACACTGAAAGCCTCTGCTCACACCTCATGCTGGTATTTGCAGTCAGCTGATTCACAGCCGTGTGTCTGATTTTACACACAGCTTAAACCAAAGAGCAGACATTTCAGCCATCTGTGCGCTGTCTGTTTTCTGTCTCTCAGCTGCCGGTGGTCACCTTTGCTATTCTCTCACGGAATGAGGCGGTTTTCCATCAATGAGGCCATTAGGAGCTGCTTTAGATCAGCTACTGAGATCACATGATTCCCGACTGGCACATTTTACACAACAAAGCATGATCGCACATGACGGACATAAGCTCCTAATCACTGTATGGTTCACACCGTGTAACTTTTTTTTTTTTTTTTGGGGCTACAGCAGGTGTTTACATTAGTTTGACTGAAGATCAGAACCTTTGAATTGATAAATCATGTCACAGAATATTATTCATCATCAGTTTGATCATTCAATCCAATAATAAAAGCCACTTTTCAAGCTACTTTTTGCACAAACAGACTGGTGCCAGCTGCTCAGGATTTGGGATTTTTCTGCATCTCATATATGTAACTGAATATGTGGAGCTTTAAGTCAGAGAAACAATTTGAGACTTGCTTTACTAAGAATGATTATAATTGATTATTTTGAGAGATTTTTTAAAGCTGAGCAAGTGAGCTAACGTATTTAAACTTCTGTCCACAGCTGGTGGACTTAAAGCCCTTTAAACACACAAATCATAATGAATGCAATGGTATTTATTCACACATAAGCACTAAATAAAATACATGTGGTATAGATAAACCTCAACCTCATCATAATGAGAAGTCAAACATTTAGACGCCTGACTTCCTCCTCCTTCACTAAAAAGTGTCACTCAGTCTCAGGGCCGTGCTCTGAAGGAGGCTGTTTGTAATGCACTTTACAGATGTTCGTGAAGAAGAAGAAGCAGTCCGCCTGAAAATACAGGCCGGCCCTCACAAGGTCCGCGGACCGTACTTTTTAAACAAGTCGGTTACCAAAATAAATCATCGCTACCGTGGTGGCTACGTCGTATTGGGTGGAGTAACTGCGACAGGACAACTTTGCGTCTTTTCGGATGTCCAAAAATGTCAACAACAATGCGCTACGCGTTCAGCTGCGTGCCGGCTGAACGCGTGTTTACGTTTTGAAGCTGTGTGAGAGGAAGTAGCCGCAGAAAACACCGAGAACGGTCAAACTTACCCCCCCCTCCTCCCCTCCACTCCGAACCAGCTCCAGAGAGTTTCACGCACTTCCTGCTTGGCACCCCGTGTTTCTGTGCGTGATCCCGGGTTGTCTTGTGCCTGTCTCAGCGGCGACCCTCCGGGAGGATGTGTCCAGGGTCGGATGCGCAGAGGACGGAGCACTGTGACCACAGCAGGCCGGCGCACAGGGCTGCTGAGTTGTGTCTGGAGTTGGATGCTGTGAAAGATGTGCTGCCCAATAACAACAGTGCAGCCATGGCACGCCTCGTCCCCCCTATTATTTGTTCTTAAGTGTCACGGGAGAGCTACAAACAGCCCATGTGACTGCCGAAAGGGGAGGGCAAATATCTCAAATATGAGCAAAGGTACTGTTTGTCAAAAACTAACCCCGCCCCTTACTGTAGGATACGCCAGTAAAAAACCTGACGTCACCAATGAATATTTACTTTACCTTGACATGGGCTGCAGTACATGTCCATGATGTCAGTTTCACTATGATTCAACTTCAGTAACACATCCAGTGTATAAGCATCAGACCTTAATGTTAAGTTGTACTGTAGTCTGGACTGTAATAATAGACTTGCTCGCCAGAGGTCACTGTTGAGATGTATATCCTTATGGAGGCCTTCATTACATGTATAGTCAGTCAGAATTTCCATTAAAAAAAAATACAAAAATAGGCTACCACAAAAAAAAGCGAAAATCTATCCATCTATGATTTAGCATTTTTCCCAACTTTATCCATTCTGCTCCAGGAAAATAAAGTTAAAAAAAGAAGAAGAATAATAACAGGAGGGTGATTGAATGTGGGAATTTCAAGATGTCTTGGAGAGGAATAGGGGAGGGTTGAGGTCAACCCTTTAAATCAACCTCTTATTGGGAATATGGCATTCCCCTTGGGAGACCCCCTCTTTTTCCCTTTGCTTCGCAGCCTGTACTCTGCAAATGGTTTATGAGACCCATCCATGTTTTTTACGGAAGCCCTCAGGCGGACATGCATCCTTTCTTTTTATCCACCCCTTAGTGATAATGAGTCATTTCTGGTTGTGTTCTTGAAACTTATTTGATTTGCAATCTTGAGATAAGGAAGCTAGTTTTCTGGTGAAAACAGGATAATTGTCTAAAGATCCAGAAAACAAAACGATAGTCCGTCAGTGTTAGAGGCCGGACCAGACATGTCATGTTGACACTGCAAACACTAATGAGGTAAGTTGAGCCTGTTAATATGTTTTTTTGTGCTTTTGCAAGTCTGGGGATACGGGATGAATAAGTCAAGATCTCGACAAAATAACAGGAAATTACGTATCACAAGATAAAGCCTAAATAAATTGAATGAATGCATGCACACTTAGGCCTTTTGAGTTTTCTATAAAACGGTTTGTTTGGGGGGCAATGGTCAGAAATCTGGGAGAGAGAGTGAAGTATGACATGAGGGAAGGGAGCCACAGGTCAGATTCAAACCCAGACTGCCCACAATCGAGGACTCACAGCCTCCATGCATGGGGCGGGCACATTGACCACTAGGCCACTGGCGCCCCCAATTTAAGGTGTTTTTAATACAATTAGTTGACATTACTGTCTAGATTGTGGCAATGCAAAGATAGCCATTTTTTCCAAGTAGCATTTGAATTAAAATATGCATTGTTATGAGCTGCAGAAAGTAGCAAGTGTGCAGAAAAGCAAAACGAATTAGAAAATATACATATATATATGTATGTATATATATACATACATATATATATAGTCTATTGTAGCCTGTTGACTATTACCACCAGTAGAGCTGTTGTACAAAGTAATACACTCGTGGTTGTGCTGTTGTTCTGAGTATCAGCATTTGAACATCTATGATCCAATCACCGACGTGCTTATGTTCATTTAAACATCACTCCCACTTTTGTGATATCCCTTTAATTAAAACAATGTAAAGATTCAATGACCTATGCACAAACAATAAACCAGAGAGGAATTAAGAGGAGTGAGTAAAATATGTATATATCTTTTGAATTATTAATCTATTTTTGTGCCTTAATCCCTGCTGGGCTGTTAAATCCCAGCACCAATCATTGACCGAAGAGATGGATTAACAGCATGAAGAAACAGAGATACCAGAAGATGATATTTTTATGAAACATAAATCACACTTGGATTATTATTTGTCTTTTTTAATTTACTATTATTATTATTATTATTATTTACTAGTTACTAGTTATGTACTAGTCAAAAAATAAGAAGCAAACAAATACATTTACGTCATCTCTTATGTGTTTACAGTTTATTTTAAGCATCTTTAACTTCAGTGACATGTCCATTCTCATGTGCTCTGCCACTTTAAATGTATTTTGTAAGTTAGATGAAATTAAAATAATTATAGGAAAACATTTTGGCAACAATTGGACATCATGAAAGTGAGATGATGTGAAGTAAGGTGAATAGATGATGTTTAAGTTGTGACTGCTGAAGTTCTTTAGTGTCACACCAAATAAAATACAACCAAATGTATAATTTAAGTATTAATATTTTGTTTATGAAAACAGTTACACCGTTTCCTTTAATTATTGGAGTAATAATAATAATAATAACTTTATTTATATAGCACCTTTTAAAAACACAGGTTTACAAAGTGCTTTGACAAACAACAAAAACAAGAACAAACTAAACCAAACACAGAAGAACATAAACAAAAACAAGAACAAACTAAACCAAACACAGAAGAACATAAACAACAGCAAGAACATAACAAATTAAAAATACTAAAAATAATGAAATACAACTCAACAGAAAAGAACCCAAAGTGCACGATACCCAACAGACATATATATAACCCCGACCATCACAAGAACCATCATAAGAACCCAACAACACAAGCTGACACCAAGAGGAGTAGAGGAGGTGTAGTAAAAATGTATGCATGCACATAGTAACTAAAAGAAGTAGACTAGAAAATAGAAATAGAAAAATAGAAAATATAGTGCTTTAAGTTGAGGCCCATTGAAAGAGAAATGGTACAAGCACATAACTTGGGACACTTTTACAGTGATTTCAATTTCTGAACACATATTTTAATAACCTAATACATGACCCTTTAACAGAATGAATCCTTGTGTGGACCAACTCCATATCCCATTGTGAAGCCAACATGTTTGACTAACTGTGCTGAGTTCTATTGTACAAGCAGACGTGTAAATATAGGCAAATATAAATGTAAATCAGATGGTTAACGTAGCCTCTATCGTCATACTTTTAAATAGCATACTTTCCTATTGTCATGCAGTCTGCAAATATCACAAATAAAAACACGTAGGCATATTCACAATGGTCGTTAAAGTCCATGATTTACAGCGAAGAGATCAAGTGAATGCTTATATGTTTAAAAACACGATCCATACCCTACAGGGCGCTGTGATCAGAGGGGGGTCATGGGATTTATTAGTATTTAAGAGATGGGTGTGGTTGACACATGCTTCTTGCCCGGATTTGAAGATCCTCCTGCAAGCGTTCACCGCGTGATCTGCTAGTCTGATTCTCAATGATGATATAAAAAAAAAAAAAAAAAAAAACAGGAACCGTGTGGATAGTGACCGAGAGGGCAGCCTTTCATCTGACCAAAAAGAACCCCCCCCCCCCCACACAGACCATCATAAACAATGTTAGGTTGATTTCCTTTCTGTAGCCCTTTTTTGTCATTTAAATATCGTTTCCTTCGCTGTGTGAGGAAGCTTTGCAGATCTTCCTGACTTTTTCATTGTGGGTTTGGAGGCGTCTGTCCTGATGAAGTGTCGGCAGGGGAGGGAGGAGGAGACCAGAGAGAGAGGAAGGAAGGAAGCGAGGATAACGTCACGAGCAGCAGAATCGGAGTAAAACGGACTCTGTGGTGTTTCATGGACAGTCCTTGATGCGAGCCGGGCTCCGAGCTGCTTTTTGGGGGGTTTTTTAAAGACGAAATTTCGGTGTGTTCAGAGAGAGGATGCTTTTGTGAAGAGAGAGGAGGCTGTTCGCAGAGGAAAACGGCGACCTATAAGCAGCAGATTTCCCATCTCTTCTTTCTGGAGCTCCACTAAAGCCGAGAAAATGTGTGGAGCCCTCCTCCGTTCGCCTGCTTGCTGAAAGGATTTGCCTTATAATCGTGACATAAGTGGACCCTCTCTGCTGCAGCTTCTTTCTTTTTTTAATGACTGGAAAAAATATCTAGTTTAACCCTGCGTAGGATTTGTAAGTGGACTGTTTTTTTTTTTGACGACGGGGGAGAAAAAAAAGCAGCAGAATCATCGGGAGAATTAACAGGTAGCCGCCCATTATCAAACGCAGTGACAGCAGCTGTAGGCCAGTGTAAGAGTGTAAGATGGCTGGGGTGATGATGTTGCCTTTATTCATGGCATCATTTCGACTGAATTCATTTAGTCTCACTACATCCGCATTTTTTTTTTTTTTTTTTTTTTTCTACAGCAGCTTAGAAAAAAAGATGTGGGCAAAAGCCTCCATCAAGCCGCTCTGTGCTGATCAATATGTGATGTAGCTGCATTCATGGGGCCTGCCTGCCTGTTTGGGAAGCCCTCAATGCTGCAGACAGAGAAATATAAGCCGACATTTGAATCCGGCTTCCGCTCGCTTTTATTTCTCTCCCTACGGCTTTTTATTTCCTGCCTAGTGTTTGTTAGTCAATCGGGGGGGGAGGGGGAGGGAGGTGGCGGGGGGGGGGGGGGGGTGAGCGGCGTCTCTGTGACTGTAACATTTACTCTTGTCAAACATGCAGTGGACGGAGGCTGAGTGAGCACCGACTCTTCCTCCAGCTGCAGCTGTAGCCATGCCATGTCGGTGTAGTTGCACATCAAGATGTGCATCCAAAAGGGGTGGGGCAAGTTATACACTTTGCATCCTGTTTCTTCGAATTTTACGTCTGCTTGTGTGTCTGTGTGTGTGTGTGTGTGTGTGTGTGTGTGTGTGTGTGTGTGTGTGTGTGTGTTACAAAACAAAGCACTCCCTAAAAAAATGCTCAGGCTGATTAGCTTTAATGCGATAGGCCCTCCTCGTTACCATCATTATGAAGTGTATAGCCTCTTGTCTGCTGAAGACAATGCATGACTGCAGGTGGGATGTATCTATGGGGGCTTCTGCAAAAAAAAAAAAAAAAAATCCAGCATATGCTCTTTATAAAGATGTTCCAATATGACATTTTTTTTTTTTTTACCTGATAAAGATTTTGACACCAGAGTATTGACTGCTTCAGAAATCCCCCTCAAAAAACCAGTTTGATTCAAATTACATGATGCAAAAACACTGATTGGTGACATTAAGATAGCTTTGACTAACATGTATCTCTCTGGCAGCACTGCTGGTTCTCATCACAAGATAATTACCCTCAAATTTGTCCATTTTTTTTTTTTTTTTTTTTTTTTTAAAATTCTTGCTGAATTGGTGACCAGTATCATTACTGGTATCGGTGTCGAAACAACTCTATAGCTCACACGCAACATGCAAGCAAGCATCTGGCTGGACCCATCCAGGCCTGATCTCTGATGCATCAACCCCCCCACCCCCACCCCCCTCCCCCTCCTCCCCCTCTCCTCATTCTCTCCTCCTCATTGGCTAAATGAGCAGCTGTGCCAGGAGACCGAGGCCCATGATGATACACCCCTTTTGGCCTCCATTAGTGCTGTGTGATCCATCTGGTCGCAGGTCCCTCCAGGGAACAGTGACCTACTGTAGCTAATTGCTCTTCCTCTGCAGCGTGCACTGTATGCATGTTTGCTGCGCGGCCGCTATCATGGATTTGAATCGCCTCTCATATGCAAAAAAGAAGCTCCCTGTTTGAATGTGTAACTGTGCCCCTGACAGTTACAGGAAATGCTGCTTCCTACTGAGGGCGTGATGTGATGTACAGTGTGTGTGTGTGTGTGTGTGTGTGTGTGTGTGTGTGTGTGTGTGTGTGTGTGTGTGTGTGTGTGTGTGTGTGTGTGTGTGTGTGTGTGTGTGTGTGTGTGTGTGTGTGTGTGTGTGTGTGTGTGACCTGGGTTGGCCCTCAGCTAAAGGATCTGCAGCCAGCCTTTGGGTATATTTACATTTTATGTAAATCTCTTGGAGCAACAGCGCCTAAGATTACAAGACAACCACAAAAATGGCTGTGTGGCATTAGCACAAGTTTTGCCTTCATACACAACCTGCTGGAGTTCATGGTGTAACAAGTTAACCCTCTGCTTTTTATAGAGGGAGTGTTCACTCTGTATCTGCTGCCGCCTGGTAGCGATGCTTGCTGCTCAGTTGCAGCTTAGTCATTACAGATTATTCTCCTCTGTAAAAACCCGGCATGACTGCACAGACATAAACAGATTACAAGTTTTTTTTTTCTCTCACTATATGCAGGTCACTAAACCCCAGAGATTAATATGTGTTTTTTTTTATTAAATATTTTCTCTTGAAAATCTGGAACAAACAGTATTTAAAGCAAATGATTTAGTTAATTGGTTCATTTTTGCTTAAAGTGGATTCCTGGATTACTGGATTATGAAAGGCATGCATCTATGCTAATCCCAGTTGGCCTCACTGATACACATTATCAGTTATTTTGATGCATTTGCAGATGATTCTTAACGTAAGTCCGCATTTGGTCATTGACTAGGTGACTGCTAAGACAAATCCAAAATGAGTGAGCTGGAGCAGCTTCGCCAGGAGGCCGAGCAGCTGAGGAACCAGATAAGAGTAAGTGGGATATATTTTATTAGTTCACTTTTCTTCCCTAGCACGTTAATGCTGATGCGTGTTGCCTGCTGTGCAATGTGTTTGTTTTTTCAACCTGTAATTCCGTCTTCTTCAGGATGCCAGGAAAGCATGCGGAGATTCAACCCTGACACAGGTAAGAGGTGGTGGGTTCAGATGCTGTGCTATAAAAAGGTTCTTTAGCGTTTATTTATTTATTATTTGTTCGGGGGAGGGGCACTGTTCTATAGATAACCAGAGTTTTGGAGACCATCGGTATGAAAAAATGACACAAAACCTGTGCAAGGATTATAGTTTAAAGACCTGATTGTATATTCGTTTACACACAAATGTAAAAAAAAAAAAGGCATACAATGATGTTAATCAAAACTAGCATCAGAAAAAAATAGATGTCATGGGTTCCTAATAGCCCTGCATGAGTTTCCTACGGTGTTGTTTTTGTGTATTAATCTAAAGTAACCTTTTATGCACTCGTGTTTTCCAAGTTGTAAGTATCATTAAAGGTCACAGATTACACTCCTTTTCTACAAGTTTATATAAGTCTCACTTCTCCCCAAAACTCATCTGTCATAATTGGGGAATTTGTAGTCAGACTAGGGACACATATTAGTGTTAAGAAAACATGGTGAAGTGTATTTAGCATAAAATGTGACCTTTAAACTTGGCATGAGTTAACAGTTGTTCCCGAGCTGTTTTTAAGACTCTGGCAGTAGATGTAATGTATTTGACTTATCTGAGGAAACCATACAGAATAATCTTTTCGTAACACACAGTTATGAATTGAAGGTTGGATTTTCATCTTTGGTTACCCTTTCTGTGCTTCCTCAGATAACAGCCGGTCTGGATCCAGTGGGGAGGATTCAGATGCGGACGAGACGCACCCTCAGGGGCCACCTCGCCAAGATCTACGCCATGCACTGGGGAACAGACTCGAGGTGGGTCCACGCTGACTCAAACATTTTCTGTATGTTTAAATGTTTTGCTCCGTGCTTTGCTAAAAGTAACATGACAATTTTACATGAAGTGTGCCAGTATAAAGAAACATGTTAAAGCTTTCAGCTGAGACACATTGTGGGATTATGTATTCAAGATCAATACGGATTTTAATACATAACTATGAAAGAATTCTGAACCATCAACCCGAATAAAACAATGAAAGTTACAATAAGAAAACGGACACAAACCAAACATGTTCATGCTGCAGGCACATTCGATTTAGAGTAAAACATCTACGCTCTCTGATCCAAACAGAAAAACAAACACAAACCTATTAACATACTGGTGCAGGAGTTTTACATGTTGCCATTCCAAGAAATGCATTTGCATGTTTATGTTATGCAGTCAAATCTGTCTGTGTCAGAATATTAAATTTCAAGATGAACTTTTAACTTCCGCTGGAAAGATCTAGAGAAACCAAATCGAATGTTAAAATCTGAGCTGTTGAAAAAATGAAGCCAATGTGGTACTTCAAAAGACTGCAGTTCCTCAAGTGTCCACTTGAAGTTGGCTCCAAATACCAAGAACTTCTCATTAGAGCCCATGTTAAAATGCCAGCTTTTGTTCAGCAGAAATAAACATTGTTTACAGCCGAGGACAGAAAACAGTTTTGGTTTCAGTTTCTATAGCAGAACTCTTTATTGGTATTAACTGAATGAGCGGAGAATTTATAAAACTGATCTATTTGACAACATTATGGCTAAGAGTTCATCGTAAAAATTGAATAATTAGGGGCGTGGTTGAGTTGACTGACAGGTGGGTACTTTGCAGCTGTTTGCCAGGAGGCTAAGGCCCGCCTCCTCTTCATCATGTCGCCTGTTTCTAGAAATTGGTCAAAAATTAGGAGGTAGTATTTAAAATTTGTCTTCATAGTGCCTCCAGTGGGTGAGGTCACTGAGTCCACGTTCATGTTTCAGTCTATCAGGGTCCCGCCTTTTTTAACCTCCGCCATTGGTATGGCTTGATATCACTTTATTGGTTGGGGGTTCAACGATTTGGTCTTCAACGATGCTTTCAGTTGTAATAAAATCTGATATTAACATTCATAGTGCTCAGAGGAGGAATCATAATGTCTTAAGTTATCTCTGACTCTCCCTTCAGTGCCATCATAATGTACTGTGTTACATGTTTGGGCATTATTCGGTTGGTCTGCACTGAAACTGGTTACAGACCTTGGAGATAAAACACCAGAGGCGTATCAATACCTCTCTGATTGGTCAGACCCAACTGGGGAACTGACTGAGGGGACACACACATGAAAGAATAGCATTTAGTTACCCTTTCTGTCTCCTGTAATAAGATCTGTTTGAACTATTAACTAGGGCTGTCAAACGATTACAATTTCTAATCACGATTAATCGCTAAATTGACCTCCACCTCAGCGACAAGGAAGTGTGGACAACAGGAACGCGAGGAACACAAAGGAGAAATCTTTCCTGCATATTATCTCATATGCTCTTTTGTAAAGCGCCTCGAGGTTACACTTGTTATGAAGTGGTGCTTTAAAAAATAATGATTGATTGATACGTTTCATTAGTTTATCACAAATAATCACATTTCTAATCTCATGTTTGTAATTCCATTATTTCTCATTTAAATTTAAATAATTCTACAAATTTTATTTTGTATATTTTTACTGTCTTAAGCTGAGAGTACTTCACTTCCTTTTTTTTTTTAACTAAAGTAAGGATCCTCCTGTAGATTGAAGGTTATGACATTAGCTTAACCACAGAAAAAGGAACTCGTTACGAATCAAAAACTAACTGAAAACAGCTCAAAGTAATGGTAAAAAAGATAAATGTCCGATGTCATAAGGTGGATCACCGTGACTACAGCGAGACACTGCGGAGGCTTATCCACCTGCACCAATTAAATGCTGACAGCCCTCATATTAAAGGAAGGGTTGGTCATTTTTAAATATTAGCATGATTTTGAAAGTAGCATTCCCTCAGTGTCTGCACCCACCCCCTCCCCTCTGTGCTCCCTCAAAAGCCACGCCCCTCACTTACATGCACAAGCGCCATTGGTCCAGAAGTGGAGATCAGCTCATGCTTTGAGTGTGGGCTCGTGCATACATGTTGTAGAGAGCGAGCAGGGAGACAGAGAGACGTGTTTGGTTCATCAAATCGGAACTTCCTGGCAGACATTGGTCAAAGTCTTTCCAGACTTAGAGCTGCTACAGATGACAGATTTATTTCCTTTTTCAGAGCACCTGAGTTATTAATGTCTGTCAGGACCTAAAGATAATTTCAACCAAAATCTTAAAAACTGTATCTGGAGAAAATTACCAACCCTGCCTTTCACTTAAAAGTATCATAGGATGATATAATCGAGTGTATAATTTTTAATGTGGAAAAAGTGGCACAACCTAAAGTCACAATTTGAAGTACTAACAAAAAAATACATGTGCTATGTTGAAATCATCGACTGTGTAAAACATGAGCGTAGCCTCAGTGACGTCACCCCATTGGTTTCCAAAGAGGCGTCATGAAGTCCCAACGACGGTGGTCTCCATATTTGAAATGTTAACTCTACGACTCTTTGGATGAATCTAGAAACGGGCACAGAAGTGGAGCTGAGGTGGGCCTCAAGCCTTCTGAGAAACGGCTAAATGTGCGCCCACCTGTCTGCCAGCTCAACCACGCCCCTAATTATGCAAATCTCTGCATCAATATGTAAATTAGGATGAGTATTACAAAAAATTCCCCCTGTACAGTTTTTACACATAGATAAGGTATTCTGAGTCCTGCCTCAATCATAGTTAAAGGTTTTGAGTTGGCACAGAGGCTGATTAATCAGATTTCAGTGCACTAATTTTATTTGTTTAATGCTTTGGTTTGAATGAGTTACAGTTTCCTAAGTGTGTTTATTACTAATTAGCAAATGTGAGTTCACTAATTTACTAAATTGAGATGATGAGCCTGGTAAACATTACACTTTATTCGCATGTTAGCATTGTCATTGAATGCCTGTTAGCATGCTTATGTTAACATTTAGCTCAATGAACTGCAGTGCCCAAGTCCACCTTCATCAAACTGCAAACATCTCTTTAGTTTTCTCTCTTAAAGAGCACAGAGGGAAAACATCAATCACATCAGTGTCTCTCAAAATATGTCTGGAGCAACCTGTGGGTTCGGGTTTTTTAGGTCCAGATCTGTCGAGTCAAATAAGATGAAAGTAGACGATCCTTTTATAGTGGAAGGTGTGTGTGTGTGCTTTCTGAAGTACCTGTTAAATGGTTTTTAACATTTTTGTCTGATGGTTACATCGTCAAACAGTCACTAAGGAAGAGTGTCTTTTCAACACTTTATCGTGAAGAGATAAGATCAGGTTTGAAACGTTTGTGTTGTTCTCTCTGTAGGCTTCTGGTTAGCGCCTCACAGGATGGAAAACTGATCGTGTGGGACAGCTACACCACTAACAAGGTAAGGTCAACTTCTCATCAGGTCATCAGCTGGCTCATTAGTCCGACTTTCTCTCAGCCTGAACTAAAAAATGACAATAAAGTCTTTATTTTGTAGAAGTGTGCGTCAGTCATATAACAACGTGCTATGACGTACGGGAGCGTTTACAGTGAAATAAGGAATTACATTTTTAGAAATCTAACCCATTTTATGTCCTTGGTAGGTCTTTACATTAGCTGTCCTTCTATTTCCGAAGGTTAATTAAGTGTCATTTCTGAACACCTTTCCTTTTTAAGATCCATGCCATCCCCCTGCGCTCGTCCTGGGTGATGACCTGTGCGTACGCTCCCTCTGGGAACTACGTAGCCTGCGGAGGCCTGGACAACATCTGCTCCATCTACTGCCTGAAGACACGTGAAGGCAACGTCAGGGTCAGCAGGGAGCTACCTGGCCACACAGGTGAGAGGACTCCCGCACTCTGCGCCGCTTCTATTTGAGTCTTCCTGGGGAGTCAGGCTGAGGACACGTTTCAGATAAGCACCAGTCGGCCCCGCCTCGTGGGGAAAGCTCTGCTCCCAAACGCCCTGAACAATAAAGATTTCATTTACATGGTTAATTAATCGCAGGGCAACACAGTCTTAATGGGCTGAGACATCCACTCCTGTCTGTGAGACTGTAGCTGCTGCGCTGCTGCTGCTGCTGCGTGCTGTAAGTTTAGCACCGTTTCTTCTGCAGATGTGAACAAAGTTGAGACAATTAAAAAGAAGATCCATTAAATTACACTTAATGGTGGAGTAGCTTGAAGTTTTCTTTTCCTCCCAAAGAAAGAAAAAAAACATCACCCAGTACATCGACACTCTACCTGAAATAAGCTTTATATCGAGATGAGCCTTTTCACACGCGCATATATCTCCTGAAAATACCCCTTCAGGCATGGCTGCACGTGTTTACACAAGCGACCACAGTCACCTGCCTTTAGCAAAGTGTCCACAAGAAGGGTGTGTCGACGTGGGAGCGCAGCAGGTAATATTCAGGAAAAGTCGTCACAAGCGAGCGGGTGGAGCTGATGACATGTATATAACGCGATCTACACACATGTGAAGAAACGGCCTCTTTACTCTTTTCCTGCTCACCTGCATTTTCTCTTCCCTCATTCGCTGACGCTGTGGATACGTCCAATTACGAGAAGAACTGCATGAAGACAGAAATGTTTATCATGGCTCTCTGTTGCCTTGTAAACCTTTCAGACTTTAGACGGCATCCTTTCAATGTCACGCTTTGTGACCCTTCCCCACCCCCCAGTCTGACTCACAATCTCCCGCTGTGAGGGATGTATGCGAAAGAGCATCTCAGTATGATATCGGGGGGCGTCGCCGTCCTACAATTTTCAAGAAATGTTCAGGAGTGTGAAAAGGGCTAAGATGTCTCTAAGGGAAGAAAGATGGCAGGTGACATATTAAACTCTAACATGGTCGGTGATTTTCTTACTTTAGTACCCGTCTAAAGACTGTCCTCAGCCGCTGTAATCTGCATTAGAAGAATATGAAACCTCCCCCCATCACTTATTATGGTGTGCTAGCAGCACTAACACTATTTTTCCCAGGCCCAACCCCTCCTCAGGCTACATCCAGTCCCGTTCAATATATCGGAGCATGTTTGCCTATTCATTGGGGCAGAACACAGCTTGAGAGGAAAGCAGGTGGCACTGCTGCTCTGGATATTTTGGAGGTCATAAAAATAATTCAGTCCATGAGGGGCCAGTGCCTTTTGTTAGGAAAGCTGTAAATACAAAGATATTATTTCATATAAAATGCTTGTACTGGCGCTGGTGGCGCACGCGCCCCATGTTTGGAGGCTATAATTTTCCAAGTGGGTGGCCCAGGTTCAAATCCAGCCTGTGGCTTCTTTCCCGCATGTTATTCCCACTCTCTCTCTCTCTGATTTCTTTCTATCCACTGTCCTATCTCTCCATTAAAGGCGCAAAAAGCCCCAAAAATAAATCTTTAAAATGTATGTGATGTACTTATAGATAAGGGTAATAATAGTTTCAGAGATCTAATAAAGAGAATACTTTTTATAATACAAGCGCAGCTGTAAACTTGACAACAGCTCCATTTAAAATAATAATGAATAGTGCTTTAATATGTCGCCTACTCTTGTTTGTGTAAGTTGTAATAACAGTAACTCACCCAGTACTCTCTGTTCTCGTCTCTCAGGTTACCTGTCATGTTGCCGTTTCGTTGATGACAATCAAATAATCACGAGTTCCGGAGACACCACATGGTGAGCGGCAGAGATCATAAACACAGACGAGCAGGTCAAATCTGTCCCCCCCCCCCCCCCTGCATTGAAACCGGTGTCTTTACTCTGGGTCTCTCTCTCTGTCACAGTGCACTGTGGGACATCGAGACGAGCCAGCAGACCACGGTTTTCTCCGGCCACAGCGGCGACGTCATGAGCCTGTCCCTGGCGCCCGACCTTCGCACCTTCGTGTCGGGAGCCTGTGACGCCTCGGTCAAACTGTGGGACATCAGAGACAGCATGTGCCGGCAGACCTTCACAGGCCACGAGTCAGACATCAACGCCATCTGTGTGAGTGTGCTCGCGGCAAACTTGAGTTTTGTAAATCGGGAGAGTTTTTCGCCTATGTGCAATGGCAGACAGTTTAAAGGGTCATATAACATCAGAGGCACTAATAGGGCACAATTTGTCTTCAGAAGCGCTGACAGAGCTCTGTTAAGTCTTAAAAATAGCTCTGATGATGTCATCAGTATGCCAGGAAATGGCAGGGTAACTCACTGTATGATATGGTGATAAGATGATGTGCATGGTTCATGATCATGACAACATATCGATAGAGACATTCTGCTTTAATTGATATATTACAAGACATTCATAAAAAGATAATTCACAATATCTGATTAACTGAAGAATATAAAATGCCCCCTTAAAGGTAAAGAGCAGGATTCATGTATTTAGTGACCGCACTTTGTTGTTGATTTTTCATTAAATCCAACCTGACAGAAAGTAAATAACAGACTACATCACTATGATGGATCTAAATATAAACCTGAACCCACAGAGCATGTAACTTCATCGTTTCTTTACCACTTTATGTTGAGCCAATAAACAGATGTTTCATTAGATTAGATTTCAATGGTTTCCGCCCCCACAGTGGTCCAGCATGTTGGTTTTTCCCCCCGTGTGTTTTTTTAATAACACTGTCATCAGAGCGGCTCCGGGATTTGTCTCTTGTGACGTCACACGCTGTCTTGTCTTCAGCTTTGGGAGGGATTTAACCCATGAGCACGCTAGAGGATTAACAAGATTATCAATTAACACCATATCTGAACATCTGCCATCAGTCCAGACTCCAGCTGAGACCAGCTCATGTTTGAGTCTGGACTGAGGCACAGAACCGCGTTATCTGATGGTGTGACGGCCGAAACAGTGACACGCTAATATTATCTCCTACACACACTCACTTTATATGTTTGCATGTGCTCTCGTTTTATCTTGAATACTCAATTTTCTTCCCTCAGTTCTTTCCCAACGGCAGCGCCTTCGCCACAGGCTCCGACGACGCCACCTGCAGGCTGTTTGACCTGCGTGCAGACCAGGAGCTCAGCCTCTATTGCCATGACAACATCATCTGTGGCATCACCTCCGTGGCTTTCTCCCGCTCTGGCCGCCTGCTGCTGGCTGGTTACGATGATTTTAACTGCAACATCTGGGACGCCATGAAGGGAGACCGAGCAGGTGGGTTGGGACAGAAAAACACCTGGGTGGAGGTTTGATGCCAAGAGGTTATATCAGTTATTTTATTAGTTAATTTGACTTTGTTTTCAGGCTCAGTAAGGTTTTGATATGATCTGAGAACTGGTTTGTTTGTTCATTATGTTGTGGAAATGCATCGTTAAAATTTAGCTTTTATTGGTTTTAGTTCTTTTTTCTCGATGCCTTTGAGGGTCAGTAAAAGTATTGTGTAAACAAAACATCCGACTGTTACAACAAAGTATTTAATCCGAAAGATTTTGGGAAAACAAAATGATTAGAAGATCTAGTTTGTGTCTTGTCTTTAGTTTTCAATGATGTAAATGTTGGTTTAAACCGAAATCTATCTGCCACAGAGGTTTGTGTTTCTGTATTTTACATACTTCATCTCATCAGGATAGTGAGTCGGAAACTGGGGAGTCGGGGAATAACTTGCATGTGAGGAGCCACAGGTCTGCCCGCTTTGAGGAATACGGCCTCTGTACATGTGTCACTCAAACTAACCGCTAGTCCACCAGCTTCCCTGTATTCTTATTCTCTTATTCTTATTAACTTATATTTCTACACTAGTTTGAGCAAAAGAAAAAACTGCGACAACAGACATAACTGAGGGACGCTGGTTCTGATGTACGCCCCGGGTACGGACGCTATAGTGAAGAAAGTACGATGAAAATGATCTAAACTCCAAAAAGTGTTTCCACTTTTGTCAAGCAGCTTTTCACATGATTTGCAATTTGTATGACGTTACAAAGAGGTTAAGCTCCAGAATCTAACCTAAAAGCTTCATCACTAATTCATGGTGACTTATTTTAGGGGGGAATGGAGCTCCATGTCAGACTGGCTGCTGAATAACCGCCTGGTTTAAAAAACAGAAAACAACTCTTTGGTTAAACAGCCCGCTCTGTGTTACAAGTAAAAGCAGTTATAAGGTTTCTTTGTTCTCTGTGTTTTAAAAAAAAAAGCTTTTCACAGCAACAAGTCTTCTTTTGTTTCTCCTCGTTCCTCCTGCAGGAGTCCTGGCCGGCCATGACAATCGTGTGAGCTGTTTGGGTGTGTCGGATGACGGCATGGCGGTGTGCACCGGGTCCTGGGACAGCTTCCTTAAGATCTGGAACTGAGCCACATAAAACCGCAAACACACATACACACACACACACACACACACACACACACATGCACACATACATGCAAACATGCACGCACATGTCCGACAAACAGGCACCGCTCCCACTGCTTGGGACACAGTTTGCACCCTGTAATCACTGTATGTAAGATTCAATCCGCAACATTTTACTGTACATAATATATATGACTTAGGTATGAGTTTACACACACAGACAAACACACACACACACACACACACACACACACACACACACACACACACACACACACACACACACACACACATATGCACGCACACACATGAAAACATCCCGCTGTATGCAGAACAAGCCCTGAACACATGCCCACACTACCTTCAGCTGATTTAAGTTTAAAACAGCAAGGCTATAGTTACACAGTGACTTGGTATGAGTTGAGACACACACACACAAGCACACACACACACACACACACACACACACACACACACACACACACACACACACACACACACACACACACACACACCAACATTTGTGAAATGTAAAAAAAAAAAAAAAAAAATGTGACCAAAAAAAAAGTTGGATCTTCAGCTGCTCGAATACACAAATGCCACTTTTAGCTGAAACCTTTTCACACGTCTAACATGCTCATTTAGAAACACACATAGACATGCACACACACACACACACACACACACACACACACACACACACACACACACACACACAGACATGCACACACACATAGACATGCACGCACGCACACACACACACATAAAAACACTTTTTCCTGAGAGACACAGCTTCTCGAGTCAAACATGGGGAGAGACATTATTGGACAATTCTGTCTTTGTTTACAATGAAGTAGAAAAATGCACTTCAGATAAATTTTTCTCGACTATTTTGGTCTCGGTACCCCCCACGTATCTCAGCGATGCTAATGTGAAGGAAGAACAGTGTTTGTGGCAGAGAGTCATGTGAGTCCTTGAATACTGAAAAACAAACAACCACTGAAAGCCGGGCCGGGCCGCCGATCGCCACAGTCCGAAGAAAACATTAACTCCTGTTTTCAACTGGCTCCTAACATCGAAACAGTCAGAGTTTTTATAGATATGTACCCCCTGCATACAGTACAGTACATCTGCTCTTCAGTTTTTCTTTTATACTTATTTTATTCATGTTCTCCCTGTGTGCCTCAGATACACTTTAAGGATTATTATTAGAGAATATTGATGAAGTTAAATTAAGGAAAAAAAAAAAAAAAAAGATTTGAAACTCAGAAGGTGGGTGAAGAAAAAAAAAAAGCATTGTAAGACGCATCTTAATAAAGCAGGAGCCAGCATTCGTACTTTGACTTTGTCATTGTATTGTCTGGACATTATGATGGTATAATTGTACATAATATTAATAAATGATAGCCTCTCCTGCCAGCTTTTGTGGTTTTTGTTCTTGGAGCACTTTGTCAATTGATTTACACGTCTGTGTTTTTGTACAAATCTAGTAAAGAGGAGTTGTTGTGGGGCTGATGTTGGAACATGCCTTTAAGTAACCGAGTATCGTTAATATGAGTGGGAGAAAATAACGATACCGCAATATATCGTCTTCAGGACTCGGGCTGTAACCAAACATCGATAATATTGATAACAACAAAAAATTGCTGCTCTAAAAGATTTGACACCGCGGCACCACTTCATGACTCCTCACGGGGGCGCTAATGACGTGAATGAGGGTAACGTGAGCGAACACAAAGTGGACATACTTCTAACACAAAGTATCCATAACACAATTGATTAACACTCTCTGTGTGAAATACCGCGATTTAAAACGGCAAGAGTATCTCCATGGCGCCTTCAGACACCTTCCGTCTTTTCACTGAGACTCTTCAACAGGATTTACCGGCAGTGCATTTATTTTACACATTGATGATCCCTTGGGGGTCGATTTGAGCACATCACGGATCAGCTGTGATCTGTTGCACCACTGGCGGAATAAATAAGAAGACGACGACATGGGCGGTTCTAGGCAGGGGCCATCAGGGGCCAGTGCCTGTAACAGTGTAACACCCCCTGTGGCCACCGCTCCAAAAGGAAGAGCCCCCCTCATAACACATACACAGCATTTGACTCAACAACCGGACTCACAATCTAGTATTAAATACTGTTACTGAAACAAATATAAATCATGGTATTTTAATGATGAGCGCTATTATTTGGCATAATATTTATATATTTTTAAAGGGATCATCTTTGTCTATTTTTCATCTGGGTTTAATGTTCGCCTCTGACAAAACAATAGCCCCAGTTTGGCCCCCTCTGTAAATGTGGTCTAGAACCGCCACTGGACGACGATGACAGCGGGAAAATGTTGGACTGCGGTGAAAGAAGGTAAGAGAAAAGCGTGATAAGCGATGAACAGGAAGCCATATTTCAGTGAAGAAATACATTAGGGCAATCAAATAATCAGCCGAGGTGAACAACAAGTTAGAGAATTCTCTTTATTTAGGTGCACTTTGCAGATTTGGTGGTGAAATTTCAAAGAAGTGAAACGATTCTCTGCTGTATTTTCTGAACTAAATGCACAAACTTTATTCAAAGGAAGATGTGGTCCCTGCAGCTCTGTTTGGAGCTAAAAAGCGACCAGGAGAGTTACGGCGTCACAGTTGCGGCCCCTCCATCATAACTTCTCGCAGAGCATTTTATCTATATAGGACCAGATGTTCCTCTGAGGACAATTGTGTAAAGAGTTATGAACACATATCACAGAATCTGTACATTTCACCAACTTTCACTTTTCTCTACCAAAACTCCACAGTGCACCTTTAAAGTGAACCATCATCAAAATAACTACTCACTACTTGTTCTCCTCAAGTCAGCTCACCTACCAATTTTTAAACCTTCATTGTAAAGAATTGAATTGAAAGAACTGAATTATTAATGTTTCATTTTATTTACTCATTACTGGTCGAAGGAGCCGCACAAGCTGTTCCAAATGAACACTATCATTAAAGACTCAAACCAGAATAGTATCTTATAGTTTATGTTGGAGATGAATACTGATCAAAGATTCAAAGTTTGACCTCATCTACCCAAAATATTATTTTTATAATATTTTGTTGTTATACTTGGTGTTTAAAACCAGTTTAATAGCTACAAAACAGTTATTATCTAGAAATCCCCAGCAAACTAACAAAACTAAGATTTTTATAATCATCTAATCAAAGCGCTCTGTGTTCCTGCTTCTTCTAACAGTTATTATTCAATTAAAACAGAAAGGATGAAACAGAGGCCACTTATCTGCTTCTTTTATTTGAACTGTGGTTTTCTTCTACAGCAGGACGTGCTGCTTTTTCTTGCAGGATTGAAATGTTTTTACGCTCAGCCACCACCAGGAGGTGCTGCAGCTTTGTAAGCGCGTCACATGACGGAGAACAGCAGGTCCAAAGCAGACTTCAGCACCACCCTGTGGACGAACACTGACATACGTCGTTTGGTAAAGACACTGCAGGTTTTTTATCACACAGATGTAGTATTTTTTATTATCTCAGGATGGAGTGGGCTTGTTCACACACGTTTTATGTTCCTCACTCTCTTTGTACCTGTGCTGCACCCGTCAGGACAAATGACACCTTTATTATCTCTCTCTGCAAACATCAATCCTGAGAACAGATCTAATTAGCCCGAGTCACTGTGAGCTCCTCGGGGAGGGGGGCTGCGTCGGGCCTTTAAAAAGTATGCAAAGTGGAAATTATTTCATCATTTTAGAGACAGAAAGCAGAAATTAAAGATGACTAACAGACGGAAAATCAGATCAAGGTATTTATTTTTCAAACAATTCCGTATTAAGACATGAATTCATTCAACACAATCTTTTGAAAGTTTAAAGTTTATCAGTCTATGAAATACAATCTGCAGTGAACCTCTCACAAGTAACACAGACGCGCGCACACACACTAAAACATTGCAAAGATGTTTACCGTCTTTAAAAATAAAAAAAGAGAGAGAGAGAGAAAAAGTTAGTGAAAAAGAACAAAAATATTTTAGTTCTGTCCAAAGATCCGAGTTGATTTAGAGCTCCCCTTAGTTAGATCTGCCTCACTCCCAGCTACAGCTGCTAATCCAGTCATACATTATTGATTAGAAATAAAAGCTAAGAGAGAGGAGTGCCCCATCACAATATCATCAATCACTCCTTCAGCCGCTGTTCAGAGTGATAAAGGCAGGTTTCAGGAGGCGATTGTAGCAACACAAGAACAAGCAACCAAACAGGAGAATGAGTCAAAGTGTCAGAGATGTCAGTTCTTTCATGTGATCACAAACGTCATTACAGAAGTTACGTCTCTCATGTATTGCTCTTTTAAAAAGGAAATATCGTTTGTCTTTGTCGAGTCTGCCAAAGTCACAAACAGTGCCCGTCAAACTAACGCGTTGTGAAGTTCAGATCGTTTAAAGGCTCTTGGCACGATATGAAACAGCACTTTGGATTCTTATGGTGCCTTCAGGGGAATCTCAAAAACAAGATCAAAATATTCCTCTGTGTATCAAAAACAAATAAAATGAGGTTTGCTTTACTTTAAAGACAGGCTTAGTATTTGAGAGAGACTGACTCAGTCTAAATAAAAGGCATTCATTATTTTGATGTTAAGTTACACCCGGTTGAAGCCCATTTTTGAGGATAAATATTTAAAGTGTCTTAACAGAGCCCGACCGATGTACGGGCCGGCCGATAATACTGGCCGATATTAGCATAAGTGACTATTGGTATCGGCTAATTTCATCTCAGATATGTGCAAATATAAGAAGGTTTATTCCAGTTAAGGTTAATATGTATTTGTATAATTGTTAGTATCTAATTTGTAAATAAGTGGGTCTGTTGAGCCGTCCAATTGTTTTTGTTCAATGGTAAAAAAAAAAATCTTGTCTTCATTATACATCTTTTTCACTAGTGTTTGATTTAAGGGATCAATGCACTAAATGTGTCTGTATCTATTTCTTAAGATTGAACATAGATCCAAGAAGGATATCGGTCAATATCGGTAATGAATATTTTTCTCTGCCTGATATCGGTATCGGCTCATAAAAATTCCATATCGGTCTGGCCCTACTTTGTAATATTTCATAAGCTAGTATTTCCTTTATCAACATAAATGTCAGTCAATCAAGGCAACATGGATGGTTAAATGCATTTGATTTCATGATACTTTTGTTTGGCTTGTGTACAAGCAGCCGAGGTAGAAATACAGCGACGTATTTCAAGTAAATCTTACAGTTTGTGACTTCAGTCTGTGTGTCGAAGGAGAACGTCCATTCTTCACTTCAAACTCTGACTAGAGGGCTCAGGGAGCTCTGCATGCGCGAAGAAAGATAAAAGCCCTTTGTGGCTACGCTATCAGATAAAGTGCCTCTAGTGATGTCACTTGAGTCAGTTAAGAATAATAATAATAATAATAATAATAATAATAATAAAAAAGGATCTGGGGCTGTGGAGGTAAGACTGTTTGTGGTCCAATCTCCGTCTTTGTTTAGCCAATCAGGTGAAGGCTGAATTAGGAAAGTTAGGATGAAACCTTCAACAAAGTGTTAGCGTAGAGGTGCATTGTGGGTAATGTAGGCATCAGGTGTGCCAAAAACAACAAATGCCTTGAATCAAAAATATGGTAGGCATTCATTTACACACTTTCTTTTTTTTTTACTGCTCTGTAATCCTCACTTAGTGCTGAGACACTTTGAATTCACTAAATGCTGCTTTAAAAAAAAAAAAAATCTCAAAACCAAGAGCCAATAACCTTTGACACAAGGGGTCCCTGTGCCCTTCATGTCACCTCTGCACCACCTGTGTGATGATCTCCATCCACACCTGAGCACACTGACAGCCACAGCCAGGAATGGGCAACTTTGGTCACAGCAAGGGGCCACATTCATTTAACTCTCACTGCCAGAGGGGCCAAATTGTAGGATACAAAAACGATGACAGTCGATTATGTCTCAAATTTAACTCAATATAATCCAGTAATGAAATATTATTATGGATATATTTCTGGTTTTCATGATTTCATGGCAGATTTCATCATATTTTCTTCATGTTTTCAATTAATTGATGTGTAAAAAAATGACCTGAGGGCCACGTTGAGGGTTGATGGGGGGGCTGCCAGTTGCCCACCCCTGGCCACAGCCGACTCTTTGGATATTCTTTCTCTCTCTGGATAACTGAACTGAAATGTTGCAGGTCCACATACAGACCGCTGTCTCAGCAGACTATTCTGTCCGCTAGAAGAAACTACTCACTGATTACTCGCTGGCAACATTGACGACTGCTGACTGCATGAGGGATGGGCGGGGGGGGATGGTAGATGGGGGGCTCCATCTCTTTGTTTCAGTCACTTACAGCGACCTCTCTGCTCTAAAATACATTGTGCTTTGATTAATAGAGCGGTACATGTTTTTATATAAATACAACTCTGTCTGATAGATGTACATTCACTTTCATTTCTCAATATAGACTAATTTACATCGTTTATAAAATAGGCTTCTGAATATATCAAGCTAATTTTTCCTACTACGAGATCACACAATCCACATGTTTAGAGAACAAGCGCTTTCCTCACCTCTGATGCGAGAACCCACATTTTCAGAGCGGACATCACGAGTACTACATTTCCCTACAGACACGATTCATACGTATGGCTTTACTCTATGCTGGCTCCCACTGCGAGTCCATTCACTACATGTCACACCCGATTCATCGTACTAGCTCGTTCGTTATTGCAATTTACCAAATAGTTGATCTGCGTTGATTTGATTGAATGTGTGGTGCCAAAAAAAAAGCAAAAAAAAAGCTTTTCAAGTCCATCTACAGGATGTCGTGGATTGGACTTAAGTGCACTTGACTGGCACGGGACAGAAATCTCAACAAGGGTGCAAAATGTAGTTGTGCCTCCTCTTCATGAGATTTCAAGTAAGAGACAAGTGGAGGGGGCCGGGGGCGGGGGGCTCCTAACCCATCACTTAACCTTTCCAACTCCAAGGCACTGCTTAAACTGTAAACAGATCGATAAAAAAATCACCGTTGAACCATAAAAAGTACGAGTGCCAGAGCTCCGAGTGGATTGTAGGTGTGACATTTGACATGAAAGTCATGGCACATAACGTACATTTAAGAATAAAAAGACATTCGCTAGAAGGGGAAAACAACTCCGATACAGTACTATATACTCTTCTTCAATGGCTCACATGCACACCAACATGTCTGCTTATATATTTGTTCATATTAGTTTCATCTCAACATAGAATCCTCTATTTATATCATCTTTGATTAAAAGCCTTCTGGCCCTGACCGTATACTGCAATCTGAATAACTGTCTTTAACCATATAAAATATTCATCTTTAGCATAAAGCACAACTTTTAGCTGATAACCCCATTGATCACCGACCCAGGTTCCTTTCATTAAATCCACAATGTTTACAGCTGCATTCTTTTCGCATCAACGTGTCAGCCGATGAACTCACATGTTGAGAAATGAAGATGTTTTGCCAACAACTACAAGCTGATAAGATGTGTCATAAATCATCTCGACTTCAAACATGTCCAACCCTCTTAATACCAAAGTGCTGAGGCAGCGTGTCGCCGTGAATCACAACAACAAAAACAAAGCCTGATTCATGTGTTGACTTACCCGCCGCTCACAGATTGTCACCGAGCTACATCCTGATTACGCTGCCTACTACTTACTAACATCGCACTGCCTGGAGTACCAGAGCAAACTGTATCATCTTCAGCTGCTTTTTATTTGGTTCATGTCCTTAAAAACACGATTTGTGCCATGACATCAGCGAGAAGTCGTCTGACATTGTGGATGTATAATGTGAAATGAACATCGGTTAGTGATCAATAGGAAGTTTCTTTCTTAAGTTGCACATAAGCTCTATTTTCCTTTGGCCATTATTCCTCCTCCTGTTGCACTGAACTTTGGCAGAATGTACAAAATATATTAAGTCTGATGTGTTCCTCTTCCTCCAGAGTGACTATGTCGTATTACAGCCACCCTATCACATAATCCGTCCTCTGACCCGAGACAAATTTAAACTGTACCACACCCAGATCTGTTCTACTGAAATCCCCTGGACAAACAGTTCTCACATAAAGATCCACACCAGCAGAAATAGTCTACGAACTGAAATACAATACAGTAGAATTAGATCACTGTGGTAGCAGAGTGAAAGGACCTTGAAAATAATCTGGGATCCAAAGCGACACCCTCCTTTCACGTCTCTCTCTGATGTCCTCGTACTCCCTAAAATCTACCACGCTAAATACAGGAACTCCCCTTTTCAAAGGCTCCACGAGAATAGCATATATTGCAATATAATGGCAATATAATTACAGTAAAAGTAAGAATACCAGTAGGCTAATACCAATACAGAATCACTACATATACATATCAAATTGTTGTATTTTGTAAATGTATGAAAACAGAAAGTTTAGATACAAGCCTGATGAGTCAAATAAACGAAGGTTGTTGTTTTTTTTTTTTTTTTAAATCATAGAAAAAGAAAAAAAAATAGGCAAAAGCAGGAGATTTCACGTGTGAGACTTCTGATTTTGATCCACACTGAAATGTTCCTCGCTTGTGAAGCGTTCAAGGCTCATGTGCAGGGATTTAAGAGACGCGAGCTCACTTTGCCATCCGGAGAACAAAGTTGGCATGAACATGACTTCAGTTTGACTTCAGGTCAACGGTCGACAACTGATTCAAACAAAAGCTGCTTCGTCCTGACTTCAATGTCCCTTTGCAATAGTTTTGTACTTAATCCTTCCTTTAAGCCTCCTTCAAATTTATGATAGCCTCATGATAGGTCTACAAGCCGCTGCAGATGGACATCCCCCAGCATGTTGATATTTTACATCCACATTGAATGGAGGCTTTATAAGAGGCCTGCAGATGATTCAGATCTAAGTGTAAGGTGCTACCTATTTACAGCTTCATTTGGACACACAGTAAGGGTAAATAATGCCTTCCTCAAAATGTACTGAAGAACCATCAAGGAATGTTTTTTAACATACTTCACAATTAGGAACTAAATCACGACTGAACACAGGTCCACCAACTAAAGTAAATCAAGACGAGAATATATACATTACAAATTGATGGTATTAACATCTGAAGGTCATTGAGATTTTTCATGATGACTCGAGGGAGAGGGTTGTCAGTGAGCCTTGGTAGAAACCGTATCTTCAGAAGGAGTGTAGGCTGAAATGGGTTTTAGATCATTTTGTTTGTGTGTGTGTGTGTGTGTGTGTGTGTGTGTGTGTGTGTGTGTGTGTGTGTGTGTGTGTGTATTCTGTATTAGAGTACGAGTGTGTGAATGATAGAGAGCGCTGCAGAGGAAATTCAGATTAGCGTGCATGCGTTTGTGGGGAGTTTTCAGATGCACTTCCTGCTGGGATCCACTCGCTGACCGGAGCAGCTGATCCTTCACCAGTTCATGATGCAGTTTCTGTTCAGGGTCATGAAGTAAACCTGGCTGCTGCCTCCGGACCGCACCGATGCAAAGAACACCTGAAGGCCAGAACAGACACACACAGGGCCGAGAGTGTCAGCAACACCTTTTTACAGTCAAGCTGCTGTTACTGCCTTATCTTCACATGATTGAGCTCTCTGCAGCTCTCTTACCTTGTCATTTCTCTCACAAAGAAACTTCAGCCTTTGGGCTCTTTTGTGCATGAAGACACCATCCAGGTGGCCGGTCTCTACGGAGCGGATCTCAATGGCCTTTTCCCCCCATCCCATGATCTGGTTAGAGCAGATATGAGCTGAAAAGCAAATGTAACATTAGTGATAGGCTGGCTGATGATGACAGTGTAGACATCATGGATGTAGGCACAGTGACATCACTCTTTGGTTATTGGACAATTGTTTTGATGCCTTGAGTTTGGTATCGTGATGTCACCATGGGGTTCCTGCCAATGAGAGGCAGGAAGCACCAACTGAGTGACAGCGTCAGCAATCAGTATGAATGAAACTGATAAAACACACGTACACACAAAAAAAAAAAAAAAAGACTTTTAAGATGAGAAAAAGCTGAGCGGTGTACTACAAGCAAGGTCGTTGAAGAAAGTGAGTCTGTTGAGATTAAAGAAAGAAGCTGGCTCTGTTTTTAACCTGGCTTGAGCATCATGGTTACTTACTATGCTAACAAACAAAGCTAACCAGGTCAGGACCAGGTCAGGACCAGATCAGGACCAGGTCAGGACCAGGTCAGGACCAGGTCAGGACCAGGACATGTCCAGAGTTATCTGCTAGAAACTTCTGTCTTTCTCAGTAATGTTTTCTTGTAGATGTTTTCTCAGTAATGTTTTCTTGGTGATGTTTTCCTCTGGCGTTATAGATTTTCTACAGACATTGTGCCCATTTGGAAAAGCTTGGAATTGTAACGTTTCATTAATTAAGCCCAGAGATTGAAACCCTGCAGTGAAAGTAGCACACTGGAGCCCATTCATGTACTGAGGGGGCGTCCTGGTGGGAACGTGGCGTCCTCTACTTGTTGTCTCCATCCAGTTTTTTGGTGGGGTGACTGAAGTTGGTAGCTAACATATCAGCTAATGGTAGCGTTGGCTTGGTAAGCAAGGTGCATCTGTACCACACACTAGGATGCTAGTTTTAGCTTGCAAAAAAGTGGTTTACTATCCAAAAACAAACAAACAAATAAACAAACAAACACAACTGTCTGCTAACTGCAACTGGTCAATCAAAAGGAAGCCAAATCATCAAATAAAACCTGCCTACAATCTATTGTCTCTTAACGGGAGCATGAGATGCACAGATTGTAAAAAAATCAGTGCAGATAGCGATGTTATAACAGCAGGAAAGCCGATGGCAGATTCCAGCCTTTGTTCATCACTTCTTTATAATTCTTTGTCTGATTTGCCGATTGGATGTATTCAATTTGTTGTGAGTGTTCAATAACTGCTCACACTTTCAACATGAGAGCATGAAAACAAAGCAAGAGTTTGAGTTCTTCTGCCCTAAAATATCATTTCCTCTGATTCAGCCGTTAGGTGCTGTATACCAACTCGCCAATACTCTTTAACGATGCGATACAAAAGGATTCATACTGCTCACACTGCTGCGTGCCTAATGGTTCGCCAATGAGCCAAGGCGTGGCAACCAGGCTGACATCGTCCGGTACAGACGTTGAACTGATCCCTCGGGACAGTGATTCAGAAAACTGTTCTGGATGAGGACTTCAAAATAGAAACTGAGAACAACACCTTATTAGAGGATGTGTTATCTCCGTGGATATTTTCCTGAGATGTAATTTTCTGTGACTTATCTGTGCAGCCAGTATAGTAACCCCCTGCTGGCCGTCACCCTGAAAGGAGCTTTTAGACACGTCTGCATCTCGCTTCACTTTTTCAGACTCAGAGGCCACATTTCTGCTGTTTCACGGTCTGAGATCACAGCTGGCGACAGACGAGGCTCTCTTTTTCTGTGTCACTGTGCGTTTTCAGGGTTGACTCATACCAACAGATGTGGGCATCTCGCCCCACTGCAGCACCACGTCCTTGATGATTCGTCCGTAGGTGTTGACGTAGACGCCTTCGTCCTCGTAGCAGAGCAGCATCTCCATGCCGTCTGAGCTGGGCAGGAAGACTATCGCGTGAGGCATCACATGGCTCTGGATCTGTTTGAGGGGGAAATGAAAAAAAGGGATCAACTCCTGGAGGTTTAACGTCTTTCCCTTTAAAAAAAACAACAAAAATAAACACCAATGTCTGCATAACTCACATGAACAGGTATGTAGATGTCATAGTTGTTTCCAGAGTCCACGTCGATGGCATGAAAGCCAGCACAAGAACCATAAATGACTTTCAACCTCTGACCCTCCTCCACTGTCAGGTCCACCAGGACCGGCCGGTGAGGCAGGTCAGCAAAAGACTGTTTACAAAGGAGCGGGGGAGGGGGAGTAGAAAGTGTGTGAGTTAATCAACTTGAATGCTCTTCTGGTTGATTGATCTGGCATAACTAATCCAGCTCAAAGGGGAAAAAAAAAAAAAAAAGGCAGACTAACCTTGAAGGCCATGAATTTGTGATAAGGTTTGGGCGCCCAAGCGTACACCTCCACTGCATTCTTCAAAGCAATCACCAGGAACTTTATCCTCTCGTATTTCACTGGATAGAAAACCACCACAAGGCCGCGCGACATCAGACACTTGTTATGAATTATTCACTCTGCCAGATGCATTCATGAGGACTGGTCAGGAGTTGAAAAAAAAAGACAGCAGAGATTAAACTGCCATCGTCTTGTCACTCACCCACTTTGTAGTGCACACAGCCCTCCATCTCCCCCACAGTGGTCCAGCCTTGCTTCTTCTCCACCTCGGGGTCGTTGTGGAGGATCTTGTTCCTCAGCCAGGCGAGGTAGTAGACACGCACTTTGTTTTTCTTGCCTTCATGAGCAAAAGGGGGGGACATCAATTATAACAGGCATTTATTCATTTAGTCATGATCTGAATGCTCTTATAAGCATCACAAATTTCCCCCACGGGGATAATAAAGTTTATCTTTAAGTTTATCTTTATCTTTATAAATAAAACGTTCATCAGTGCTCATCGACGGATTAGCTTTGGTCAGACTCTTCATTACATAGAAATTAAAAACATCCTGTCCCTTTGAAGAGCAAAGTCAAAATCCATGACACTCTGAAGGCATGAGGACAAGTTTGGCATCTCATTAAAGACAATGGTCCAAAGCCAAAAAAAAAAAAAAAAACCCCTACAGCTCTGACAGCTTTAAGCGAGTGTGGAGGGAGCAGCCTGGCGACGAGCAGCAGTAATGACCTGATATTGTGATGAGCAGGTTGAGGCCCTCCAGGACGTCCATCTGTTGGAACCTGCGAGAGTTGATGAGGGGGTAAACCTTGCCCTGACCACTGCGGTCCAGCAGCTTCAAACCGTTCTCTGTGCCCACCAGGAGGTTCACACCTTGAACAGACACACACAAGCACACACACACACACAGTGTTTTATTGAACAGATAACGAGTGAAATAATTGCCTTTCCACACCTACATGTGCTTTCTTTGCCGTTTACTTTTGTTGTAACTTGTCACAGAAATGTCTAATGCTTTCATATTTGATGATTATTTCCCCATAATAACCTGAAACTTTTTGGTAACGAGGAGATATTAAAAAAAAGAAAGACGCTTTAATGGGTAACTGTCAACTAGAATAGAGCCGTGGAGGAACATAAAAATACTCATTACTTTTCGAAAGAGTTTGAATTGATTTGAAAAAAAGAAAGACGTCTTCTATGGAAAGCAGGGACACAGTGTTCTCCAGCGAAGAGTTGTTAATGTCACGCTCTGATAATTAAAGGATGACCACTGGACTGAAATCAAATCTTCATGTCACATTTCTGTTTTTAAAGAGCAGAGCCCTGCTGGAGCTGACAGAAGAGCTTCTTTGTCAGGATGGTGAAGGACATAAGAAGGGGTAAAAAAAGACATAACAATAATTATGCAACTGGTTTCTCTGCACAGCACAGAGTAATAGATTAGTTCTGTGGTATCTGATCGTGTCTGTGTTTCATTTTTTCTTTTTCTTAGCTCCGTTCTCACCCCAGAGCGCAGCACACAGGATCTCAGAGTTGAACCTCTTCTTGTACTTGCGGATCTCAGGTGTGTCGTTGGGGGGGCGCGTGTTGGTTGGATTTACATTCACCATGGATCCTTTCCTCACCTCCATCTTCAGCTGCTCAAACCTCGAGCCTAAACACGGAGCAGTGTTGTGATTGGCTTAATTGAGGGAAGGAAAAAACACCAGAGCAGAAAGGTGCAAGGTTCGGGAGCTATGTGGTGATTTAATAGAGTTTCAACAATGTTTTTTAATACAAATACTCGGCTACATTTCATTTCCAGATGTGTATTTATCGTACAGATTATTACGGCAAATGTTAATGTTTATTATTCTTGTTTTAATGTTCATGAACACCTGAAGCCGCGGACTCACCAGTGACAGAGATGGTATCCCCTGTACTTCCTGGTGACTGGTACATGCCAAGATCCACAAAGGTTGTGAAGGAGGACTTTCCAGATGCTTTAACCAAACCTCTGGACTGATACTGCAGGAGAAGAGAGGGTGTGTGGTGTTTCCACATCAACATGGAAGTCCAGTAAGACTTTACATAACTGTACTTTTTTTTTTTTTAGAGAAAACTGAGAAATGTTAATTCAAAGAAAAGGATGAGTACTGATTGTGATGACATTCAAACTGACTTCAAAAGACCTCCTGGCTGGAATGATGGCAGACGGGGAACACGTAAAAATAAACCAGGAATTTAGGCCTGATATATTTAGCATCGTTGAACTCACATCATAAACAGAGTCCTTCCCGGGGGAGGAGTGGGAGGCTGAATCCGTGGGGGAGTGGGAGGGCTGAACCACATCTGGCAAGTTAGTGTACCCATTATGACTCCGCTTCTCTGGGGTCTATATGGTAAAAGAGAAACACACACACACACACACACACACGTTATGTAACACTGATTACTGATTTAGCTAATCTGCCGCACCAATTACCAGAATATGATCTATTTGAGTTGGACTGTTTTCCTGCAACTTTAAAGACATACAGCACCTTTAACAGTTTTTCACCTGACTGCTGCTCTTAAGAGAGGCTGGCTGAATAATTTCATGCTTGGGTCAGTAAGCGTGCATTTTTGGTATACGAGTAACTTAAGAAAATAGTTAACGACAAATATCGGTTTATGCCAACTGCATGAGTTTGTCTCAGTAAGATTAAGATTATCGACACCCTCTCTTTTGTCTCTGTTACAGTAGAGCCGTGGTTTGCTCACCCTCTGTAGTAAATGGGGAGAACTTTGTTTGCACATAAGAATGAAACATGACCGCCTGGAGATCCAAACTAATTTCACAGTACTATCTAGTGGATGTCAAAAAAAAATGTAGCACCGTTTCTGTTCTCATGTGATGCAGCTGAATGTCTGATTTTAAAACAGTTATTAACATATTAACTGTACGTGTGAAGATCATCTAAATTCCTCCTCTTTGTCTGCACTTCTTCATGTTTCCTCTTGTATTTATAATGGCAGCCAAATGATTTCCACATCTTTGATCTCCAGTGATGTAACTGCAGCTTGGCTCAAACACACAACACTTTTTCTTATTCAAATACACACACACACACACACACACACACACACACACACACACACACACAAAAGCATAACCACAGCAAACTGTTGCACTTCAGGGGAAGGTGACACTTCTCACATCCAACTCATCATCCGCCACCTGCAAGTCTGTCACTGAATCATATCCACGTCTCTCCAAAAACCTCAGAGATTTATACCAGCCTTACACCGAGTGGCTAAGGCAAGCTACACAATATAACGTATATATAGTTCCATCATAATTGACTAGGGTTGCAAAATCCTGGGAATTTTCAAAGTTCGAAACTTTCCACGGGAATTAACAGGAATTAACGGGAATAAACCGGGAATTTATAGAATTGAAGGTTGGCCCTTAACAGGGAACTTAAATATAGTTGGGGAAAATATATTTTAGCATCATCTTGACTAAAACAAACAATCATGCAAGTACACTCTATGCTATTCCTCAATCACACGCACATAGCACACTGCTTAACGCAGGGCTATTGAGGCCACGCCCCCTACATGCGCTGTGCATTCCTCCATCACATGCACAGATGATTTCTAGAACCCTGGACCACACTTTTGAGTCCAGAGCACAAGACTATTGAAGCCACACGTTTTAGCCCGGGGACTGCGTAAAGTGAAGTAAGTTTGGATGATATTATTAAGTAATATATTTTAAAAATGTGATGTATGGTATTAATATGATTTGGAATATTTCCAAAATTCCACAGCTTAAAGGCTTTATATGTGATTTCTTGATCCAGCAGGTGTCGCCCTTGAGCACCAGCATGAAACCAAAACAACTCGTGCTGCATTGTTGTGTTAGCATGCTAATGCTAGCGATCTTTATTATGCTGGTATCTTCACACTGCATGTAAATTTACCTGAAATGAGCGTGATCTAGAAACACAGTTAAGCAGTGAGTACAGTATGTTATTCTTCTTTTCTTTAGTCCCTCAATTAAACAACTTTTATACACGAGGGGAGGAGTCAGCCGGCCGTCCGGGCGATGTAAACAAACTGAAGATAGGACTCTGAAAACTCTGAAAGCATCACAGACAGTGGGACTCGGGTGTTACAACCATTGTAGACAGTCATGACTCACAGAGTTATTTTCAGAGGATATACTTGATTTCTACATTTAAGTATGAAAAATCACATATTAAGCCTTTAACTTTCCATGGAAGGTTTCCTGAAATTTACTGGAAATGTTGCACCCCTTTGCAACCCTATTATTGACACATACACATTTACAGGAGATCAGTGATTCTGTACGATGGGCTTTTTAATTGTTAAATGTGGGACGAGATCCTGAGCTAGCCAGTGGCTGATTTATTTCCCTAACACTCTTTAAATTACCAAACAGCAGATGTTGAACAGTGAAGCTGTGGCTATGGAACATTAATGTCTATTGTTAGCAGAGTTGGCACTGTATGTCTGTCTGCATATCCTCTGATTCATTCCTTCCTGGGCGCTTGTTGAACAATGCTGTAAAGTGCTGAATGAACAGAGACTATCTCAAGTGTTGAGGGCGTGACGCTGAAACCTGACAGCCATCATTGATGTGTTTGGGGCATCCTCCTGTTCTGCTATTAAAACCTTTTCAAGCAGCTTGCAAAATGTCGTCTGATGATGTCATGCCTCCTGCAGTTTTGCAGTGATGTGTGGAAATAAAAACACGAGCAACATAAGACAACAAAATCAGTCGGTTTGAATTTTTCATGCGTATTTACTGTGATGATTTTTTTCCCATCGAGTCTCATTGCATTTTAAGCATCGTTATGTATCAGATGACTCACCCTCTGCACCAGCATGGTCTGATCCCCGTAGCCTCCAGCCTGCTCCCCCTCACCCACCTCGCCTTCGTCTTCATGCACCACCATGGTGTTTACTGAATCTGTGTCTGCGTCCCTTTGACTGAAAGAGGAACACAAGTTTAGGAAGACAGAAACAAACGTTTTTATAGGGAGCACTGAAAACTTGTTGAGGATAAATGAAAACTTTGAATTCCTGTCTTTGTGTGTTTGTAGGGGCTTTGTTGTTGTTACCGATCAGTCGGGCTCTCTTCCTCTTCAACACCCTCCCCGCTCTCGCTTTCCTCACTGCTCTCGCTGCTCTCGGAGGACGAGGAGTAGTCGTTGGCCTTGACCGGGGGTCTCGGCTGCTCCTCGGTACGCTCCTTGGCAAAGAGGCCGTGGTCCTGTGTGCACACATTTCACGGCTACTACGGGATTTGACTTCAAACAATGTTTCAAACAAAACCTCAGGCTTGAAAGAAATGAGCAAAACACAGAACTGTGGAAAAGGACTGAAGGTGAGGAGTCATTGGAGGTTAAGAGACGAGACTTTAAACTCTCAATACTCTCAGAATTCATGATATCTTAGAAAGAATTGAAGTCATGATCGATTACAAGGTCTGTGAAACTATTAAACATATCACATGCACTTTCAAATCAAGAGTGGTATTTCATACAAAGACTAAACACAATTTAGCAGATGAATCAGGACAGTGTAGAGCAGGGCTATTCAATTGGCGGCCCGGGGGCCAAATGCGGCCTGCATGTAATCTCAGAGTGGCCCGAACCCAGTCAGCATGAATCCAATTAATGAAAAAAAATAAAATAATCAACAGCATACCGGCATGTAACTAGCGTGCAAGTGAGGCATCTTACTTCATTCTCATCTGTGTCGAAAGTTTGCCGTACTGATCAGAACGGACGTTCGTTTGAATGTTTTGTGGTATTCAAAACATTCAGACCATGCCTTTCCAAATGATTTATATAAAGAAAAACCAATGCGAATACAACTCCAAACGCAAAACTAACGTTGCAACGAGTGCGTTGCAGTAATTAAATAATATAACACTCGGATGCATCACGATGAAAAACACCTGACTTATCCGGACTAACTTTCTTGAGGGATCACAGGAGAGGGATGTTAAAGTACAGTTTGTCTCCAGCTTATGAGCGGAGACGTAACCCTGATGCGGACCTGCACAGCCCAACAGAGAGACACAGCAGCTTCCCCACAGCGTGTCACTCACAGAATTAGAGCAGTGAGAGGATGCATACTGGCCTTTTTGGATGAAGTGGCAGATGATGCGAAAAGTCCGGCCCTCTTCAAATTCCTGGTTTTAAAATCTGGCCCTTTTGAATTTGTAATTGAATAGCCCTGGTGTAGAGCATGCAACTCCACCAATGAATGCAGAAAAATAAAGTCATGCATGGACACTGAGCATTCAAAGACACACAGAGATACTAACCTCCCCTATAGCTCTCTTGTAACTCTGCTTATACAAAGTAACGCCAACAGGAAGGGAGGGGATTTAAGAACAGGAGAAACGTGAAGGGAAGGAGACAGCATCAGAGTCTTGAGAGACAAATGTTAGTGTGAAGGGAAACCCTTTAGATAGAGGACTATAGGTCAAGTAACAGAGCACAACAGAGAGATATTAGATCAAAACAAGCATGAGTACAGCATGTTAGGCTTTTTTATAACTTCTAATATCAAAGAGACATTATGTGCTGCATGCAAATCTTCAGTAATAATAAAACGGGTTGCCACAGTAGGGGGTTACTGAAGAGTCAGACAGTGTAACGTCTGTTTGAAGACGAACTTACAGCAGGGCGCCCTGGGCGAGAGGAGGTGCGAGACTCCCCCGGCTTATGACGACTATCGTGGGAGAGGATGGGTGAGTCCATTTTGGAGGTGCCTGAAAGGGTTACAATGTAGAGTGTAGTTAGGATGATGAAATGAGACTTACAGCAGAGACGGTCTGCAGAGAAATAGCACTTGGGGGGGGGGGGGGGCAGGGGACTCACTGAGGATGCGATGCCTCTCTAGAGAGCCAGTCTGGGGCAGGTTGGATATGATGCTCATGCTGTCTCCTCTCTCCCAGCGATCATTACGGCTCAGATCTGGATTGCTGCCAGGGGAATATCAAATTATCTCGTGTTGTTGCGTTAACCTTACATTATTCAGGAGGCATTTATTTAAAGGAAATATCCCATCAGGTGATGTTGGCTTCCTTCAGTACCTGGCTCTGACTGGATGCCGTATGCCAGAGGACAGGTTGGTGTTGAGAGCTGTAGCGATGGATGCCGTCCTCTGAGGAATCTGAGGGTGGAAACATCATTATCTGACAAAACAAATAATGCACACAAACGAAAAACAGTGGCCGAGAAGAACTTTTTGTTGTTGTTGTTCACCTCATCCTTAGGGTCTGTGTCTACTAAAGACTATTCTTTGTGCTGGCAGTGCCCATTTTGCGGCGTCAGTAGCATCGTTTGTTGCGACATTCAAACAGGGCCCTCCTTCTGAGCTCATCGCCCCCATAAGAGCACACTCACCGCAGGGCGTGTGTACGTTTACTGCTTGTACCTGCACTGCAAGCTACTGCACGCTAGCACAAGCTAACCACAGGTGTTTGGCCTGTCCAACAGAGAGAAGGCAAACTCCTCGTCTGTGGGTGTAAGCCAACAAAGTGTTCGCCCTCGTTTTCAGAGCAAGCTTTACATGCTTGCCGTTTTGCCTCACTATGATTAGCCTATAGTTTCTCTTCCTTTGCTGCTACGTCCGCCTCTGTCACTGACTTGTATCCACTCTTAAACTCTCCTGCGAGCTGTCATTGGCTGGGTGAAACACAGCAAGCGCCCCGCACTAAAACTTTCCGTGTCAACCAAAACATGAAAATCTGAGTCGAGGACAGGCTCTCTGCAGACACAGTCACCACCACACATGTATGGAGGCCCATAAGTGAGGATTGAGCGACACTGCTTTTCTTTAAGTCTATATTTACACACACAGCTCCTACACTGCACCTTTTGTGTTTTTTATCTTTATTTTTTACATTTTACATTTTTAAATTCTATTCTATATATTGTAATAGCTTCTTTTACTGTACTATTTAAGTTGTTGCTAGTTCTGCGTTATCTCCTTGTTAATTGTTTAGCACCAATACACCAAGTCAAATTCCTTGTATGTGTAAATGTACTGGGCAATAAACCTCGATTCTGATTCTGATTTTTGATTTTTTTTAGGGAAAAGCTACTGACTCTATCTTTACATGAATTCAGTTTAGTGTTTTCAGCACTCAGCTTCACAAAAAATATCCTGAGTGTCAGCTGTTACTTGTCCCTGCGCTCTGAGCTGAAAATAGTTCAACTTTTGGGACAACATGTGCTTGTTAATGTCACTTCTCTGAACCAATCAAAATCAATTACTCAAGTACCTTTAATTTTTTTAGGCTATTTTTGTGCTTTTATTGATATGAAAGTCAAAGAGAGACAGGAAATGTTGGGAGGAGAGAGTGGGGATTGACATGCAGCAAAGGGCCGAGGTCATATTCTAAACCACGTCCGCTGCGATGAGGACTATAGCCTCTGCAAAATGGGGAGCACAACATAACCACTAGGCTATCGGGCACCCTCCAACACAGTCATTTTTGACCTCACCTTGAAGGTTCCAATGATTCAGACAAAAAGGCTGAAGCACGGAGAGATCTGCAGGGATGTCAGGCAAGTGTCTTTAACACTAAACATCTGTGAGAAGCACTCTTACCTTGGGTGGGAGTTCCACATCCGGCAAGCGGATCCACGGCCCGCGGTCCTCTCTGATTTGGTGAGCCTGTGGTGCCGGGGTTTCAGAAGTAGGGTCTGAGTTTTGACGCACCAGCTCTCTAGAGTGGATGGGGCGGGGTGTGGGAGCAAGTGAGGGGTCCTGGGTGGGGAATGCGGACATGGTCTTAGTGGGCTGGTCACAGAGAGACTGGGAGCGAGGGACAGGGGCAGCGTAAGGCTTCAAGGGGACCAAGTGAGCCATTTGGAACTGCAGAGAGAGAGATGAGCAGAAGCAGCCGTGAAGAAGAAAGAGCGCGCAGGAGAACCAGAAGAGGCGGGCCAGAGTCAAGAAGAATGCAAGGTTGAGTTTTTATCCCAAAGTTTTTACATGGATGATTGCACATGGGGTTGGGGGGGAGGAAGAGAGAAAAGAGGGGGAAGAAGATGTAAATAAGGTAGCACAGAGCAAGAAAAAATTAAGCAACTTCAGAATTAGTGGCAGAAGGGGCTAAAAAGTTGTAATGCTTTTTATTTTGTAAGGAATTGTAAAAACCTGGCCAACACCCACCTTTCCTTGACCCCCCTGCGGTTCAACAGGCCTCTGCATGGGTGGGGTCTGAGAAGACTGCCCCACTCCTGATTGGCTGATTGAGTCAGAACGCGATGGATGGCGGTGTCAGAGACGGTGGTGCAGATTTTGGGTGAGCCCTGTCTGTTGAGCTTACTCCGCTCCTCCACCTGCATTAAGAAACAGTGAAATGAGTTTGTTCCCTGTAGGCCAGTGCACAAAAGACTGACACTTTGTGTGCAGTCGAGATGAAAGCAACAAAAATACCTCACGAGCCCAAGTGGGTTTGTTGTTGGGCTCCAGGTTTTTGTTAAAGTGGTAGAGCTGGGGCTTCTTCTCTTGCTGCTGCTGCTGCAGAGACACAAGGTAAGCGTGCTCCTGCTGCAGCTGCCTCTGCAGCCGCTCTGACTGACGCTGCTCCTCCAGCTGTTTGCGCTTATACTCCTGAGCAGAGAAGCACACAGCGCAGGTTAGCCGCGCTTTCTTAAGACTGCACAACAGAAGGATCAGACAGGTTCATTTAAGTTCATGCAGAGACTCTGTGTGTATATTTGTCTGACCAGTACAGATTGAATCCATAGAGATAATTAAGTTCGGCTGACCAACATCTCAAACAGTGTTCCCCTATTTTTAGTGCGGCGGTCAATTTCCATCCCACGTCACTAGAATATTGACTTATGATGACTTATTGTTTTCTCATCGAGAGTTGAAGGCCCAGATCTCCAGGCCTTTTAGAGCTGCTGCTTTCGTAAGAAATTAAAAAGAGTGAAGGCTGTCAACCACGAGTCACTCCAATGACATTACTTTCATCAGCGAGGATTAGATTTCCATTCATCAACAGCCAAATCGACTCTCTGAGCATCACAGACGTTCCCTTCAATATATCTCAACAATCTTAGGACCAAAGAATCAAAGAAGAAATGTTTAATTTCTCATACATTTGTTCAATCGCTCTCAACTTTAATCCCCCTGGGCCACAAAGCAGAGCACTAAGACACGAACAGAGATCTTCAGTATGAGGCATATCACATATGGCCCACGCTGAGAGGAGACTAAGAGCACGAGACTGCGGATACAAACATCCAAAACAAACATTTCTCAGATGTCCCTCCACACTGAGAAAAAGAACAGTCTGGCACAAGGTGACTATGCCTCACTGTGGTGCTTCCCTGTGCTGGGGAGAGGACACAGGGAAGCAGACTGAGGATACAATGAAAGCATTGCAGAACGTTCCTAACAAGAACCTTGAGAAAGCTTTGATTAAAAAGCATTCACAGGTTCCTTTTCCTGCTCTGCTCCTACAGAGAATACAGTATGTTTAATGTTAGGTAACCTGTTCCTATTTTAACACCCCCAAAAGCGGCCTTGATTTCATTAAAAGGTCAGGTTAGTGATGTCATCAAGTTTCACACAGCATAGGAGATGACAGAATGCTGATTTTCCTTCCTGAAGAATAACTGAGAGGACAGCTTAGTGCAGCTGAAGAGAAGGCAGCTCAGACTTCCACCTGTTAATATATTCATCTGATGTTGGCCTAACTGCCTTAAAACTTTCATAATGGCAAAATTTGCATCAGAAAAAGTCAAACAGAGATTGATATCGATTCATATCCAGCAGTGAATTTGTGGTCGACTCCACACTTCCTGTCGTTCCTTTGCAGTCTTTGCTTTGGTTAGATTTAACTTGATTTCAACAGTTCAACAGTTTGGCTCCCAGTCTACCTGATGCCAACTTCATAACATGTGAAAAAAGCACTATGAATAGGTTTTTAAAGTGAACCAGGTGTAGAAAGATTGAAGTCGTGTTTGATTTAAATTTAAGGACCAAAACGGAGATGGTTAAAGGTGTATTTCAGATGCTAACATGTGTGGTTTTACATACAGTTCACAAAAGCTCACTGAGTCCTTTGAACCACGATGGCGCACTAATGACTTGAATTAAAGTTGGTCAGCTGAAAATCAACTCCTGTCTTCAGGCTTCAGCGTTATCGGGCCCAATAATGATGAAGCAGCTTATTACTTTTGGGATGACCTAAATGGGAAATAAAGATGACTGCCTCATAGCACTGGTCTGGGAGTGAACTGCTAACACCTTCTCAAATTCTAATATTCCTTAAGCATGGCACTGGACTCAGAAAACCACCCCACAATAACACTGCCTCTATGTGACTACGATCTGGAGCCTTTAGGTAGAAGATAGGGCGTATACACAGGGATTGAGTACAGTGAGGATTGAGCTCTTTCTCCCATTCCAAAAAGAAAAAAAAAACAAGAACAAAGAGCTAACACAGCACAGAAGCCAGCTCAAACTAAAAATTCATGATCGTTCATTGTCAGCAAGAAACACTCACTGAAATCTGCCCAAACTGGCCCAAAATGTAGGTCAGCGCATGCTTTTTCAAGACATGCCATATTGTGGGATATGCACCCACACTCTTCGTCAAGTAGAGCGTTTCTACATGAAGACGCCGCACATCTAGAACCTGTATACCAGGGCAACTGTAATGAAAAACCGCTACATATATGTTTATTTTGACGACAACAGAAACTATTGAAAAAGGGACAGAAGTCAATTTTCTCATCGCCGATCAATACATTTCCCTCAGGACGTGGAAACATCCGCGACAAAGACAAAAATTATGTGAAGAGGTAGTGAGGGTTGGTTACCATGAGCAGTGCTTGCTCCTGAAGCAGCTGCTGCTGGAGGATTTCTAACTGCCGCTGCTCTTCTTCTAACTTATGTCTGATAAACTCCTGGATGGGAGGAGAGTGGGAATGAAAGGTATTAATGTGAGAAAGGAGAGAAGAAGATATACGACAGAGGAGGAGAAGACAGGGACTGAGAGCAGCAGTAATTCCTCTAAATGACACAAACTATGTTACGTACTGATGCAAGAATAGACAGTCTGACATTGGATTTTCAAAATAAAACATGCACACAGTTGTTAGAGAATCATATGAATTAAAACATAAATCACTGTCGTGCAACTTTAAGATTGTGAAGTTTTAGAATCATTAAAATACTCAGCAGTACTTTATAATTATTGTAGGGTGCCATACAAACATTAAATCAGTGTTTTTGCACTACTAGGTGATAGTGTTGTGAAGCCAGACTCTTGTGTTACCGAGGGTAGACTGGAAACTGCAAAAAAGAGACGCAGAGAGCTCACCCACAGAAAACCATCTCTGAATAAATACACTAATTTAGACCCTTGCTGCTATGGCAACCTACTCGTGGAATTTCACCACCAGAGCAACTTGCACAGTGCTGCTAGTGGACACGCCCACACAGCACACTGATTGGCTGATCGGCAAACCCCACGTCTCCTGCTGGTTGGTTACCTGCTCCCTCTCAGCCAACCTCCTATCTTCCTCCCGTCTCATATCGTCGAGTCTCCGGTGGGGACCCTTTTCCTGCTGCCTCACCATCTCTCGCTCCTTTCTCTGTTGCTGGGAGAGAAGGGTGACAGGAGAAAAAAAAAAGAAGAGAAAAATGAGCACAGAGGCTATGTTTGCACAGGGGAATTCATAATGGGGAGCCTGCTTATGACTAAAACCTCTCTTGTTTTCTTTTGTGCGCAAAGAGCTGGGAAAAAAGGAGAAGAAATAAAAGGTAGCGGAAGTGCAGGGCAGAGAATAGAGGCTGTGAGTCAGCCTCACTAACACACACCTAAAGCATCCTAATCATCTCAGAGTGAGCTGCTTTGATATACATTTAAACCGACTGTCACTTCCGCAGGTGGCGGCTTTTTATGTTTCTTAAAAAAGGGGACATTCAAAGAAGAAGGTTGGGTCCCCATGAGAATCTCCCACTTCAAGACACTAAACACTCAGAGCTTGTTTGAGCTCCTTCAGAGAGTTCAGTCTTTACAGTTTAAAAAGAACAGACAGGGAGGACAGAGGAGGAGGAGATGCAGGTATATTAAAGGACTTCACTCTTACTGCAGTGAAGCGGCTCACCGATACAGCACAATACTTAATGACAATATCGCTGTAATTATGTGCTCCTCGTTCAAATCCCAACATAGCTTGTCAAGACGTTTCACAGCTGCGGACCCTTCGCACAGCCCCACCGGTGAGCTGAGTCAGGTTAGACCGTCTTCAGCACCGAGCACAAGATTTATTCAAATGATGCCTAAGATCTTAAAGTTGCAATCTCCGTCATCACAATCAAAACAGTATGAACACAAAATGTTTTATCAGTTTGTAACTTTCACATATTATCTGCTCTGAAGCCTAATCCACTGGTTTACAGCTATTCAAAATCAAAAGTTAAGAGTTGTTAGCCTCTGTTAGCATGACCCATGAAATGATCGTCTGACTCCACAAACCAATCATTTTGTAGTCCTGTCTTACAGTCTGTGGCGTCTACAGGCTGTTAGGCAGAGCTTTCTAAAAAGGCTCTGTTTTCTTTTTCACCACAATGACATTGAAATCAGATAAAATGTTCAAGCATGTTGTGTTGCCTTCTGGAGAACAAAGAATATATTTGCTGCTAGCCTGGAGGAGTACAGCCTCTGCACATGGGGCACGCACAACAACCACTAAGCCACCGGCACCCCCCCAAAGATGATGTGTTGAAAAGGAAGCAAATTTGTGCAATATCAGTTTTAAACTATTAATTTCAGTCTTTCTTAGTTAAACTGTTTTCTTAGTCGAAACTTCTGGAGCAGCTGATTAAGGGAAATATAAAAAACCATAACTTGATTATATCTGATATGGATTACAGAATGAATCATTATCAGTTATTTCAGCGTGCACTTTCAATCGTGATGTTTTTGTTATGTTGTTCTTAAAGCTCTACCACTGCTAGCAGGTAAGCTGGCCTGCATAGTGTTTACATTATTTAATCTAGAAATCTTTAAAATAAGAAATAAATAGAAATGATTTAGCACACGTGTGGTTTCTATGCACTGCATTGTTCGATCTGTTCAGCACATGAACACACGGGTGTTTTGTAGTGTGTGGAAACTCATTTTCAAACTGCCAAATGTAGCTTTTCAAATACGTTCACCCTGTTGTATGCATTCAAAGTTTATACATCTAAGGTGTTATATAACGACTGAAGTAGGGCCCACAATAGAAGGCAATCATAAATACTGTGAACTCATGACCAAGTAAGCAACGGGAAATACTGACCTGAAGATTAGAGAGAATACAAGGGCAACGGCAAGTAGTTAAGAGCAGGCACATTACAGCCCATTATTTCACTGCTTCATACAGCTTAGCTTTGAATTTAAAAAAAAAAAAAAGTACAATCATGATGCATATTGTGTAAGTAGCTGCAGCCTCTGTGTGTGTGTGTGTGTGTGTGTGTGTGTGTGCAGGACATTTATCCATTGACTGACTCAAAACCAAACAGCAGACAGACAGATCGGGATGATCAGATTCAAGTCGATACAAAACATTTGGAGTGTGTTTTTCCGAGTTTGACACAATCCTGACTGTGTGCTTCTGCAAGGACAAAGACACTAAAGTGAGTCTTTGCATTCTCTTAAGCAGGGAGAGGATTCATGCTCTGCTGGTGCTTTATTTGAAAACAAAAGGAGACAGTGCCTTTGAGGTTGTGGCACCTACATTTTGGATCTGTCTTCCCCCCCCCGGAACTGAGAGCCGTGAACTCTGTGGACACTTTGAAAAAGCAGTGAAAGACCCATCTGTTCAGACTTGCCTTGGTTTGATTTGATTTTTTTCTTCTTTGGGTGCTGTGGTTGTCTAGAAATAATTACAGCACAAATATATATATTCTTTGGGGGGATAACTCTAATCAAATAATTCCCAGAAAGGAAAATGTTTTTCATTGTATTGTTAGACCAACACTTCATTTAGATTTGTTTTAGGGCTTGTTTCGACCTAATTGAGACGGGACAGTGTATGGAGTCAGATACTAGGGAGAGAGAGAGTGGCACAATGGAGCCACAGGTCGGATTTGAACCTGGGTTACAGCCTCTAGGCCACCGGCGCCCCAAACCTTCACTTTGAAAAGTGTTGATTAGTACCTCTTCAAGTCGACGCCGCTGTTCCTTCTGTTCTTCAATGCGTTTCTGTCGGTCGTGCAACAGCTGCCTCTTGTGCTCCTCGGGGTCTCTGCGCTGAGCGGCCAGTTGGGCCTGCTGCCTCTTGTGAGCCTCGGACCGCTCTTTGTTCTCCTGCTGCAGACGCTGGAAGTCCCGCCTCAAGGTGGACTCGCCGGGCACATTGAGGATTGAACTGATGACCAAAATAAAATAAAATATGACAGAGATGATTATGAAGGCAATCATGTATGCAGATAACATGAGGCAATGTGTCTGTATTGATTGACAGTGATGACAGAATGTTTTTAACCTAGACTCTCTGTCATCTCCACGATTTTCATCCTCTTCATCACTACCGCTGTACTCATACTCCGTCTCTTCTGTAGGACCAATCAGAACAAAGAGAAGTCAAATACTGCTTTAAAATACATTGTGACATACTAACCTTTCCTATACATCACATAATAAATGTTGGGCCATATCCATTTAGGTTCCTCTCCATCTCATCTTCTCACCTTTCTCTCCTCGTTTCTTGCGAGTTCGGTCGATGTGGTCTTTGAGCTGGATTCGGACCTGGCGCTCGGTGGGCTGGTCCCTGATGAAGGAGTGCTTGAGCAGCTGCTCCGTCGATGGTCGGCTGGTGTAAGTCTTCACCAGACAGCCCTCTATGAAGTCAATGAACTTCTTGGACCTGGCGTGAAGTGGTGAGGTAAGAGGAGGTAAGAGAGGCCAGGCTGCATGGTTATCGGATATGTTATTTGCACTTTGCATGATATCAGCAGGGCTAAAAAGTTAGAACAACACTATCTCATTGTAAGTGACACTTGCCGGTTTTGTTTACATGCTACAGCCGAGTAAGTTGTCGTCTGCCTAGCTTGTCAATAGCAGTGCCCGCGTTTCCATGTTCCCATGAATGTTTGCTTGCCGACTTGTGCGACACTCAAACACGTGGGACAAGATTTGTGTTCATGGTTTGAGTAAGAAGGAGAACAAACAGGAAAGCTAATCTTGTTAGCAGACTGCTCTCTGGCTGTGTGTGAGCGTCTGCCTATAGTAGAGGCTCATGTTGCTGCTTTATGCAAGGGGGGATTGGCTCTATCAAAATAAGGTCAACCTCTAATGTTAGATCAAACATGACAGGATCCTGTGGAATTGAAGCTAAGTTAAGGGTGCTGCATAACACACACTGCATGTGATTCACAGATTTACTCAAACAGTAATGACATGTAATATCAGCTGGACGTTTGACTTTCCTTTTGCAGCATGTTGAGGTTTTTTTTATAATCCATTTATAACATCTAAAAGGAGTCCCTTAAACAGGATATGACATAAGTGAACCTGAAATTCAAGAAAACCGCAGGAGGGTTTGTAACTCACCATTTTTTGGATTTCAGTTTCGGAGGGGGATTCCTTGGGATAAGGAAGAGGGCTCTCATCGGGTGCATGTCACACAAAGCTGAGGGTAAAAAAAGAGGATATGTTGATTGTTATCAAATCCTCCTACCCATGCTAAGAGACTCAGTACCAATAAAGGGGGGGGGGGCTTTTATGTAAGACAGAATATCATGTTTTAGTACTTTGTAAATAATACTATCCACCGTTACACGCTCTTTGTATCCTCAAACATGGCTACAGCTGCTGTTATCCAATAATTCCTGGTGCCCAGGCTTATTGTTACATTGAATGTGAGAGCAAGGCCTGTGAGTCATTGTGTTCCCAGCGTAGGTAGGTAGATAAACTTTGCAGGCCTGTTTGTGGTACCTACAGTCTCTAAATGTACTATGGGATGTAGAGCCTTCAGTTATCAGGCCTGTTTGTGGTACCTACAGTCTCTAAATGTACTCTGGGATGTAGAGCCTTCAGTTATCAGGCCTGCTCATGGTACCTTAAGTCTCTAAATGTACTATGGGAGGTAGAGCCTTCAGTTATCAGGCCTGCTCGTGGTTCCTACAGTCTCTAAATGTACTATGGGATGTAGAGCCTTCAGTTATCAGGCCTGCTCGTAGTACCCTACAGTCTCTAAATATACTATGGGATGTAGAGCCTTCATTATCAGGCCTGCTCGTGGTACCTTAAGTCTCTAAATGTACTATGGGAGGTAGAGCCTTCAGTTATCAGGCCTGCTCATGGTACCTTAAGTCTCTAAATGTACTATGGGAGGTAGAGCCTTCAGTTATCAGGCCTGCTCATGGTACCTTAAGTCTCTAAATGTACTATGGGAGGTAGAGCCTTCAGTTATCAGGCCTGCTCGTAGTACCCTACAGTCTCTAAATGTACTATGGAAGGTAGAGCCTTCAGTTATCTCGTGGTTCCTACAGTCTCTAAATGTACTATGGGAGGTAGAGCCTTCAGTTATCAGGCCTGCTCGTGGTTCCTACAGTCTCTAAATGTACTATGGGATGTAGAGCCTTCAGTTATCAGACCTGCTCGTGGTTCCTACAGTCTCTAAATGTACTATGGGATGTAGAGCCTTCAGTTATCAGACCTGCTCGTGGTACCTACAGTCTCTAAATGTACTATGGGAGGTAGAGCCTTCAGTTATCAGGCCTGCTCGTAGTACCCTACAGTCTCTAAATATACTATGGGATGTAGAGCCTTCAGTTATCAGGCCTGCTCGTGGTACCTTAAGTCTCTAAATGTACTATGGGAGGTAGAGCCTTCAGTTATCAGGCCTGCTCATGGTACCTTAAGTCTCTAAATGTACTATGGGAGGTAGAGCCTTCAGTTATCAGGCCTGCTCATGGTACCTTAAGTCTCTAAATGTACTATGGGAGGTAGAGCCTTCAGTTATCAGGCCTGCTCGTAGTACCCTACAGTCTCTAAATGTACTATGGAAGGTAGAGCCTTCAGTTATCTCGTGGTTCCTACAGTCTCTAAATGTACTATGGGAGGTAGAGCCTTCAGTTATCAGGCCTGCTCGTGGTTCCTACAGTCTCTAAATGTACTATGGGAGGTAGAGCCTTCAGTTATCAGGCCTGCTCGTGGTTCCTACAGTCTCTAAATGTACTATGGGAGGTAGAGCCTTCAGTTATCAGGCCTGCTCGTAGTACCCTACAGTCTCTAAATGTACTATGGGAGGTAGAGCCTTCAGTTATCTCGTGGTACCCTACACTCTCTAAATGTACTATGGGAGGTAGAGCCTTCAGTTATCAGGTCCCTCTCCTTTCAAATCCTCTACCAGTCAGGGTCCGAGAGGCAGACAGACACTGTACTTTCAAGAACAGGCATTTCTTTTTGATAAGGATTATAGTTAGGGCTGGTGCAGGTCTGGACCAGCTCCTAGTTATGCTGCTATAGGCTTAGACTACTGGGGGAACTGGCACCTTGAGCTCTTATCTCCCCCTCTCTCTCTCCTTCTCTCTCTGTGCATTCACATCAGATTACTACATGTCACTATCTGTAAATCTTAGTTTCTAAACACATATTTTCCTGGGAGCTCCTGAGCTCTCATGTCTTGTAGGTTAATCGGGATTGTTGGTGGGGATGGCCTGCTGCTATGCCCCCCCCCCCACTCCCCCTATGTTTGTCCCTTTCCTTCTTCCAGCATCTTATCCCATCTCCCCCTGTTCCATTTTCCTTTTGTAACAGAACAATGAATATGGTCTTCTACCTGCTTTTTTAAAAGTGTCACAAGATTACATTTGTTATAAATTGGCACTATACAAATAAAGATTGATTAATTGACTTACAGAGGGAACGCAGTTACCCTGATAATAATCATGACACTTAATGTAATACCGTTATACATGTTTAATATGTACAACAGAGGGAATCTAAGCATAAACACATTTTTTCTCAGCTGGATTGCATTGTTTACTTTGGATTGTAAAGAATTGGACACCTGCTGATAGGAGGACGGTAGGTGAGGTGTATCATCATCTTGTCAGTGGAAATGATCGAGTACACAGACTGAAATGTTCTGCTTGTTCAAGCGAATAACTGAGTTATTGTACAGACAAATAATGAATGATCCTTTAGTCATCATAAAAAGTATTCATGCCAAATCAGTTTTCTCATACTTTAAAGTCATATATCATAGACAGTGTGGCGCTATCCCTTTGGTAAAGTGCTGCCGTTAAGTGCTGCCGAGAATGTAAGGAAGAAACATTTTCACAAGTCTATATCAATCATTTTCTACACTTATATACTTAAGACAAACTATGATGTGTGAACAGAGTAAAAGGCAAGCTGGGACATGTCATAAGATTTCTGATAAGCGGTTTCAAGTGTTGATGATGAAAGGAAACAATGTTGAATTCCCAGTAAGGCTGACTGATAAGGAGCTCAGCGTAAGCTTAAGCAGGAAGACAGGTTATATTCTCTCACACGTACTTCAGTTATCAGATTGATGCAGTGAGCAAGATCACACTGTATAATTTATAATGGTGAATCAACACTGGTGTCACTCACAGCAGCTTCAACATGACCTGCAGGAGCTCTGGCTTCATCAGTCAAGTTCAAAAAGGAATCAAAATAAGTTTTTGACTAAGGAAAGGTAGACTTAGATTGTGCTTTTCTTTGACTGATCATATGTGTCTGGTGTGACTTCCACATCAAAGTTGAACATCCTTGTTTTAGAATTCTTAATAAAACTTTTCCTCTCATTGGAAAAACCTACAGGAAACTATTCCCAGTGTATGTCCCCTGCAGACGTACATGTTTTCATATCCCCTTCATTAAAATCGGAAAAGCTTTAATAACCAAGTGTAGTCTCAAAAAGTAAAACTCAGTTTTGATTGGAGTAGAAATTCATTTAGACTCAAATTGTTATTCATGACGGCTTAATTAGCCCTCAACTCAGCGACTACCCGCCCATGGCTGTACACTGCAGGCAGAGTTTAAACCTAGTTTGTTACAATAAGGAGCACATTAAGCAGCAGTCCCATAGTATTAGTGTTATTTTTATGTAGAATGTAATTCTTAACAACAAGCCAACGTGTGAAGAGTGTGCTCTCTTCTATTGTTGCTGGGCTTTAAAAGCTGCACTCCTCCAACCACAGACTGGTCAAATGTAGCAGGATCCCATTTAGTCTTTTTCCACAACAGACTGGAGTCCTGTACTGTCCAAACACATGAGCTGCTTCTCTAAAGTTTTATATTCTTTTTACTTGTGTAACTCTGTCCTTATAACACCATTCTGATGCCAATCTTGCAGACAAATGTGTGAAAAGCGACGCTGAAATGAAACCATTGTTTCATTCTTTTTTTTATGTGATAGTCCGAGGATCAAAGAATAGTGGAAAGATGTTACCGACACGTTCTCACAAAAAAAAGCTACCACAATGTCCACAGCTCTGTGTACCTGATGTGATTTCTTTCTCTCCTTTTCAATGCAAATGCTAAATGGACTTGAGCTTGTATGGCGCTTTTCTAGTCTCCTGACGCTTTCACACCGGCAGGTCACACCTACACATTGACACACTGATGGAAGAAGCTGCTATGTAAAGTGACCATCAGAAGTAATTAATCCCATTCATATACATCTGTATGCCGCAGATGAATCAGCAGGAGCAACCTGAGTTTCAGCGTGTTGCTCAAGGACACATCGGACATGTGGTTTTGAGTGACTCCACCAACTCTACCAACTGATCCACAGCCGCCCAAAATGTAAAAGGAATTTATCAGAATATCAGGAGAAATACATCAGTAAGTGTTTGAATACCTCTTTTACTTTCACCTTTAGAATCACAGAAAACCGGGTACCTCTTTAAAACATGGTAGCCTTGGACAGTTAGAAATAAGATGTGACTTGAGTCTGTAAAGTTTTTATATACCAGCATAGCAACCACCTGTTAGGGCTTAGTGACCATTTCAGTTTTTATATGCCTGTTATATTATATCCAGTTACTGATTCAAATTTACTCCAGTTATTATATTTAACTTTCACTAACCTTTTTTTTTTTTTTTACTAAACTATGTTGATGTTAACGCAATCATTAACCTTTAGCTCTCTTTGTAGATGAATACTGACAGACAGAGACGGAGAGGGAGCTTTGGAGCCTGTGTCAACTACCGGCATTCTTTTCGCCCTGCCAGTGCTTATTTTACAAAACCAAAGCTCAGCGTCCTCGGCACTGAAACGCATTCTGATCTCTGTCGCTGCACTCACATCGCTCTCGATAGAAAAGTGTGTTCGACTTCTGGAGCACCGCCGCGCTCGTCACTGTTCCATCTCCCTCTTGGAAAGATCGAAATCAAGAAGGAGAAGGACCCCCCAACTTTGCCAGTAACAAAATGGTGAAAGAGAAATGAATGCTTTACCATGGTTGATCTCATGCATTCAGACTCGTTTCTCAGAGGCTAGAGCCGCTTATATGCCAGGACATGATCCCTTCCCATTTTCTTTGATAAATATTCTTGAATACTGGCTAATATTTATCACACTAGCGATTTAAAACACACTTATCAGTCAATACTAAGGGAAGCACTAGTGCGGTGGGAAGACTTTCTAACCTAACAACAGTAAGTGGTCTGAAATTAAAGTTTTGGAAGCTGTCAGAGTAAAAAAATACCTAAGCAGACACAGGCCCTTGGTACTTTTGTAATCGCCTCAATGTTTTGGTACAAAATGGCAAAAATATATCGAAACAAAAAGAGACCTTTTTAGTAAAATTGACATGGAATCTCAAGGCAGAAAGACCTCACTTAAAGCAGAGAAATCTGTGCAATCAGCCTCCACAGGGCCGACTGCCAGCTCATGACTACACTACCTTGATTACAGTGAGTCAGCTGTCCATCTGAAGACACAGTCTACAGGGCTGCATATGCAAGACGGGACTCATTCACAAGGTCTTGCAGAATGCAGCTCAGAGACGGTGAGTAATTATCTGCTGCCGAGTACAAAGAATTATGTATGATATAACCAAGAAGGGATAACTTACGTGGAGCTCCCTCCGCCATCTCTATGGCTGTGATCCCCAGGGACCAGATATCGCTCTGCAAAACACACGAGGTACGGTGTCAGGCTCTCTCTTTTAATGTTATCTCACAGCACAGTGCTAACACACAAACATAGCGCTGCTGTTACCCTGTAGTCATAGGTGGAGTCAGGGTTCTCATCACAGGCGATAACCTCAGGTGCCATCCAGTAAGGTGTACCGATAAAGGTGTTCCTACGCCCGACTGTCCTGTCCAACTGAGCGCTGACACCAAAATCCACTGAATTTGGAAGAAGGAGTCACAGTAAGGGATAAAGGTTTAGATGATGAGGGATCAAACACAGTTAGTTTTCAAGGTTTCAAAGCACTCAGCATACCCAGTTTGACCTCTGCGTTCTCCGTTAGCAGCACGTTCTGGCCCTTGATGTCTCTGTGGATCACTTTGTGGGCGTGGAGGTGAGAAAGGCCCTGTGAGCACATGAGGAGGTCAAAATGATGGTCAGTAAGGAGCAGGGAGTGCCCTCTGCTGCAGACTTTGTTTTTGCCTGATGCAACAGCGACTTCTCACCCTCAGGATCTCTCTGCAGATGTAAGCAATCCAGTCCTCCTTCAGGGAGCTGCCCTTTGTGTTTTTCACCAGGTCGGTCACTGATCCCGCGCCACAGAACTCCATCACCAGCTGCATACGGACAAGCACAGATTTTTTTTTTTAGTGAGTGTGATCAATGAGGCGCAGTGCTGCTGTTTCATCAGGGCAGCTACAAAGACAATACAGACCCAGAGTTGGTCGTCATGTCCCGGTGGACTCTTCTTGACAAAGGCACCGTAGTATGTGGCTATGTTTCGGTGGTGGCTGTATTTTTTCAGCATGTTGATTTCGGCTTTGATCTCCTCCTCTTCCTCCTCTGTGACATCCATCACTTTGATGGCGGCCAGCTGGCCCGTCTTCACGTGACGGCCCTGGTTCAAACACAAGTCGGATCATCAGAACAGTGGTCGACATGGGTTGAAATGAGCTCGGAGCTCCTGCATTTCTGACCGTTTTTTGAATTTTGCCCTTTCAGTGCAGCTAATTCATTCATCCGGTCATTTCGCTGTGACTCTCTTATCTTTGTGTCATAGTTACTTTAAACTCCTCAGACTGCTGGGAAATGTGCTGGCGTAGCAGTTAGATAAATCAGGTGTAATCTCAGACATTAATGTACAGAACATTTAACTTTGAGCAGGCACTGGAGCATCACTCCAGCATGCTCAGTTTAACAGCCGTTAATGCAAATTCCAATGCATTATATATGCATCATCTCTCACCTTGTACACCTGCCCATACGTCCCATTGCCGACCACCTCGACCAGCTCGAAGATTCCTGCTGGATCCTATAGGACACAAAAATAGAATCTGAAGTTACACAACATGCAGCATCAGATACAGCAGGACGACGTTCATGGTTTTTTCTGCCTTTGTGTGTTACTTCAGCTGAACACTTTGTACCTCCATATAAAGAAAGGATGTCAGTTTGGTGAGCTGACATACTTTATCCTCTTTGAAAATTCAAAAGACTACACACTCAAAACAAACCATGTTTATTTCCGTTTTGAAGTGGGTGAAGGTTGCTTTGCTCTTCTTCAATCCTAAACATTGATGGTTAAATGCCGACCCCTAAGAGGAGCTCTAATTTCTTTTAATGTTGTAACACTCATGTTTCTTTGTTAAGTGTATAACCCTTGAGAACTTAAATCCTACTGAATGGCACTTGTTGGAGTAACTTCTGCAATCTGGCTTCAGTATGTAAGCAAATAAGAGACACAAGTATTTTAATTTGAACAGCCACTGAAAACTTAATATTGAAATGTAAACACCACTGAATTCATACTTTGGAACCCACCCAAATACAAACCATGTATCTGAATATATTTGTTCTGAATTTACCTCTTTGAAATTCAGATCCAAAAAATGTAAGTTTCAGAGTAAAAGAAAAATAGATTTAGGTGGCTCAAATTCGATTGGTCAAATTCAGATCCAAAATTTCAAGTTTAAAATGTTTGTCATTGCAACGTCCGGGCTACCGGGGACAGGATAGGCAATGAGCCTGAATGCAATCGGATCGACTTCGGGCCTAACAGAGAACGGTCGGGCAGATCTGAATTTGACCAATCGAATTTGAGTAACCTGAATCTTTTTCTTCTTCTTCTTTTTTTTTTTCAAACTTTAATTTTTGGGTCTAAATTTCAAAGAGGTGAATTCAGAACAGATGAATTCAGTGGTGTTTAGATATACAGTATGAAGTATTCAGTGGCTGTTGAAATTCAAAAACTTCTCTCTAATTTGCTTCCATACTTCAGTTATCTTGGGTTAAAACACTGAAATAAAACCAGTCTAGATGCAAAGTACTGTTGAGGCTTTGCTGATAACAAAAATGTAATCAGGCCAACATTATTTTACAAGTCTTTCCTCTGTTTGTTTAATTTCCTCATCTAAGCACAGAGCAGCAGAATCCTTAAATTTATTGTACTGCTGCAATCTGGATTAGTCAAATGATCAACGGCTGCACTTTAAATCGTTTCCCCCGAGCTATAGAAGCTGTTTACATCCTTTAAAGTGAACAGGCTGCAGATCTATGGTTCTCCACAAACAAGGTCACGTAAACACAAAAAGGCCTAAACTGTCTGTAGAATTAAATCACATAGAAAAACAAGAAAACCCTGCCACACATTTCTGTTGACTATGACCAATTTAAATCCTAGACTACAATTCCAGATTTCCATACAAATCACCTTGAGCTCAAATCCTCCAGGCCACCCACTCACACACTCACTGCCCACCCACAGGACTTCACATGGAGGAAACAGACAAGCAAATACACTAAATATTGATACTCCATGGAAGCTGAATTCAGACAACATTGACTTGACTTCTATCCTGTACCTGATTTGTTCACTGCAATGAGCAAATACCTCATTGACACCAACAGTGAGTAGGTTGCTTGGACTTAATTATGCAACCCCCTCGACAAGAGACAAGGGAAAAGTGACAAGCAGCTCCACTTTCATGCAATTTCAATATGGCTTTAAGAAGATGTGTGGGTGGTGAGACTGCTGCTTTGGGTTTAGAACATACAGCATGACCTATCCTGCTTTCATCTGTTTCCAATGACGGCTTTTCTGCCTCCAACAAAGAGGGGGAAATTCTTGAGAGACACATTAATGGGAGGTGGGGGGAAAAAGCATGTATATTTGTGGAAGACTTGCCGGTAAGATTGGGAAATGACCTCAAATTGAATAGCTCATATGACACAAACATAGCCTCTAGATTTAAAAGCATGTTGTGTACGAGGACATAAATAGGGGGTTGGGGGGGTGTGACGTCAAGTAGGAGGCTTCAGAATAATGTTATGAAGAGAATAATGTAGCGATTGAGTGGGTGGCGAGGCAGGGGCGGCGGATTCACCCACGTCCAGCGCTCGGAGTGGGCTGAGAGGAACAAAGTGATGGAAGGGGAAGGGTACAGTCATGTTGGAGGAGCAGCACCACCACCAGCAGCAGCAGCAGTACACAGACAAGACAAATCGACTGCGATGATTTGCAAGGCAAGGAAGCAGTAAAACTACAGGGAAACCGGAGGAACCATCTACTGTCAGCCTCCTTAAATCATAAGAACAGCAGAGTTCCCCGAGTCTTGGTGGATATCATGCTGCGGTGGTAATGAGTAAGTCAATATATCGGAGAACCTCAGGGAACAATACAGATAGAAATCTCACAAGACAATTAAAATCTGATACAAATAAAGGGCGATTCAAATTGATGACACAAAAAAAATTGGTTGCGTTTCTCTAACCAGCCGAGGGCGCTATCTGCTATTGTCTTTTTTTTCCAGGTGGGTATCTGAAGAAGAGAGGCGTACAGACACGGTGGAGAGACAAGTGACGATTTTAAGGATAGGAATGAGTCTAGTTACAAAGCGGGGATGTAGAAGCAAGGCAGGCAGACAAAACTGGCATGTGCTAATACTGCGAGTGACTAATGAACATCACAAATAGAACAACCGACATGATGCAACACGTAAACTGGAGCAACGTCGAGAACAAGAGACACAAAATATCATCTTAATGACATAAACCTGGAAGTGGATTTGACACCGCCCACGTCTGGGTGCATGAGTGCAAGAGCGATCAAGATTATGAGGTGCACTGGTGTTTTAAGGCTTTTGGGCTGCTGATTAACACGCAAGAGCCAGAATCTGTGACCTCACTTTTCAAAAATATCAATCAAAACTTACAAAAGTCGTTTGTTTAGAAAATGTTGTGTGTTTAAAAAAGCTTTCTGTGTTTCAATAGCCCGATTCAGACTGCCGTTTCAAGTCGCTATATTTCTGCCCCGTGACGTTTCGCCTTCAATCTGGAGGTCACGGAGGCGTTATGGGGGGGGACGAAGTGATCGCACCTTGAGAGAGAGACTGTATCAGTGGAGCCAGCAGGGGGAGCACAGCTGTGCGTTAGTGCATGTCTGACTGTGTGTGTGTGTATGTGGAGCTCCACGCTGATGAAGGCTTAGTGCTGAAACGCGTCCGTTGTTGTTTTGCTGTTCTTTACCCGGACAAAGGAAACTTAAAGGACAGGTGTGTGTTGACTTTTCGGTCTCTTTTTAGTCGTGTTGCGGTCGCGCACCTGAAACTGTGTTTACTTAAAGTCAAGTGGCTTCCAGCCTATTGTCAGAAACTTGGTGAAACAGGGTACCAACACAAAAAGACACAAGACAGAGGTCAATGAGGAAGTGGAACCCACATTTCCTGAAGGAGTGTTGATTTAGCTGACAGAGGCCCGTCTGTGGTTACACAGCTGCAAGAATCATCACACCTCAAACACTCGCACTTCCTGAATATCATTCAAGAACGTGATTCTAGTTTTGTTTTAGTTTCAAAACATAACATGAATCAAGCACCAGAGGAGGTTTGTGACCCTGTATAAACCAGCTCTCTCAGAACGCTCCGTTTTGGTGTGTGTGTCTCTTTAAATGCAATGAGCACCCCCCTGAGTTTTCCCAGTAGACATAACTCCTCTGTATGGAGAATAAAAATGGAAGACCTGCGCAAAAGTTTTGTTCTAGGCTGGTGGTGGAGTCCATGGGTGGCGATATTTTGGATATTATTTTTATTTTTTTACCAGAATCCCACAGTGACATCACAAGTTGAGCAAATTTGAAATGGAGCACTTTTATCGGTGTGGTTAGACTTGATCAGACTACAAAAAAAAAACAGTGTAAAAGTGGATTTTTCACAATATGTCTCAATAATGAGCTACAAAGAGCCTTCTAACAACAATAAAACTTTAGTTTTCTCACATCACAGAAAGGGATCAGTTAGAAAAAACCATGCAATCGAAGAGATCTTGTGACTCCCCAGTCCCATTCTAGCATGAGAGAGAAGCTAGTTGACATTTCTGATCTTTTGGCGTGTAACTTATGCTGATGTTTTCAATAAAGCTTTGTCGAGCGGAAAGCAGCCTCCGTCTGAGCTCTTCTTCATATTACAGCATCCATCTCTCCCCATCTTATGTAAGGTTATTTATTCCAAACACAACAAGCTCAGACTACTCCACTCCTTCAAAATAAAATCACAAGAATCATTTCTCAGAAGCATCGCGTCCAGGTGGCTGTTTGTTGCTCCGTCTAATCTGCACCCAATATTCTCACCGCGCTCTCTAAGTTTCAGTTTGAGAGAGGTGACGAGCGCTGGGAATAATCAGAGGTGTTGTTTTCAAATAGTGGAATGAACTTAGAACTAGACAGGTGAGATTCAGCAGATTTGTTTTAGTGTATCCGTGTCAGATTTTGCTCTTATAATGACACCAGACATCAACATTCTCAGGTGCCTTGATTTGTTGAAATATCTCTGTTGACATTGGCGGGGGGGGGAAAGAGTTTCTGCAAAGATGGTTTCTTGTTGCCTGCCTGTGTACAGTGGACTGTCGTTATGTAATCCTGGAGTCTTACTGGGTAAAAAGAAATCTTGAAAACGGTGCTACTGAGCCTCTTAAAAGATCCCCTGTGGAGTTTTCTCTCCTTTAGTAAGGCTATGGAGCTGTTCCTTTCTAATGAGTGGGTCCCTGTTTGGTGTCACTTGGATCAACAGGGGGCGCTTACACCATAGGCAGACTGCAATGCACCAACAAAGGTAAGGAGGACAAAGACTGCTAGCTGCTGGAAATAAATGTAAACACTGGATTGAAAATAATGGAAGAAAAAAAACAAATACTCTTTGCCAACTTTACAAGGGGACGGAAATACAATTAGTTTATCTGTTAGTGCTCAATGTTAAGACAAACAATCCCACAGGGTAAGAAATGCAACTTTAAGGCCCCGTGTCCACCTAGTGTTTGGGAGCGCTTGCATGAAGCGTTTGCGTGTAGAGAAGAAAAGCGCCTGTCTCCATGACAACAGTCTGTTGACAACGGCCGCTGTACGCTCTGTTACTTTTTACTGCGTGTTTTATTTTTTATATTTGTTCATTTCCCGATCAGACGCGGAGCAAAGAGGATGTGGGAACAAGCCAAGATCTGGAAAAGAGCGCCGGCGACGTCAACAGCGCCTTTCTGAAAAGTTGAAAGAATTTCAATTTGAGCGCTCGAACCGGCCGCACAAACACGGAAAAATGACGCTGGACGCTGTGCTTTTTCTCCAGGCGGCCGCTTTCTGCTGCGAACGCTCTCTCTTCACTGAAAACAGACGCTGGTGCTCAGAAAGAAGAAACCATCAAATTAAGATCACTAGAGTGGAAGCTGGCCATGCAGATTCTGGCAACTTCCGCTGCCTCCATTAAATGAAGGCAACAGGTCACGTTGCTCAAAATCACAGAAACATTAATCCAATGTCAAGAACAGTGCAAGCGTTCAGAAAGACACTAAAAATACAACAACAACAACAACAACAAAGTGACTGAACTGCTCCATAACGAGTCGGACTGATAATCCACCTCAACAGTAAGTGATTGTACTTGCTTTACAAAATGATCATTTAAACTTTGATGACACAGGTAATCATCACACGTCGCCATGTAACCAAAAGTCTAATTATGAAGAATCGTGTCAGTTCAGTCTGTGTGCGGAGATTTGTTTGGTTCGATTGTCAGGTGAGTGGGAAAAAGAGGTGACACCGACCCAACAAAAAGGGATTTGGAAAAAAAAGTACCTCTAATCTCCTGTTAAGCTCCATAAAGCTGTTAAAGCTGCACCAGGGCAAAGGGAAATTGATTTCCCTCTTGGATATTTTGGGGAAGAGCTTGTATGTTCTCATATACGTCTGATTTGAATCAATAGCACAACTTCTGTACCTGTGATTTTCCTAACCACCATAAGTTTATGAAGCAGACTTTTGACTCAGTACAGTTGAGACCAAGAGGAAAGTTTTTACAGTAATATCAGCACCTCACATCCGCGCGTCTCTTAAATCACAGCCTTAATGGTGCCAGATGCACATTTTAAGTAGCTTTAACTCATTTCCAGTGACAGAGATTAAAAAGGGCCACCTAACATCAAAGTTAACATCAAGGACAAAGAGAAATGATGGTTATACCCAAAGCTGTGCCTAAGCCGGGGAGACTGGGCTTTAATACATCTTTAAAAAAATGTAATAAAAACACACTGGATGAATGAGAAAGTTCGTTTTTATGCTAATATGGGTCAGTCTTTAAGGGGCTGAGAGCCGGAGCTGAGGCGGGTTTTAAGTCTCTTGATGGACCGTTACATCGCACCCACCTGTCAATCATGTCAGGTACACGCCTAACTATGGATAACACGTATCGTTCATAAAACCAGAATTCACCCCTGTACAGTGTGCACCCATGAGGACAACAACTAATCAAACCTATTTGTTTTTATGTAGTACCAGGCTCTAAACATGTTTATTTATACTGTAAAAACTGAAAACCAAAACTTTTTTTTGGCCTGTTGTGTGTGTATGTGACTTTCGGGGTTCCTGCAGCCGGCCTCAAGTGGACACTCGATGAACTGCAGGATTTTGGCTTCATTTTTCAACACTGGAGGTTGCTGCTTGGTCTCAATTCAAAACCTGATGCCATTCCTCCAATCAGGAAGCACGAAAAAAACAACAGGTGCATTTTGAGACTGAGGCCTTCAAGGTGGGCTACACAGAATCCTTTAATGCTGATGCAGTAGTACCTGGACTTTTCTGTTTTAATCTCTCTAAATCTAATGTGATGTATTTAATAGTTGAGGAATGTAGAAATTTAAATGAAGGGATTCGCCGTTCAACTTGGGATCTCAGGTCTCACGCCTTAATAGGGAAAAGACCATCTAAAACAAACAAACAAACAAACAAACAAACAAACAAACAGCTTGGGTTTTTGGTTGCAAGCTGAAAACACAGCCTCATAATGAAGCAATGTAATCCATCTTGGCTACTTACTGTGTGATAAACAAGAAGTGCACGACAATCACAAAGTGTGTCATGTGTTATGTGCAGCCCTGATTTAACATATTCTTGTGATTGAGTTATCAGGACTGTAGAACATGCTCTTATATTCTTTCATCTTATAATATCTGTGATGTGAAACTGTGACACTTCAACAGATTTACCCAAAGAGCTACAACAGGCCCAATGGATGTTTATCCAGGCTCAACTTTAGATGCGTGGGTGCAACATGGTCGTGCTTTTTCTTTGTCAGAGACAACCTGACACTTCAGTTCATGTGACACAACACCTGTCACAATTACACACGAATAACAAGTGCGGCACACTTTATCTCGGTAATGGCAAACACTCACCCTCAGAGCTGCGAGGTCGATGTCATCCAGGCTTCGTGTGGGGGCGTTTTCAGACATGGCTGCGCGAAAACTTAAAGAGACGTTAGCTCACCAAGTTAGCCACTTAAATGTCTCACGAAGTAGCAAAGAGGGGTGGGGGGAAAAAAAGCAAAAGAAGCTTCTAAAACGAGCTTGTTGGTTGGAAAACAAAGCAAAAAAAAAAAAAAGGGCTGCCCTGTGTGCTGGAACAACACGGTGGATCTGCACAGACGCACCCAGCTGACGAGCTCGCGTTAACTCCGGCCGAGAGCAAGCAACTGTTATCCGCAGTTGTTTTTTTTTTGTTTGTTTGGGTTTTTTTGTTTTTTTTACAGAAATGCCCTCTGTAACATCCGATCAAAACACATGCAAGCTGAAATAAAAGATTTAGCCGGCCATCGGTACCGTATTCACAACTGGCAGCCTTTCAACGCGATGCACCGCCGCTGTTGTTGAACACCTTGCTGCGTTCATTTTGACAAGACGCCGAGTCTCCGCTGCTCTGACACATCCCCGGTTTGTCTTCTCAAAAAGAGACAATGTTGCGTGTTGTAGGAAAAAAGACAAACTACCCAGATGGATGTAACACATTCCTCGCTGGACTGATATTAAGAGTGCAACAAAATAACATTTTAAGGGCTTTGCAGCGCAGTGGAGAAACGCAGCGGTCTGATTGTGATGGCGTCCGTGCGCAACCAGAACCAGAACCGACTGTCAGGCTGTCATTATCCACCTCGAATACAATACACTACCCGAATATAACACAGGAAATGAACACAGCCGCCTTGATTGAATTGTGCATCTATGCAAACTGCAGTTTTTCCAAACTTAAAATTATATTCCCCAGTTTCGTCCGGAAAAGCCCAGCGGCGACACCGCGTCAGGTGCGCTAACGCAGCTAAGCTAAATGGCCAAAATACTCGTTTCCAGAATAAACTTTTCCGTCTTCATCCATTTTCTGTGTTGACAGTCGCGCCTAGCACTGCCAGCCTTCCGGGGGAAGGGAGGAGGAGGAGGAGGAGGGGGGGAAACACAGGCAGAAAAGGCAGGCGCAATGTGTCTCAGCCACCGTACTTGTAAAGCTGGGGCCCTCGACTGTTCAAAGTTTCTGCGTAATAATCGTTCTCTCCAAACGTCCAGGGGCTTTTCCCGAGCTTGCTGTATTCGTCCAGCACAGACAGAAACCATGCAGATTCAAACTGCGGATGACGGCCAAACTTGTTATTTCGCCATGTTTTCTTTTTTTTTTTTTTTTTGCTCCTTCCCTCCCAACTCGCAGACCTCGTAGTCTCGCAGCAGGGTTGTTCTGACGATTGGCTGCACACAACACTCCTCAAGTGTTTTCGTCTGTTGGTTTCGCTACGGCGGTTCATCAGGGACAAATTACCTGAGGAATTACAGTGGCCCTTCTCTACCTACGCAATAGCCTCTGTCTGCTATGGGCAGTAAACTGAGGTCATCGTCTGACATGGATGTTTCTGCACTGACCGAAAGTAGTCCCTGAAGACACTCCCTGAGGACGTTATCTGGAGATTTGTTAAAGTTTGATGTGTTCGTGCATACACACCTGTGTGCAGGACTGTTGCATGTGCCCTTCTTCACTTTTAAATACACTTGTACATTATATAGTTTTCCCCTATATTTACTTTTTGGGGATATTTTAGAATATTACCACAATTTTGCACACTGGATACTTTTGCAAACTGAATGTAAATAAAAATGTTTATTTTTCATTTCTTTATAAAAAGTAAATGTAAATCTGTTTAAAAAACGGATTTGAGTTTTTTTGATGTTTTGTTTTAGGTGCCTTAATGTTCTTTAAATTTTTAATGTGTCTTTACTGTGAGTGCAGCTGCTGTAACAGACAGTGTAATGTCCTTCAGAGGATTAATACATTATCTATATATCTATCTATCTACTGTCTGTTTGTCTGTCTGTCTGTCTGTCTGTTTGTCTGTCTGTCTGTCTGTTTGTCTGTCTGTCTGTTTGTCTGTCTGTCTGTCTGTCTGTCTGTCTGTCTGTTTGTCTGTCTGTATATCTATAAAGATAAAGATAAACTTTATTGATCCCCCATGGGAGAAGTTTTTGTATTACAGCAGCTCAAGAAAACAGGAAAAAGGGATAAAACTATTAAAAATAAAAAATAAAAATAAAACATATGTACATCAGTTAAATAACGGCAGAGAAAAAATAATAAAATAATACCAGGTATGTGCATTCCCACTATCTAATCGAATCTAATTCACACTAATCTGGAGTATTCATCTATAGTGAATATTTTGCTCTTAAAAATGAAAAACTCATCTCTCTCTTTAATTCTTTTTTTCCTTGGACTTGCTCTTTTCTTCCTGCCATTGTAACACATCTTTTTTCATCAAGGCAGGCCTAACTTATCTCCAGCAGATCTTAATGCAATATTCAATAATGCATGATAATGGTCCAAAGCAGTTCAAGAGCTCAACAGAATAAATTGGTCTTCTATCACATAAAGAAAACGGATGCCAGTAACGTGATGATTGTTATAGAGTTCTTTTCAACATGGCAGCATTAAAAGATTAGAATTCTGTTTTAGTCTTGTTGTTACACTGGACTTAATAGTTACTTGTTTGATTGTTGTTTTTCTTGTCTGTTGCTTTTTTGTTTTTATCTGTGCTGTTCAGCACTTTGGATCCACTGTGTTGTCTTTAAAGTGACATATAAATAAAGTTAGGTTGAGTTGAGAATTATTACTTTGTTTTGAAGTAGAGCCCATTAACCAGAAAGAAGAACGATTTTTAAAATTATTTGTCTATAAGTTATTTGATCAAGAGCACAAGAGGGTGCTCCTTTAGTTTCATCATTAGACATTGAACTATCTTTAAAAATGTTTATAAAGACCTTAAAATACCAAAATAATTCTACCGCAGACCCTAACCCTCCCAACACAAACATTACTCAGAGCCTCACCTCTCACACCACAACATTAACACACACATCAACACATAAGAAGAAAATTCACACATAACACCCTTCTCCCTCTCAAGGCCATCATACAAAAAGTACCATGTCCCCTTCCCCTTATCTCCCTCTCTTCTTTTCTTTGTTTCTTACTTTATTTTCATTATTTATAATCCATTATTTTTTAGTCATTTCTGTTTGTTGAAGTCGATGCTTTTATAGTTGAAGTCTCAGCATTTGGCAGTCTTTACTGTCCTCCTACTCGATGCTTTGCATGCTTTGTTTTGTATCGTCCAGCACTACCGTTCAAAATAAATAAAGACCTACAACTAATAGAATAACAAACGGTGTATTCTGATGTAAACATAGTACTCTGACAGGTTGCCATTTTGACGTGAATATTTATTCTGGTTGATGAAAGTTTTTAAAATCAAAGGTAGAAAAACAGATATCCTTTTAGAAATTCAATTAAAAAAAATGTTTTATTGAGAAAGTAAAGTAAAACAACAACAGTAAAGAACAAGTTGTTTAAACTGTACTAAGTAATGAAATAAACAAATCTTTATCCATCTTCTCCCTTGTGTTAGTAGCCTAAACATCATTTTAATGTTTTATAACCTTGAGCTATAGAAAACCATACACGGCAGTTAACACACAGTGACTTTTATGGATAATAGGTACAGGCTAAAATCACAAGTTTCTATCAGTTATATTTACATGAATCTGTTTTGTAATGCTGGCTGTTACTGTCATCAAAAATAAAAAGTAGTTTCATAGAAAAAGTACAAGGTCACCGTGGAAACCGTTAAACAGAGACAAGGCAACCACGATGTGTTGTTTAAGAGAGGCCAGCACATCGTCAGCTTCTCATGTGCAAAGACTCATAATGTGGATTTTTTTTAAAGTGAAAAGTTCTGCAGCCAGCGTTGCACCAATTTTATAAAAACACAGATGGTCTCTCTGAGTCCTCTGTGAAAGGTGCTTCATGTAGCGTAAGGCAGCATTCCTGAGGGATACTTATCATCTGTCACATTCACAGACCAAGTTTGCACTGAAACCACACAGGTAGTGTTGATGACTAGTGGGCAAGTCTCCAAAGGCTGTGAGGCAATCTGTGCACTTTCTCCAGCTCTGCCATCGCTACAACCAAGTCCCACTCATTAGAAGTTTGAGCTACATTACAACATAATCACCACACCCCTCCACCGAACGTCCTTAGATTCAGACCTCTCTAAAAACACGGGGCAGTCATTTATTAGCATTTTATATAGATCTCATGTGAACACGATGAAAAGGCTAAGACTATGAGAAACTGATCCCCATTCATAAGGTCCATTATACAACATATCATCTGTCCCTCTGCTGGTAGTTCACTAAAAACTTTGTTATGGAACAGATGCTTTACAAAAGGCACTGAATGAACTTGGAAAGACTCGGTGCCATGTGACAAACTATGAGAGACATAAAGTGGTCTTAGAAACATTGTTAAATCTGAGGTTAAAGAAAGCCCTCGTCTTGGTCAGACTCCTGTGATGACGCCCGTGTTAAATAGTTATGGACGATATATTGTCATTGTAAAATGATTTTTTTTCTACATAAAGAAGACAGCTCATGTCAACTCTAACATGATATCAGTCATAACAAAACTTTCAAGAGCCCTTCGTTCATTACTGGTGCTACATTAGTCCATTGCGATTAAAAAAATCGATTTATGTAAAAATCGAGATTCTTATCTTCTGAGATTTTAAATCGATTCATAACTTGTTTTTTGGTTAATCAGTCACTCCCTGCTAAGTGCTAAGGCTAGCTCTTTAACTCAGTAGAATGATAAATGGGGCAGCAAGATACTCAGCCGGCCTCACAGATGACTGGAGTAAATCCTGATGAAGTGTGTACTTATTCAAAAATACACTTTGAATCATGAATCCAGAATCTTTTTGAATAGAAAATAGATTCTCAAATCGAATCGTCATCACAAGAATCGAAATCGAGTCGTGAGACACCCAAAGATTCCCAGCACGAATTGCAATACCTTTCTAAACTGCTCAGTAGTCACTGTGATTCTCATGGCTCAGTAAAGGGAATTAGCAGAAAAACTGACATGATTTTTTTTTTTTTTTTACATCCTTGACTAATTTGTAATGTTAAGCTAAATTCTTGATGTATTTTTTTTATATATATTGTTAGGGCTTATTTACTTTGTATCTAGTTTTCTGTTTTATTTGCTTTAATAACCTGTTGCTGTATCACCACAATTTCCCAGTCTGGGATCAATAAAGTAAACTTATCTATCTATTTAAAATAGCATAAAATTCTTTTGCATTTTAAGATGAAAAATATGACGTGATAATGCTCTAACCGCGGGAGCTGCATGATTCATGTAAGACACGTTACAGTAGGGGGCGCTCCACTGTGTGCGACCCAGCAGCCTGCCTGTCTACCTGTTTTTAGGGGTTTTAGTTGTTTTTAAATTGTCTTGGCCTCTCTCAATGACTCAGTAGGCTGTGAAACTGAACTGCTCTTCTAGGATTCCTAAACTTGTCTGAATCCAAATCTGAAATAAGACAATGCCCAATGTAACACAAATGTAAATATAATGCACCGAACAATTGTTTTGTTGCGAGCACATTATTATAGGGTAGATATTCTGGGCATGTTATGGCACCTGGATGCAGAACCGTGGAAATAATCGAGACACTCTACAGTGAAACACTTCATGTCTCTGCATACAGCTTTGTCAGAGCAGAGAGGAATGTTCTGTTCTCGACTGCAGACAACATGGTTAAATAATAACTCACTTGGTTGTCATGGTGACTTTGAAAAAAGGAAATGCAACAATTATCGGTAAATCAGCCCCGACACCCTTTCATTATCTTGTCCTGCTTTTATTTCACTCCCACCTTTATCCCACCTGATCTTTCATCCAAAACTATTCAAATGATTCGGCCTCCACAGAAATCGTCCGTCCTTTTTCTCTCTACGCATTCCAGTCTGTCTTCCCACAAACACCATCGTGATTTAGTAAGTTATCTCTGTTATCAGTACTCTTCTTCTCCTTCTCTATCCAGTCTGTGTTTCAGCTCCAATCCAGTCATCTCTTTATATCCGTTGCCATAACAACCACAAATGTTCTGACAGATTTGCTGGCACTGCAGTGAGAGGTGAAGCCTCAGAGGGAGAGAGTGAGAGCGAGTGAGTGTGAGAGAGAGAGAGAGAGAGAGAGAGAGAGAGACACAGCCACCCACCTAAAAACCTTGCACCAATAACTGTACACGATGTTCCCAGATCATGTGAGATGCTAGGTTTCCAATACAACCTCACATCCTCACTGACTCATACATTCATTTGTGCTTTTTTTTTTTGTTTTTGTTTCACCAGCGTCGGTTCAGATTGTCTTGAAGAAGTTCTGGAGCAGACATCGAGAACAAACTGGCCGATACAGATGATGAAGCTACTGCTCTAATAGATAATCATCATAAAATCGAACATTTTAGTGGTTATATTCAGACTAACTCATTGTCAGTCACAAAGACAATACAAAACATCGGAAGCCCCTTTCACACTGGAACTAAAGTCCTGAAAATGTCCTGTTTCTTTCAGGGTGGACTGCATGTGTGAACGCAAACGGCTGCATGATTCACCCCAAATTTATTCAGACTTTTTCCGCAATAAGTCAGGGTGAGCTGATGTGTGAACACAGCCGGTTATATTCAGGAAAATTCCCTCTGAGCGAGGGGTGGCTGGGGCTAGTGAAGTTTATAAAATGTAACCAGTTTGTAGAGGGAATGAAGCTGCCCCGTACAATTTCTGCTCATGCCCATGTTCTTTCCCACTTGTGTGTTGATACTTTTAATACATCCAAACACACAGTATATTATAAAGAGGGTTATCAAAAAGCTATACGACTACGTTGCTTTTTCTGCCATCTTGGATATGTTGTAAACTTTTCACTCTGTACGTTTACACGATACTAAAGTTGATATATTGAGTTAGTTCGACTAAAACTGCACTTTTAAAAAGAACGTGTAAAAATGTTAGTCCCACTAAAATCACTCTAAATCCCCATTTCTTTAACTCACACTAACACACCTACATAATGCAGTTGGGGTTCGATTCAGTCTTGTAGTAACACCTCAAACAGCCAGAAAAGGACTTTGGCGTTTTGCTCATGCTCCACGGTGTCCACACCTGGCTTCAACGGTAACATTTAAAACAAAGGTCACAATATTCACCATTAACTAGCTGCTTATTAGCATGCTAATTAGTAGCCTACTGGGTTATTATCAGTCATTAATACACACTTTGTATGTGATGTAATAAGTCAAGCAGAAGATGGTCCAAAAGTAATAAGTTGAAAAACGGCTTATCGCTAACTACGGTAGGTGAGTCAGATATACTTCCATGAATAAATCAATTCTTCCCCGGGGTTTGTATACAGAGACAAGGACAGTAGTCCTAATGAATGGTCTAATCAAGCTATAACCGTACATGTAAATGTACCAACGATGACTACAGAAGCACCCTTTTGACGTCATGTTCAGGCTCCTGGGATCCCCCCCCCCCTCCTCCTGAACGACGGGGAAAATCTCCCGCTGTGAGGGACATGTGTGAAAGGGCAACTCAGGACGTTTTTTTGTGTTCTGAGATTTTCAGGTGGGCATGTGTGAAAAGGTCTTATGAGTCATATCTTTTCCTCACCGTTGAAGTGCCAGTGCTATAACTACTTTAGTGTGCAGCGCTGACCATGTGATTATGGAGCATGTGGTACAGCAGCCCTTTAAACTGTCACGTAGTGGTCCGGAGCTGTGGTTACGTCCACAGCCCAACGGGAGCCATGCCCTCTTTGGTGCCCAAAGGAGGTAACAGGTTCTCCTCACACAGGAACCTCAGGGGGATAGTGGACCAGCAGCCCTCTGATCGCCTTCAGCTCCTCTGCGGCCTTTTCAGGGTCTGTGTCGCAGAGTCGCTCCTCGCCGGTGTACTCCTTCAGCTGCCGCATGTTGTGGACTGAGTTGTAGGGCAGGCATTTGAAGACCTGTTTGCAAGAAGGACACACAAGCCAAGGGAGCAACAGAAATCAATCCTATGAAGACGGTCTGGTGTGTTTTGAAAGGTCACAAACAGGCATCAGTATCAACCTGAGACAGTTTTTATAAACAGCTAAAAAAAAAAATCCTCCCTGTAGCAGTTATTGTAAACATATAAAGGTCAAAAAGGCGGTATTTGGATCGAGGGTGTGATATGAGCGAGGAGGAATAGTTAAGACACGATCAAATACAAGGAAATATACACAGAGGGCCGGGGGGAAATTTATGTAGTGTAGTATAAGTTCATACACAGGTTTGGTTCAACCAAACTTATTCAACCATCTAAGTAGGACCAATGTATAACGTACCTACGCCATGACTACGCCTAACTGGGGAGCTGATGGCCTAGCGGTTAGGTTACACCCCATGTACGGAGGCTATAGTCCTCCAAGTAGGCGGCCCAGGTTCAAGTCAGACCTGTGGCTCCTTTCCTGCATTCCCCACTCTCTCCAGATTTCTTACCAACCCCAAAAAAAGACTGTGCCTACTTGGGGACCAGACAGGATTACCCAATAAATCAAATTATGGAAAAGTACATCCTCTACAGATCTTTACAAAATGAATCAAATTTATGTTAGACTATGATATCAGGGTGCTGGTAGACTAGTGGTTAGTCCAAATGCCCCACGAACAGAGGCTACAGTCCTCGGGGGCAGGCAGCCTGGGTTTGAATACAACCTGTGGCTCCTTTACCGTATGTCATTCCCACTCTCTCTCTCTCTCTCTCTCTCTCTCGCTCTCTCTTACTCTACTGCCCTGTCTCTCTAAAAATACATCTTAAATAAAGGATAAAAGAAAAAGTAAAGACATAGTATAATATGAACAACGATGAGAACGTTAACAAGCTGTTAAATTGTTCTGAAAGTTCAGATTTATCACTGGCCTTTGGATATCTTATAATGGAAAAGAAAGTTCCTTACCTTGTCATAAATGATGGCATTCTGTTTAGCAGCTGCGTTCCAGGCCAAGAAGAAGAAATCATCACTGATTGGATCTTCAATATTGATGCTGGGGTCTGAAGAAGCTCCAACAAGGACTCTAGAGGTGAAAATTAAAAACACAAAGATTAATTTTGCCTCTTATAATATGGTTTAAACATTCAAAGTTTTGAATACATCTGTATATTTTACAGAAGGATTGTGTGTTGCTTATTTGCATCCTAGTTTGCATTTCATAGCCTCTTTCCAGTGCAGGACCTACACTACTATTACAACTATAATCATGTCTAGAGGAGCACCCTGCATTTGAATGAGTGTGTTACCTGAAACACTGTTTGCGCAGAGCGAGTGTGAGGGGTCCCGCCTGGTACTCCTCCCCTCCCATGACGGACGGGACCCTCTCTTCGTCTTCCACAAACACAGCCATCTCACTGTCTCTGCTGCCCAGCATGCTGCGGTCGTTGATGTTGGCCGATCCTGCAACATATGTGGAAAGAACAGACATTAACAATCTTTTATTCTGAGCCATCATTACGTCAAAAGTAGTATTTAAAGCCCCAAAAACCAGCATAATTAAGCACAATAAGTGATGCTCTACAGGTTTGAGTAGTTTCTCTGAATATTTTTGTGTCGATAAGGAGAGTAAATGCAATTTTAAAGGCTTAAACTAAATATGATCTTAAATATGTCATGTTCAAAATGTAAAGCGAGAGTTAAACAACTTAGAACTGAGGGCTGACAAATCATAGGATCTGTTAAATACCTGGACAAACAAAGAAATGCTTTTTTAAATTCTGGTTCAATATTAGAAATGTTTTGCTCATTGGTTGCTTTTACTTGAATACACAGCAGTAGGAAATGTTGGGTTTGTAACAAGCAGTCGTGTGCAGGGGCGTGTCCAGACTTTTTAAACTGGTAAACATGCTGAAGTTGTGACATACAACATTGTAATATTGGCTTCTAATAAAGTAAAATATCGTCCTTGTGTGGTCTTAACAAAGAAAAAGAGAACATTAAAACATTAAATATCATCCTTTGATTATCTAATTTTTAAATATTTGTTTACTTGAAAGTTTTAATGAACACCAGTTTCATTGAATGGTATTTTGGAGGATATAAATGAAGGGTTTTTCACTGGTTGTGACCCACCAATGATATAGCAGCGGTCGTCAGCAATGAGGGTCTTGCTGTGAACGTAGATGAGCTCTGTGACGAGCGACTGGAGAGCTGGGCGTGTGTTCTCAGGCCGCAGAGTGAGATGTATTCAGTCCACTGGTCCTTAACTGGGGGAGCAGAACAAGAATCCCGTCATTTGTAAGACATCATGTTAGAATGAAATGAGAATTTAGTAAGAAACTCACATAAAGGTATGGACTGTAAAATGGATTTGAAAGAAGATGAAGAAGACAGTGTGAAAATGTAGACAAGTGGGAAGATTTCTAGCACCACAAGATTCTGTGTAAAAGTGAAGTAAATGGAGAAAGAAAGACAAAAGTGTTAGAATGAAAAGAGGTGGTTAAGATGTCAGATTGTTAAGATGAAAACAGATGAAAAACAAAAAACCAACCTTCACTAAGTCTTGCCAGGATGGAGTGCTCCCCTCGGCACATGGTCCTAGATAGGACATTAAAAAACGATTTAAAGTTATGACACCATGAACTGTATAAAAAAGATGGACGACATGACAGCAGCATAAAAGTGAAGCCAAAACATCTAGAGCTGCTTCTACTGACTGGCTGCAGGTCATAAGCTATGACACAGTAAAAGATGGGACAGGGGTCAAACTACAAAATCAAAATTGTAGTCTAATACAGTTTCCCCAAACATGGTTTCCGTCTTTAAAGTGAGTTCATATTTCAGAGGAAGTTTAGTTTTAATGAGTTATTTGATACTATAAAAGAGGTAAAATGCCATGATTGACATCTCTTTTGAAAAATGTGGATCCTGCTCCACTGTGTGCTCTGGTGTGTTCTTAGTGACCCTTATGGATAATGATGGCAGTGGTGTTCTTTTTTTTTAAACAAAAAAATCACATCCTACTATCTTTTAATCTGAAACTTCACCATCAAAAGAGTCTGTCTGTGCAGAGTAACTTGTCTTGCCTCACCGGTCACTGCCCCAGGGGCATGACAAATGTGTTTATTTATTGATGAATCAATACGGGCAACACTTGGCCTGGTTTGCTTTTGTAGGTTATATAGACAAATCACTGAGGGAAATGTGTGTGTCAGCGGAGAAGATGGGATATCAAAACCAAGGCAACTCAGGCTCAAAGTGACGTCACCAGCGTAACATTACAATGCTGGTAGAGCGCAGGCATCGACTGCCGATATACTCTCAGATAGTTCAATTCAGGCAAAATAGTCTTCACATGTTTAACAACTGTTTAACTAGTCCCTGAAAATATCAATGACACTACATGGGAATATCTAAAAATGAGTACAAACTGGAGACAGAGAAAGAGATACTCGCAACACCACTCAAAATCATTTGGAACTTGTCTGTAAGTGTGGATAAAGGTTCAAAGGTTGTTATTTCCCTGTGGTTGATGTTTGTTATAATTCTTACTGTGGTTTTGTGCTGGGCTGAGTGCAGCGTACAAATTGGAGGAAAAAGGCTCTTACCTGTAAGTGAAGTGCAGAATCGCTTGGATGGCATTTCCACCTCCTGCACTGATGTCTCCCTCGAACCCAGGAAGCAGAGGAACCACCACGAACACTCTGTACTTCTTCTGCTCTCTGCAGGGACACATCGTGTACATGTACAGTACCTGGTCATTCATGTTTCTGTTCTGGTTTATTCTCTATTTCACTCACACATGTCCATTCTGCAGCACATCTAACCAAGATCTGAAGTAAGTACATCACAGCTGCTTGAAGTCAAGTGTGTTCTGAAGGCTACAGAGTATTTCCAGTACTAAATGCTGGGGTGTACTTTCTTAGTTCTTTGTTGACATGTTTAAATCCACTTTCAGAGTACAGATTACATGTAAAGCTGCTTTACAACTTCAAGGCTCAAGAATGTGTGAACAAAATCTGGCGAGTATTCTCAAAGCAGACCTGTGTGCACGCAAAATCCGCTTCACAATTGCATCACCGATCCCGTTGTAGACAGTTTTCCCGTCGGCACAGCTGATGAAGAACTGGTTCTGAGGGCAGAGAGAAGGCAGATGGTGGCTCAGTGTGAGGTGGGCTTAAACAGGCAGGTAGCTGGCAAGAAAGGTCTGAGCTGTGATTGAATTTAGACTCGTGTCTGGACACACATTGGCTACAGAAACTCACAATGTGAAAATATTGTGATGATGGCACGTGAGAGAAAATCCCACACTGAAGAATTAAAAATAGTTGAGGCTCGTCATTAAAAATCAAACCTATTTCTGTATGTTTCAAAGCCTATTTTATTTTCATAATAGAAGATGATGCTTCTTACAACAACACAAAACCCTCTGAGCCAGTATTGTGCAGGACTGATCAGTTTGTTTGTCATCAAAAAGCGTAGGAGAACAATTTAGCCGAGTCCAGTCTTTGCTTTAAGGCACTAGGCCAGAAGAATATTAGAAATATTTGTGAGGTGCGATAACATGAAATGCACTTAATAAACAGAAAATGTGAGAATACACAATAGCTATAGACGTTTTCACTTATGCACTCCTGAAAATATGTAGATAATTTCAGGAGGACTGCTTCGGAGATTCTCCTGACTTGCTGTACACAGACTATATCCCTGTCAGACAAGAGGGGGGGCGGGGAACTCCCGAGGTAAGATGTGACGTAAAAAAAGACGCAGACAGAGCCAACAGAGTCTGCTATATGATGCTATAATGAGAATATTTGCTTTTATATCAATGCTACGTGCAGCAGTCACATACATAAACATATCTCCCCCCCCCCCATTGGCTTGAGGTGAATTCTCCGGAGAATATCCTGCTTTGTTCTCACATAAACTCACTTCAACTTGCTGCGGAAAAAATACTAGGATTTGGCAGGAGAAACTCTGGCAGAAATCAGAGCGAAAAATTGGGCGGTTTGCGTTCACACATACAGCTCCTCCGGGTTTTAGAGGAGTTTTCTGCCAAGTGTGAAAGCCCTTTATAACTCACAGTTTTTATCCCTGTGCTCGTCTTCATAGTTTACACAATAACTGTGTTTGCAACATGCTTCTCTTAAATCCAAAATAAATCCCAAACGTATTCTTTATTTATTTCCCCCCCCCATGAAATTGGCAGCTATGAATCTCATGGTGGCTGCCAGCTAGCTTGAGCTTTATCTGACTGCATCAAGATGGAGTGAAAGCATGGACATTACACCCAGGCCTCCATTCAACAGGAAAGTGAACACATGCAGAGTGAGAAAGTGTTTCTTTCTCACTCAGCACCTAAGACTATTGCTGTTTAGGTCACACTCATGTTACGATTATAGGATTGAGACTGGGATTGGGATTGATTTCGCAGCCCTACAGGGTACATATTCGTCTCTAACTCCCCTCGGTGTTCCTGCGTTACCTCGATGTAGATGTAGTGCTCGCTGTTTTCGATGGTGTGGATGTACGCGTTGAGGATTGAGCTCTCACAGGTTCCAGTAGACCAGCGATCGGCAGAGCGCAGCACCTGAAAGAAAAGACACAAAAACAACACTTAAGGTTAAGAACAATGTGATTAAATGAACTACATTCAATGTCTCTATCATGGCATGTGTGGTTACATTAATAAGACATATTTCACCTAATTTATTATCCTTAGTGCTTTTCTCTGCTGATTTTAATTCTACCATGTCATTGTCACAGTATTATTATTGCAGCAGAATAAGTGACAAGCTCTTCACAGAATAACAACCACTGATATCCAAACTTCATTTTATTCACTATATATTTATATCTTAATAATTGTTTTTGCTTATACACTACACCACATTTTCATTCGCTCTTATCAAATTCAAATTGTTTTTTGCAACGAAACTAGTAGTGCTTTAAATAATAAGATTTGTAACAAGGGTAGGCATAATAAGCTAAAGCTTCAGCCTACACCTTTTTCTCGTCTTTTCATGAATGCACATGCTTTTGTAAATTTTATATTTGTTATTCTACCATTTTTTACGCCTTTCAAATGGAAAACCGTATATGTTGACCGAAATAAATTACTTCTACTACTAAAAAAAACCAAGATCCAGATGTAGAACTGAAATGACAGCGAGCAGAAACGTAAGTACAGGTTCTTTGTATACACATTTTTTTCAAAGCGTCAACTTTTTTAAAAATCTAATGTAGCAACAATTTACTTCTACTTTACATACATGGTTACTCTATATAAGCTCTCTGTCTCTCACCGGAGAGCTGAAACTTGAATAATGGATCAACCACACCTGATGGGAGAGCTAAGGCATAATGGGGAGCGAGGTTTAGGGTTACAGGTCAGCACACACAGAATAAAAAACACACACAGAGCAAAAGCTATTGTTACGAAACACGCACAGCCTGAAAAGCTCCACAGCAGATGAAGAAGAATGAGAACAATGTTACTGATATTGAGAACATTTTGGGAAAAAACAACACAACTTCACTTTTCTCAATAAGTTTATAAGCTTATATGTCAGGTCTGTGTTTGTGACTGCTTTTTTAACTATGATGTCATCTAGTGAACAATAACTGATTGCTGCTTCTTTACAAAGATGCATCATGTAGAGTCTACTGAATTACCTTTTATTATACCAACATAGAGAAAGATGGCCTCTAGTTGTGGACCACATTTCCCAAAGCAAATAAGATGCTTCCATTTGGTTTTCTCTGGCTTTAGTGGAGAGGATAAACATGTTGGAAGTGATTTTTCTCCACAGGATTTACTCTTGTTCCACCATCTGCTGCTGCAAAAAAAAACTCTGAACAGCATCTCTTTGTTTTACTCTACAGAAACACATGTGATTTCCTGCTTGATGAAGAAGAGTAGAAACAAGCAGGGGCTTTACACTTATCTGTTACAGTAATTAAAGTCATTTCACTAATGTCTGTAATTGTATATGGAGTTTTTTTGTGTTGTCATCATTTGTGTATGAAGGCTGTGTTTCTGTGCAGGGGAAAGGTTTCTGGCTGCTTTCTAGTCTAAAGCTTTTTGTTATGCACTCTTTCAAGGCTTGGTGAGCTTGTTTTACAACTGGCCACTGTTCTGCAGCATGACTGCCACCCACGGTGAACAGAGAGTCTGATTTATCTGGCACACTGACATCACGTGGGAACAGTCTTTGTATAACAGACTGTATGTACTTGTAAAGGCTAGAAAACACGACATTACCCAAATAACTGCACCTGAGAGAGCTGTAGGAGAAACTTAAAGGCAGGGTTTGTCATTTTCTCCAGACACACTTTTTAAGATTTTGGTTGTAATTGTCTTTAGGTCCTGACAGAAACTAATAACTCAGGTGCTCTGAAAAAGGAACAAAGAAAATCTGTCATCTGTAGCAGTTGTAAGCATGTTAAAACTTCGACCAATGTCTGCCACGAGGTACCAATCTGATGAACCAATCACGCCTCCTGTCTCCCTGCTCACTCTCTACCCCATGTATGCATGAGCCCACACTGAAAGAATGAGCTGAGCTCCGCTTCTGGACCAATGACGCTTGTGCATGTAAGTGAGGGGGCGTGGCTTTTGAGGGAGCACAGAGGGGAGACGGAGCACTAAGGGAATGCTTCTTTCAAAATCATGCTAGTTTTTTCCAATTACCGTACCAACCCTGCCTTTAAATGCATTGTGACAAGAAAGACACGACCACACCGGTAACAGAACACCATCTGAACTTTTACATAGCTTAACGACATGTTTTATATCGCTTTATATAGCATGTGCATTGTCTGTCAAATGATGTGTTGCATACAATGTATGACATACAGTATATTGTGACTTAATCTGGGCATAAATACCTGCACTTTGGCCTTTGTGGACCCAGGCACAGTGTATGTGAGGTTGTCAGCAGTACACTGGGACTTAGGGAGGAGGTAAGGGTAGAAGTCGTCCTTGTACTTGTTTTTGAAGATCTGGAAAAGACAAAACAAAAAGATATATATTTTTTACCTTCCTGTGAGTCGCTCCCTTCCTACAGAAGCATCGCCTTAAAGTTAAATAAACTATTTTACATGTATGTACCTGAGTCAAATAAAAAAGGTTACTACAACACAAGAGATGCTGTGAAGAATAGCTTGAGTTTTTATTTTGAGTTAAATGTGATCTTCAGTTTACAAAAACTTGACACCTCCAGATAACTGATAACTGAATGAAGTTGTGTAACTATAAAGGCTGATTCCAGCTCCAGTCTACAATATGACAATAATAGTTTATAATACTATTATGCTAACATATAGCTCATTCAGGCCAGATCTATGACGATCTAATTCAGGCAGCTTTCAGCAGACTGAACGTTTGAAGATGTCCTCTGAGTCTGACCTTGGTGAAGTTCCAGCGCTGGATGAAGTGGCGGGCCACGTCCCTGGCAGCGCTGCCATGAGTAGCCGCAGACAGATCACGCCACGGCATGCGAGGAACTTGAGTACGGTCGATGTTATCTGCAAAATATAGAGAGCAAGCCTTTTTAGCTCCCAGACTCAGAGTGTGTGTGTGTGTGTGTGTGTGTGTGTGTGTGTGTGTGTGATACTGAGAGAGATTTAGATAATTCACCCTCAAACGGTCTGTCCAGTTGGACCCAGTCTTTCCTGATAAAGTTGCTGTAGTCTTTGCCAAGCCACAGTTTAGTGTTGCCAGTCAGATCCCCGGGGTCCTGCTCTGCTTGCTTATCTGGTTCAGAGGGTTTTTGACCATCAGCCCCACCATTGTCCTAGTTTACAGAAACATCAATCAGTGTGGAGAGTGTGTAACATTCAAAGCACACTGGCTTATGAACTACAATAAACACAGAATCAGAGACTGAAGACGAGCTCAAAGAGACTGTTTGTACCACTGTATCTGCTTTCAGGGCCTCGTCCGTTTCACCGGCAGCCTTCTCCTTCAAACCCAAGTCAGTCAGCCGGTACTGGCTATTGTCCCACCTCCCAAACGCCAGGTCAATCCCCCCCACAAAGGCCACTGTTTGGTCAATGGCCACCATCTTTTCATGGTGAGCCCACATGAACACCACAGAGGAGACGTGGTCAGGATGACGCATCACCTGCAAACATGAGAGATTTTGAATAGAACATGAGATGAGGCCTCTCTGTCCATCGTGTTGCTGTAGCCTGCTAATCAAACCATGTGGCGGTGTCAGACCAACCTTGATGTTTGGGTGCATATTCATAAGAGTCCTCTTGCTGTGCTCACTGTTGATGCCGAGGGCCATCTCCACCTCTTTGTACAGCAGGACGCACACTTTGACCCCTTGCTCCTGCATGAACAAGTTCAAACTTCCAGCTTATAATACGATTCATTTTGATTCTATAATACAGAAGATGAAGGTGACAGAGAGCAACTCTACCGCTTTGCGTTTGAGTATGTGATCCAGACGCCAGTAGTTATCAGCTGCTGGTCTCTTGAGGAAAACTTCAGGGCTGAGCCTTTGAGAGAGGACACATAACACATCTTATTTACAGCAGCTGGAGCGTATCCAGACGTTTTGACTGAAGTGGCCAAAATGTGAGAACTGACTTATGCAGGGCTGGCATTAAGTTGTTGTTGCACATACATTTTCTATCTCTACCACTGGGATCAACTTTGAATTAACACATGAGAATGGTAACATGTAAGTCTTAGTCTTAGTTTGGCTCTTTAGGGACTCAAATGAAGATGTATGTACAAAGTTACAATAAACAGTACTTTAAAAATAACATGCAAACTCCTGCACGTTGTCGAACTCGCAAAATATATATATGTGTACAGGCACTTTTTCAACACCAAAACATTGCTTGAAAATATGCAACATTGACATGAAAACAAAGCTATGTGCAGCGTGTTGTCAGGGTGAATCATTATTTCAGATTTTGGCATGGCACCTCTGGTAGCCAATCAGATTTCAAGGAGGGTCCATGCCACCGCTGGTCACCTCTCTGAACAGAACCCCTTCACAGCAGAAATGCCCTATAAAAAAAAATTCCAATGTCACAGTTTGTCCACTCTTACCACCAATCTGTGATGAAGATTTCCTCCTTTGCTTGTTCAAGCGCATCAGCCAGGTCTTCAAAGTATCCACTTCCATTCACATACCTTCAAACAAAAGCCATACAAGTTAAGGATATGAAGAAACATGTTAAGACAGAAAGTTGCTTATCTACGGCTGTTGCTATCTCTGACCATTTAGTGAGCATGTTTTCTCTCGGCGGAGCAAAGCAGTCAAAGCGTTGCACTTTGAGAAAGTCACAGGTTTCTGCCAACCGGTTGATCTCATGACTCCACCAATGAATCTGTCTATAGCTGCTGCATTTGATGATCAGGCTCCTGGATGAAAAAAACAAACAAACAGGCCAGGTATGAATCACAAACACAACATAACACCAGACTCAAATATGAGCAATATTGTGGCGATCTGAGTGTACACACGAACACACAGCTGACCTACCGAGTGAAGTTCTCAATGCAGACTCCATATTTGGTGTCTGTGTAAGCGCGGCCCACTTTCACTTTGAACTCAGGGTCAAACAGCAGCACAAAGTTGATGCTGCCGTTGTCTCTGTTCATGTACAGCAGGAAGGAGTCTTTGACCACCAGCCAGCGCCGGGACCAGCGGAAACAGATCTGATGGTGGCCGATGCAGTTCAGGCCTTGAATCCGGTGGCCGCCTGACCTCTTGAAGATGGGTCCCTCCCTGAGACAAGTTGACATCTGTTACATATTAAGTCTCTCCCAGACACTTCTTCATTTCCCCATTTCTTTTCCTGTAACACACACTCTTTAAATGTTTGCTTACAAGCCTTTGGGTCCAAGATCAGTGACGAAGGAGAGTGCGCCCACAGAGAGGAATTCAAGCTGTAAAAAGAGGATGAGAAAGAGTCATCTTACTATGTCAGATAGATTCACTTTCGTTGTGTGTGTTTGTTCGTTTTAAAGCTGTTACCATGCTGTGGTCGTTCCTACAAAACACATTATCCAGCAGACCGTTCAGGTACTCCTCAAGGTATTTCTGCAATACAGAAATAGAATAAAACAAAGTTATATTTATGTAAAAGTAAGGATATTCTGAATGCAACTGGACAAAAAGTGCAACCATATTCTGTTTGTGATATGTTCTAAAATCATTTTGACCAACAATCATTTTCATGCATGAATAAAAAAAAGGTTTTTCACACACAAAACGGCACTAATAAAATATAATATTGCCCTGTAATATAATAAGAAGAGCAGATCACTGTCGTCCTTAAATAGACGAGGGCACACCAGGTCCAGTCATCCAACATAGCCTGCATATCCTTCTCTAGTCAAAACATTCCACCTGCATCATCAATCACCAACCTCAACTGAAGGTAAAATTTGACCCTCATATGACCTTCGAGGCTCACATTAAACACATGTGCAAGACGTCCTTCTACCACATAAGAAACATTGCAAAACTCTGCCCATCAGTCTCTCCCACGGCCCGCCCACGACGTTATCACCTCCAGGCTGGATTACTGGAATGCTCTACTCATCTGGCTCTCTAGCAAGAGCCTCCAAAAACTGAAATGTGTTCAATGTGCACAAATATGAGAGTGCAAAGACTTGAGTACATAACACCCATCCTTCAATCATTACATCTGCTTCCTGTCCACCTCAGAATTTAATTCAAAATCTCCCATGTGCATCCATGGCAAAACCCAGCCTACCTCAAGGCACTCCTTAACCCCCAAACCTCCATAAAAACACCCCAGCTGTCTTAACAACATCTGTGTCCAACCCCAAGAACTAAGCTTGGTACAACCAACCTGTGGCTCCTTTTCCACTTCATTCCTCACTCTCTCTCTCTCTCTCTGTCCCTGATTTCTGACTCTATCCACTGTCCGGTCTCTCTAATAAAAAGGCATAAAAAGCCCCCAAATAAATCTTAAACAAATAAAAGAGCTTCCTCTTGATGGACCAGACTTTGACTGGCACCTCGACCTCACATGACTCTTTTATAAATGAAAATTAACTCTTGTTCTAAACAGTTTTGATGCTTGTTTTGTGTTGTCCTTAACCCTTTTTATGCTCATGTTTCTATATTTGTAGCATTTTTAGATTTATCTTAAATTTAAAGTGCTATATAAATAACATGTCATATTATTCAAATTAAGCAAAAGCCAAAGAGACAAGTGAGAGCACTTCATAAAATTGCTGTTTTCTTTGTATGTCGTAAATAAAGAAAAATCTCCTTTAAAGTAGAATACTAAAATATTGTTGATGCAATATTCTGCAGGAATTTAATCTGCATCCACAAGGACTGTGCTATAAATACTTCACATGTACATGATTAGTTTGTTTGATACCATTTTGCTTGAGGTCCTTCTGGTGCGTTCAGTCCCGTGCAGGCTGGGCATTTCCTCTGACATGGCTCTCAGCTGGTGCCTGTCCTTTGCAAACCTTTGAGAGAAATTTGAATATTCAAACCACTGCTGTAGAAATCTGAAAACAAGAACTCAAAGCAGCCTATCACTGAGACTTCTACTGCGTGCCTGTCGAGAGACAGAGAGGGCTTCATTTGCATGATTAAGACAAACAGAGGGGTACGCCAACCTTCCCAGAGGCAGCAAGTGAATCATCATCTTGTGCTTGTAGAGGTCTCGATGCAGCTCCTGGAAGTGCTTGTACTTCCTCTTCACTGTCCAGTGGAAATGACCGTGCGTTAGCCGTACTGTGTACAGGGTGCCCACTCGGACCTGGAAGGATGTTATTGGATTAATTCACACAACCATGATGGAGAAAAATTAAAAACTTAAGAAACACAAATTATTAAACATGGCATCCAATGATTTTTATTACTTATTTACTTGCCAATTTGTTTTTTTATATCACTTTAAACTATGAGAATGAACCTATTTAAAACAAATCACATGAAAACAAAGAAAGCAAACACTACAAACTGACTAAGCCGTCCGTATTTAGCTCAGCTGGTACTAATCCGTGTACATTCTGAAGTGTGTTAGAAAGGAAATGCAACATGTGATGCTTTTTATGGGTCAGACCTGGACTGTATGCATTTACACAACATATAATGCGCTTTAATTTAAATAGTCATGTTGAAATGTGGTATGTAAGTTTAAGAAACAAGGTCTGTGCGGGGGTGCTGGTGGAGCAGTGGTTAGTGCGCATGCCTCATGTACAGAGGCTACAGTACTCCAAGCGAGCGGCCCAGGTTCCAATCCGACATGTGGCCCCTTTCCAGCATGTCACTCCCCACTCTCTCTCTCTCTCGCCCTGATTTCCGACTCTATCCACTGTCCTATCTCTCCAATTAAGGCACAAAAAGCCCAGAAGAAAATCAAAAAACAAGGTCCGTGTGAGTCTAGATGTAATTACTCATCATTATAGGCCCCTGTAGTAAAGCAAGACATCCGAGTAAGTGCCCACTTCTTTAAATCCTGTCATATACGCTGACATGTTCGAGCCTCCTGCTCTCCAAGCAGAGAAACTCCACATGTAATGAGCAGGATACCTCTCTATCAGGCTGTGTTTGTTTGCTGGCTAAAATAGAAAAAAATTTAATGATTTTCCTCATAAAGAAGTAAATATTTGGAGGTTTACCTTAGAGCGAGTAGTGTATTTTTCTGTGTTGTCCACTCTGCATGTAACAGGAGTACCAGGCATTAACATTGGCACTCCCTCTTCTTTCAGCTCAGGAAGATGATGCACCACGAGGAAAGGCCGACCCTCTGTTGTTTGGAAGATAAGAGCTGTGTTAGTGGATTTCTTCTGATACAGCCGTTGAGACTTTTAAAGGGAAGCTCTTATGATTACTTTCATGTATTCATTAAAGTTACTCCTTTCTCACCGCTGCTAGACATGAGGCCATCTATCTCGTCTGGACTCAGGTTCTGGATGTCGTGCATAAAGCGCCTTCTGCCCAGCTTTTGGGCCGCTGAGCTTTTTGCCACCGGCTCGATCACGTCCTCCGGACTCGCCATTGCGCTGTTGTCGCACGCTGCAGCTGCTCTGCTGCAAAGACATGAGAGGAGGAAGTTTTACATTCACAGTTTGAGTTTGTTCATCTTCATACCACTACTCATGCACAGTGCAAATACAGGGGCAAACATCAGAAGCAAACATCTACTTCTCATCTTGTAAACCCCAACAGAATGAGATTTGAGTCATTAACTTGAGGTTCACTGTATTTGATCACCAAATAAATTAAAAATGAGTTATTCAGTCGTCTAGGAAGGGAAAAGTCAAACAGTTTGCAGACAACTGCATTCTGTAAAAAACTTTGCAACTTCACTGCCTTTACTAAACTTAGGTTTTGATATTTGTACTGACTGTATCCTTTTAGCAACACCCATATTCTATTCTTTGATTTAATTTGTGTTCTTTCGCTGCGTTTTTATCCAGTCTGATCGATTACAAATCAGCCTGGTTTCTCCTTTTAGGCCGGATTCTTAGGTTTAGGGCTCTTGTATAACCTGTTGTCTGTACGTCACTGTGTCTTTATTTATGTTTTTTTTAATGTACAAGCTGCTCCAAACCGATCGCCCAAAGAGGTATTAATAAAGTTGTTTTACTTGAATTGAATCCACAATCTGCAAGTGTCTCTTAAGTGAAGCAAAGTGTGTTGCACTACTGTTAGGTGGGGGTTGTTTCTGCTGTATAAATCCAATGAAGAAATCGTGAAACAGACTGTAGATTATAACACCATTTAATCGGCCGAGGTCAGACAACTTCACCAAACACGCACGCTTGCAAATTGCCGACAAAGTCACAGTGTTCACAGTGCTGCTTATATTCTGTTACAAGGTGCAACCCACAAATTCCTTTCTACTTGGGTACATCACTATAAAACAATAAAGATGACATGACACTGATTTGTATAACAGATGTACACTCTTTGTCGAGGAAACAGTTGTTGACAACATATGGTTGGCTCTTACACAAATAAAGATCTGCTACAATTTAGGTGTTTCACTCATATAAGTTTACAGCTTCAGACACCCAAAAGTAGGAGTGCTAACACGTGGTAGACAGACTTGAATAATGCATTTCACAAAGTTACCAAGATGAATGAATTTCATGAAAATTCATACTAACAACTACTCACCACTGCACTATTGTCTCATTTAGTCTTGTACATATTCACCAAAGTCTAATTCCTTTTTTGTGTCAGCACACCTTGCCAATAAACCTGATTCTGAAGCATTTGTGAAATCTACTACATTTAATTTAATTGATACCAATCTGAAATTCTGCCGGTCCTGCTGAAACCAATGAATGACAATGTCAGCTGGCAACTAGAGTAGTTAAGAGTTGCAAAGGAAACAGCAGCACTTTGACTGATCTTAAACCAGCTGTAGCAGTGAAACGGGCAAAAACAGAGTAGAGAGATGCAGACTAATGATAACGCACAGTGGTGCCATATCTGACATGTTAGTGAAATCATCTGACAGCACAGTGAGTCTAATCCTTCAGGAGTGTGACATGTCTGGATCACACAAGAAGAGGCGTTCAAGAACAACTCAGCCTGCAACCGGTCAAACCAAAGATGACGTCATTATAGAAGTGCTGCTGTTGAAAATGCAAAAACAAAAACAGGACGAAAACAGGGAGTATGAAGCTCTGCAGGCTCAAACCAAAGATGAAGTCATTAAATAAGTACTGCTGTTGATAAAATGCAAAAACATTGCAGGAATGATAGGATGTTTGCCTGTTGATTAGGCATAATTCACTCTGTGACACACACAAGGAGTAAACGACACAGAGAAAAGGGTGTGTGTGCGTGTGTGTGAACCCTTCTGTGACGTGTGTGGGCAGATATCTCTGAATGGCTTAGTTTCCTGGGAAAGGGGGGGGGGGGACAATTTGTACATGTATGCGATTTTTGTGTGTGTTTGTATTAAGAAGGGCAAGAGAGTGTGTGTGCGGGAATGGAGATTAGGATGAAACATGTACAGGACCACAACATGGAAAAAAGCAGTTTAAAGCAGTCATGGATTAAGTTGGAAAAACCTCTGATTAATTAAAGTATTGAGTCAATGACTTAATGAAACTTTCATACATACGGTTTTATAAAATGTTCATTACGATATGCATCGTTTCCGTTAACTTCTATGTTACACCTGCAGGAAAAATGATGCAAGGCTGAGTATTGTGAAGCAGGTTAAGGCCGGGGCCAATCTGAACACTGGGTGGGTACATCACCTTTACTGTACAGGCCAAAGGCTATTGGCTGCATCCCAATACTTCAGGAGTGGCTCTAAACACAAAGGACAAGTAACACATGACTGCAATACAACAATGTTGTCATGTTGTTAAAAATATGGTCATTGTTTTATCCTTATTTTTATTATCTTTCTCCTAAAGACCTTTTCCCTTAAACCTGCTGTTAGATCCTGTTTTATGCTCAGGTTCTTAACTCTGATTTTACCTTTGACTATTGCTATTTTTTTATGATTTTATTGAAATTGTAGCACTTTGAGATTTTCGTTTAAATCTTAAGTGCGTCATAAATAAAATGTATTATTCTTCTTATTATTATCTGTATGACTCGTCCTTGTAAAGCAATTGCCTTAAACTTTACTTAGATTTTCTGAGATCAGATGAAAAACACTTCTTAATCATTGATTTCTTCCATTGATGCAAAGTTACGATGGTTACATTAAACACAATTATTTAATTCTCCACATATTTCACTGTCTAACAAAGAGGAATGTCTTGACCAGCTCGTTCTGTTGTGCTTTGAGATAACATTTGTTGTGTATATATAAATAAAGATTGTTTGATAGTTTAGTTAGATTTTCTTTCAAAAGGGTTATTAGGCTGCAGAACATCTTTCTACTGGGAGTTCATCATCCGGTCCAGAAGTGACTGACTCATTCCCATTAGGACTGATCTTCAACAGATGTTGTTTTGATTCCTTAGGAAATAAACAACTTAACCTTTTGTTGCCACACTAAGGACAGCCCTTGATTATTTAAGCTATTCAGTCATTTAAAAGAGATCCAACCCGTTTGTCTGTTTGTGAATTGGGACGCTGAATGCTACTGTTGGCAAAACACTGTTTCCCAAAGTAAAGGGCTCTGAGGTCCATTGAGTGCATGAAAAGTGAAAGTCATTTTATCTCTGTTCCGTCTTCTCTGTGAGATAAAAAAGGGAAAAAAAAGCTAACTGATACTTGCCTTTACTCACACATAATGTTCAGTTCAAACCCATGCATGAGAAAACTAAATACTGATCAAACAACCTTGAACTGAGACCAATCTTTTCCCACAGTCCACAGAAGAGTGATTATCTGCAGACATGCCATTCTTAGCCTTCAATGGGGGAGGGGGGGGCAAGATTTTCTTGTTTACGCTCATTGGAGAGAAACGTTGTCTGCACCGTTTTGCTCAGTCCCTACCTGTGAAATCCTAAACTACACCCACTCAGGGGCCTCCATAACATGAGCAAACAGGGCAAGAGCTTTAACTGAAAGCAAAGCCACATGTTACAAACACTAATAGTCACATCATTATACATCGTCTAATGTGCCAGCGGTGTTGGCTTAGTGACCAGTTCAGAGTCACCAGCAGCTTTGAGTGGTAATGCCAGGAGCGACTTTTGAAGACTCTTGATGTTGGACTTGTAGATTTCAGATTTAGGGAGTCCACATGGCTTAATCAAAAAACACCCAAGCAGCACACAGGCTGCACAATTTGAATTTGTACTGTCTAAGTTTTCTGCTAATCCAAACATATACTATCAGAAACATGTATTCTACTGCTGACCTCTTTGAGTTCTCATCTTGCTGTCATTATTCAGGCTACAGGGGTGCTCAGGGTGTGGTCGTTACCCTTTTATGTCACTGCTGGGTGTGGTTACAGGTGACACTTCTCTCTCAAAGTTTGAAACTTTGGTAGGTTAGCAAAACAAGACTATTCTGCTCAGTAAAGTTTTTTGTTGTTGTTTTTTTTTAAAGCTGCTAGTTGCAGAGAAGATGATGTTTCATGCTTCTAATTATTCCAAAAACTGATTTGAAGTTAATTAAGCATAAGTATAGGCATTTATAGACTGATTCTATAAAAGTAGTCATTGTGACCCTTACAGAAATGTATTTCCATCAGCACTTAGTTTAAGGGGGAAAAGTGTATTATGACTTTAAAGAAGTTATGTATCAATGAATTAGCCTTAGCGGTCAACAAATGTAGTTCTTTGAGTTTTTGCACACGTGTCTGCAAGAGTCCTAAACATGAATACTGAGCAGCGAAATAAATGGCAACAGACAGAATAACTTCCTGACTGAATGCAAGGATGTTATTATGTGTCATACATTCCAACATGACTAAAGCAACCATGCTGAGTCGACTCTTGCATGCGTGCTGGTTGTGCCCAGCGGATTTCCCCCAATCTGCACATTAGTCGCTTAAAAAAAAAAGACCCTCTCTTTGTGACGTTTCACCAAACTTTTAACCAGTTTAAGTAACCTGCTTCTAACAGAAACGCGGTTATAACGTGTATACAAATAAAAAACGAGGGTGGTAATGACACTTTTGCCTCTTTTTTTTTTGGATAGTTAAGAAGAGTTAAACAGGGATGGTATGATGTGAGACTACCCGATGCATCTTCTCGCCTCCTCCACAATCTGTACGTTTCTTAATCTTAAACTGGTGACGTCGTTAAAAAGTATACAACACCAAGGTCACTCACCTTTCTGACAGGGAGGGTTGAAAATGCTGAAGGGTAAGTTTTGTCGTCTCCACCCATAGACCATGGTTTCCTATAACGTCGCATTCCTCAAAGACTCTACACCCAAACTGACGAAACTACGCCACAAATGTCACTTTTTTTTGTCTCAATTTACAACATCACGCCGACGGTCTCCAGGTGTGGGTTTTTTTCTTTTCCTCCGTGGAGGTGATAATGAAATCTGCAGCTGGACATATTCATGGGAGTCGGAAAATGCTGCTTTTGGCTCAGACAGAGGAGAGAAATATGCGTCAAAGTTATCAGGCCTACATGTACTTACTCAGTTTCAAACACCACCCGGTTCAGTACGCGCAGCAACTCCACCACACGAGGGACAAAAAGGTAAAAATTACATTCAGGTTAAAAGTAATGTTTCATCGTATTCCAGGCTGTGTTTTTTTCCTTAGTGGAGAGTTCATTAGTATTCCCCCCCTAGGTGATGCACACTTAAGTCCCTCCCATTTGGTGTCCAGTGGGACAGAGTGAGGAGGAAAAACGACAAGGAAATATCTTTAAATGTGTCAACTCTGTCGCAGAAGGAAAGGGCTGATAAGCACTCGTGTTTTCTCACGGTTTGCACAAGATTTTCACTGAAATCACGTGGTGCATTCATAAAAAAAAAAATGAATAAGAAATGTTCAGCCGCGAAAGCAGAAAACAGACAGGAAGAGAGCGATCATCAGGCTCTGCTACAAGACAACACATGTATGAGAGGACAACTTCCTACTGAAGCCCATCAGGGTAACACGCAGGAATGTAGATAGATGAGAGGGGGGCGGTCAGTGGTTGCCTACTTGGTAAGAATTAAACAGTTGCGTCACTCGCTTGTCATATCGCGAGACTTCCCGTAAGACTTTGCAGAGCTTCAAAAACCTTTTTTAACAAAAATGTCGCCAAGGAATTTGCCTCCAACTTCACCTCTGTCATATTAAAAGGTTTCAGAAACTGTGTTCAGTAGAACATGTCGTCCTGAACTGTAACAAAATGCCTCGAATATAGAAATCAGGGGCGGTTCGAGACCACATTTACTGAGGGGGCCAAACTGGGGCCAGTTGTTTTGTCAGAGGGGAACATTAAACCCAGGTGACAAATAGACAAAGATGATTGCTTTAAAATATATAAATATTATGCCAAATAATAGCAGCTATCATTAAATACCATGATTTATATTTGTTTCAGTAACAGTATTTAAAACTAGATTGTGAGTCTGGTTGTTGAGTCAAATGCTGTGTATGTGTTATTAGGGGGGCTCTTCCTTTTGGAGGGGTGGCCACAGGGGGGGACCAAGCTCGGTGTAACAGGGGCACTCGCCTCTGTTGGCCCCTGCCTAGAACCGCCCATGATAGAAATGACTCAAGCCATGGCAGCTTTTAATGATAGGTCTACTAAAAGCTTTAATTAGTTTGAATCATAGATTTCGGCTACTTAAAAAAAAAAGCAACGGGAACCAGAGGTCAGCTTATGTAGGCTACTAGGATACATGAAATACACATTAAACGATAAGAGAAGGGATGACTGAGATTTAGTCCTTTCCACACACGTTAATTAAAGATGTAGCCTATAAACTACATTTTCATGAATAAACAGAAGTCAGAGTCAGGTGCAAAATAGCCTACAAGAAATGCAAATGTCACTGGGTCACGAGTTAACACGCGCAAAACCACTGTGCACTGCAATTCAAAACAGAAACAATAGCCAAATAGAGACGGTTGCTAATGTGGAAATTTCCAACAATTACTTTGGAGCCTTTCTTTAAACTGGTTTTTGAGGACTGCAAAGACATGCTGAACATTTAAGGCTTCTGACATTAAACCTGGCTTCACATCAGTCATCCTCACATTCTTCTTTTTTTGCATACACAGACAATATTGTAATAATGTAAAATTAGCAAATTTGGTTATTTGATTGCAAAAAACAAACAAACATGTAGGCCTATTAGACTAAGGCCTTCAGGCCCTACACTATGATAGGCTTACAGGTAATCAAACCTGACTTACTGTTGAAGGCTAATCCTCCTGTCGTGGCTCTTTGTTTCTGTTAATGTCAAAACTCACTGCTTATTTTCTTTTTAGTAATTGTCCTTCCTACATCACACTGGAAAGGCGGGTCTTTTCTTGTTTCCTCTTGTAAGATTTCTCACATTATCTCTATGTATAGTAATAGATGTTGCTAGGGGAATTTGTCTACATTGTCTTGATTTGCCTGTTGTCAGCACAAAGAGATATTGCATAAGACATGGAGCTATGCAGATAAACTGATTTATTTCAGAGGCGAAAACTTTTACTAAGGTGGTTATAAAATAGTGGATCATCAGATGAGTACTTAAAATGTCCATATTAAGCAAAAAAAGAACAAGATGATCACCATTTAAAAACCTCTGTTGCACTCGTTGATGACTGAACAGCTATAAAGTCGTTTCAAACAAACGGTCTACATGATGTAGTACATTTTTACACCACATGGAGGTGTTAACCCCACTATAGTTATACCAGGGATCTAATATTAAAATCACAATTCTAGGTGACCTAACCTTGTGGTTTATGGCAGAAATAAATGTGTTTATGATGGTTCTATTTGAACCAGCACAATATAATGATTTTTAAAAATATAATGTTATAGTATGACCATCCAAACGTATGCATCATGGTTTCCACTCTGATGTAACTTACTACACGTGTGCATATATACAGAGAACAAACAAACACAAATTTGATTTGAGTGATACATTTTATTGCAAAATGCATTTTATCACAACTTCATCAAATGTTGAGAGTGTCTTGAGATAACATATGATAACATGTAACATAACATATGCTATGATTTTGTGCTGTACAAATCAAGATTGATTGTTTGAAATCTCACTTTTTATTTGCTCAATGTTTCTTTAAAAAAAACAACAACAACTTATATACGTAACTTTTTGTAATGATAACTGTCATTTGATACTTTGGGCTAATCCTCCAGACCATTTGTTTCTGTTATTGTCACATCTTGCTGTTTATATTTACTTACCAATGTCCGTCCTACACACAAGACTCAAAAGGAACGGTCTTCCATTTGTTCCCCTCCTGGGATTTCTTACTTTGTTTTTCACTTCCTCTTAATGAGCTTGTTGGCCTGTAACCTTGATAAGAAGTATTGCAACATAGGGCTATATGGATGAACCAACTTATTTCTGAGAGGAAAAGTTTGACTGTGAAAAAGTTTCTAATCAGTATAAGTCCAGTGTGAAAGGTCTATTGCAAGCTACAACTGAACAACATGCTGAAAGTTAAAGCCCCCTCTTTGACTTGACCATTAGACCATCCGTTAATTTTGAGGAAAATAAAATGTGTACCTGTTGTAGTACAACCTCAGACCACATGGAGGTGTTAAACCACACTACCAAAAGAACAAGTAGGGATTTAACATAATTCACAACAGCAATTACTGACCAAAAATGATGATCTTAAGGATAAATAGAAATTTTCAGTGACTCAACTCTGTCGTATATGACACTTATATGTTACCATTGCCTATACTAAAACATAAAGTTACATAACATGATGACAAATCTAAACTTATACACCATTGTTGCCTTTTATTCCCCCGTGAACAAAACCAAAGCGTAAATCAAACACAACTGCACATACGGAGAACAAAACCATGAAGTTGAAAAGTTCAAAATGTAACTGATAAACCAAAATGGATAGGAGACTTGCATTTTTATCAGGACATATTAGTTATAACTAAACATTATGACTTATAACCTTTCTGCTCTTTGTTTGTTTCTGAATGCTCCTGAAAACCCCTGTCGAAATACATTTACACTTCCATTGTTTAGTGTCTCAGCAAAATGACCAACACTGATAATAACCAGCAGACACAAAGGAAGTATATTTAACCATTCAGTCGCAGCCATTTTTGTATATTATGTATATGCGTAACAGAAAAGAAGTTGATGAATAAAATTGAATATTTATTTATAAAACATGGCACAATTCAGTTTGGACAATACACCCCTGAGTCATCTACCCCAAACAAAAAGTTCTAATAAATAAGTCATGGTACCAATATTATGGCTTCAGTTCAGAGTCGGCTGGCTCAGGTTACATGCACAGGCTTCTCGTATAAGACATTGTACATGCAGGAAAACATTGCCAGTCTGCAGCGTATATGTTTTACAGTCTGATACATGAAAGCTTTTTATCAGCCACTGGAGGATTGGCAACTAAATCACATCACATGTTTATAAGGTCCATCAAAGAGCTATCTATATATCTATTTATATATTCAGTACAGTGCTGATGGCAGCATTCAAAACTTAAGTGCACAATAGTTCTGAAAAGTTCTGAAATCTCAGCGTGGTTGTAAATCAGCCCATTGACCTGAAGTCTAAATAAGCTTAAACTCACGGTCACATTATACCCCACACGTACTTATATTTGGTATGGTTAGGGTTAGCTAACCCTAAACCCCAGTCAGCCATTAAAAGTATAAGCAGCCAACGTTCTTAAATGAATGACTAAGAACTAAGTTGCAAGTTTAAATTAAATCCCTCCGCTGCTGAATCTGTAACTGGGGCGCAGCGTCTCTTGTAAGGGGAAAATGAAAGTAAGTGGTTGTGTTCGGGGCTTTTTTTAAAAACATTTTTTAACTTGGGACGTATTTTCTGTTGTCTCCAGGAAATGGAAAATCAGGCGCCACGTTGAAGTGTCCTGTTAAGAAGATCCACACCGTGCCAAAGATGAAGAGGAGCATGGCAGCCCAGAAACACACCTTGTCGATCATCTTCCCAATCAGTACCCAGCTTTCAATTTCCTTTATTTGACAAAAGTGAGTAGAGAGGCAATTGAGATAACAGTGTGACTCAAACCATTAAAGACAGTTTCATTTTGAATGAGGTTACAATTTAAAACATAGGGTACATAAATTTAAAGTAACACTCACAGATCCAATGTCATTTTGTTGTCTTGTGCTGTCAGCAATAAAGTTGCAGGCATCCACACACTGCTTGATCTCAGGTGCATTTTGCGCCAAACTCTTATAGAGGTTGGCAGTGCTGCTGACATCTATGTTATCCACTAGAGGGAGAGAGACACTGACAGTTAGACCACAACATACAACAACATACAACAGCATTGCCGAGGCAGTCACAGGCATTAGACAGTGAAAAGGAATTGAAGGACTTACAGTTTCCTGCAAGTACAGAAATAGGTGGCTTATATAAAGGTCATGAAATATGATAAAGCTAGCACCTACAAGTACAAATGTATCATAGTGTTTATACAAAAAGGCATTTATATTTTATAGCAAAAAGATTATTAACTCTATGAATATTAAACCAAGTATTATAGGTCAAATTTGCAACAATGATGATGTGTTCATACTTCACGCTCAGGCTTTAAAGAAAGTCAGAATTTTGTGATTGTTTTTTTATAAATAGACTTCTGCATCATGATGCAGGCAGCTACGTGGACCCAAGCCCAGGACTTATCAACCCCAGCTGGGTTGTCCAGGTCAGAGTGTCTGATGATCAAAGTCTAGAAACACTCTTTGACCTAGGGTTCATCACTGTTGCACCTGATTGTGTTACAAGAAACTTGCTTAACCTGGCCTTGCCGGTGACTTCCAGGACACCTTAGATGACTACTAATTAATTGGGTGGTGATGGCTGGATAGAAAGTTGACAGGTTAGAGAGATAGCAACCATGAGGGTTAGCACCCCAAATTGCATCTCCAGTGAGGGAACACCCACAACAGAGCTACAGATAGCTCTTCTGAAAGATACCCAAAGGGTTACCTGAGAAGAGGGGGATGAACATGCCAAATGAAAAGTTGAACATTTAGCAATAACCTAAGGGATCTAAAGATCCACCAGATCGAGATGGGCTGCAAATCATGAAGCAAGTGAAGCAATGCATAAGGTAGTGAATGTGACTCATGGGGAGACTAAAGAGTAGCAGATCCTGGAGTCAACCAACAGCATCCAGAACATCCAGGCTGCTAAGGCTGCACTGAGTATAAGATCAAAACATTCATTCAGTCAACGTTTATTTAGATCTTGAAAAATCATTAAGGGCGGGAGTAGAGTAGAGGCAAAGTGCATTAAAACAGAATAAATGTGCACAAACAATAATGCAAAGAATGGCAAGAACACAATTAAAAACTGTTACATTCAAATGCAGCTAATTCATTATCATAGTTATAAATTGACCTATGGGAACAAGTGTGTGTAAAGGCAGTTTTACTAAAGAAGTCTTTGCCCATGGAATGCTGAGAACTGTAGAGGTATCTAAGTTTTTGTTTTAATTTGCTGGCCAGGGTATCAATGTGGAATTTGAATGTGAGTTTGTGATCTAACCAGATACCAGGATATTTGTATTCTGAGACTCTTTCAATGCTGTGTCCTGTCAAAGTGGTGATATGTGGATCTCGAGAATAACATGTATTTTGGTCTTGATTGGTGTGGTTAGCCAGTTTCAGATTGAACAGTGCATGTTGTGCATGATCAAAAGCTAGCTGGAGGATTTTAACGGCTGTTTGTGCAGTGTTAGCAATGCAGTTTGATGGGGAAGATCATCCCCGGCTTGGTCGCCCATGTGAGGGTATCTGCTAATCATAGACCCGAAACACGCCATGACTCTGGGTTGATTACTAAAGATTTGTCCAAGTTGCACCTGTTGGTGTTTTAAGAAACGTACCATTTGATCCCTTGAGACTATGTCTCTCTTTTTGTTTGTCAAACATCATTTCACTGCGAGGTTGTTTCAGAACATATTCCTCTGCTCTCTGCATGAGGCCAAAGGAGCTACGCCGCCGCTCCCTCACCCCATTCATCTCTGTTGTTACTTCACTGTCATCCACCAGAGGGGACATGCCAAGAAAGCGAGGTACCATCTCCAGGAAAACCTGCAGGGAGCAGATAAGATTGTTCTAGTTAGTAATATTAGTACATAAAATATATTTTGAATAGCCTAATTAAAGTTAGCTTCACAGGATGTACTTACATGCTTGATGGTGTAGGACATTGTATGAGTGCTTGGGCTTCGCAGTGAAAAGTTCAGCACCACAATTTGATTTGTGGCAATGAGAGTAGTGACAGACATGACAAAGATAAGATACCTGGGAAGGACATTAGAGAAGATCAGTGTTTGAGTAGAGACTCAAACTGTGGGGATTGACATGGAAACAACCCCGAGCAGATGTCGTCAGACAATTGCACTGTGACTCACTTGCCAATGAGAGGAGTAGACTTGGATGTCTCTGGGATCTTCTGAGCAATAAGAAATAGGAAGACAGTCTGAGCCAGCAAGACAGAGATGGACACAGTCAACTTTTGTCCCCCAGCTGTGAAAGGGACAGCGGAGATTTAGACCACAGGGGATGGCACCGAATACAACAATCACCAGTTTTTTATGTCCCAGTACTTTAAGTGCTCAGACAGTATATATGCAGCAGAAATCACTATGAAAGATATGGTTAAAGGCTTAGCCATGACAATAACTGACATCGAATCAGCAAATGGATAATGGTCTTTTCTTAAGATCACATCTGTCGCAATGTACTTTATATGAAGTACATTGCGTCAGATGTGATCTTAGAGTTCCGATTGATCTTAGTGATTTTATTGCTTGTATTCAAAAATGTCTAATAGCCTGTGTTGAGGGGTGGTGGATAGCCTAGCCGCATGTTGTACATGGGTTTGATTCTGACCTCTGCATTTTGCTGCATGTCAACTGTTCTATCGAATAAAAGCATAAATGGCCCCAAAAAAGCCAGTTTTGAATTCTGGTCTGTTTTACTGGGGCGACATGGGAAACAGCTGGAGGGAACTATACGTGGCTTTACAAACCCTGTGCCGGTAGGAAGTAGGCCAACACGACCAGTGAGGAGATGAGGGAGCATGGCAGGATGATATTGATGACATAGAAAAGGGGCTTCCTTTGAATGATTATATTGAACAAGATCTCCTGATACTCCAGGTCATCTGGGGAATACCGCAAGTTGATTTTCTTCCGGGCTGGCGATGGACGATGGCCCACTCGCCATTTTCTGAGACGTGAGAAATAAAAAAACATGACAGAAAATTGTTCTGTTTTAAAATATCGGGGTAGTTAATGTCGATGTATGTACTGTACCTGTGAAAGCCTCAGGGTCGATTTCCACCCACTCAATTTTTTCGCCTGTGTCACCAACAGCTAAGATCAGGTTCAATTCATTGGCACTGTACGTCTGGGATCTAGTGATTGACGCAGAGAGACAGTTATACAGACACTTGTTTTTCCTTGGATGTATCTCCAGTAAATGTATGTTGATTTTTAAAGTAGTTTTCCCACACCTGAATGCTAGTGTGCAGTTCTGGAAATCAAACGGAAAGTAGGTAATCTCAATGGAACAAGTGCTGCGGTAGATGGCAGGAGGCAGCCAATACATCCAACCGTTATTATCGATCAAAACATTGGCATAGTAGGCAACATCAAATTTGCCATCAATGCTGCAGAGATTGAGATAGAAAAAAGAAAGAGTTGGCCCCGTGGCTTATACCAGGAAAAAGACAAATCAAAAATGTGTAAGGTGGCACGGCATGCTGGGATACTTTGCTTACTTGTTCTCAAGAACGATGTCAGGAAGCCAAACATAGTTGTATGGGATACGAAGCATATCAATGCCATAATGTTCAGATGTGTTCCAGGAGAGACGAAAATCACTCCATTGCTGTGCATGACACATGAGAAAGAGTACAACTAGACACAACTTAGGCCTGGTAAAGTCAGAAGAATTGAGTCCTGTTGGCAAATTAAACATTGCTAGAGTCTTGCAAGGATTTGTACAAATCAGAAAATACCACAAGTAAGAAGAAAGGGAAAACTCACAATCTCAACCCACACATTGGTCGTGAGAGTCTCCTCCTTTTCATTCTGTGGTATAAGTGAAAAAGTAGTATGATTACTTGAGCTGAAGGTGCTGACGATATACATTTATACTCCAGTAAACGTCATTTATTGTGCTCATGTCTAAAGCTTTGACCAGAATGATGGCGGTTATTGCTAGTGTCCTGTAGAAGTGATGGTGAATGTAGTCATGCTCCTTTTTAAGTATCATACATGTCTACTTTTACAAGAAGAAAGACTGAATTCTCACCAGAGAGATCAGGTTAGTGAGGGTCAGCTTGATCATAACCTCCACCTTATCTTCAGGATTGACCACAGGGCGGATATTCTTGTTGTAGTTTTTGAACAAGTGTTTGATCAGATGTGACTCCTGATTACACTGAACTGCATGAAAGAAAAGAAATGGTTTGGGTTCATGTGCAAAACTGTTGAAATAACGTCTGGTGATCAAATTCAATTAAACATAATGAAAGCAGATATTGTCCTTCAACAATGCACCGCACTTTAGAGTTTTACTCCTTCAAATTTCTTTCATACGATACAAGTTACAAAACTGACAAAAGCCTGTGAAACTGTGACACTGGTATTGAATGAATGCTGCCAGTTTGCATACCCAATGAGTCTAACATTATGTTTCTTTACCAAACTCATCACACTTTCGGATTCTGCTACAAATGCCTTGATTGGTTTGATATTTTCGTTAGTCTGCAGTAGCTAATGTTATCTAATGTAAGCAAAACTACCACTTATTGTTGTGTGCAACTAAGAAACACCACCAGGTAGACAACTTATTGACTTTTCTTTATTGAAACTGCTGTTGTGCTTATGGCGTTTACCAATATTCTTCTATCGTCCCCTGTGGCCACCACATTGAGCACAAGATACAGAGTCTCACTTTGATCCCGTTTTCATCTACCAGGTAGTCAGAGCCCAAGTGTGCCAACTAAATGTAATTTTTGAGGGGATTAACATGCTCACAAATTCATGACACTTTGCACACGCATCGATTTTTTATTTGATGTGGGTGACGCAAATACATTTTTCAAAATGGCTCCATAGCTTCCCCTACAAACTTTCAATGGTAGGAATATGTATCATGTAAAAAGCTTCGACAAAAACTTCCACCTGCCAAAAATCCATACCCAACAGCAGGTCTGCTTTTTCTGTTAGAAAGTAAAATGCTTCTTGTGCCCTATTTCTAGGGGCCATACTTGGACCAACTTCTGAATAGACTTTGTCCGATCCTGCTCAAATGTTGGCAGTCTACAGAGGAGCCTTCCAATGTGCAGGTTTCGCCAAGAAACAGGAAGTGGTCAGTAATTCCGCTGTAGATGTTTCAGTCCGACCTAAACCTTACTTATGTGATAAGTTCCCAGCCCTAAACAAATCTATATGGCAGTATTCAATTATAGTCAAAGCTCAGCCTGGTTACAACAGGATATGTCATGTTTTACCCTACAAGCTCCCCTCCCTTGCATGTTTAGCCAATCTTAATAAGATTTCTTCAAAAAAAAGCTTGTGACCTTATGACCCTGATAAAGATTCATCGTAAAAATGTGTTTTCATTTAAGTCTGTGGCAGTGCAGTGAATTTTGGTATCTTGCGACGACAACTAAAGCTCCTATAACTCACCTGTACATGTCATATGAATTTGTTTTAAAATCACTGTGTATTTTTGCCCATTTTCAGGGGTCATACTTATAAAATCCTCCTATGGCTTTTGTTCAGTCCAGCTCAGCTAAAAGGTGCAACTATATCAAACCTGTTCACAAAGCTCAAATGTCACACCATGAAAGAGCTGTGACATCTAAAGCTGTTATAACTCTCATATCCAAAGTAACTGCTTCCTCTCAGAGTCCTGGCCCAAACAGATCCATCTGTATTCACTCATTCTCACCATGTCACCTATTGGTAAGAGACGGTCTTGAATGACATTCATCGTCCAGATTACATGACCTGAAGCCAGTGTTGTCTACACTTCATGCACAGCACTTGCGCATGATTACTGTTTGTTTACTAGAGTCACAGGAAGTGACATATAACTCCTTCTTGCACTGTCCAGATACATGACTGCACTATTCACACAAACCTTAAATCCTTTCAGTTCTGCTTCAGCTTTAATAAATTGATGCATTCACAGTTTAATTGAGAAAAAAGTTTCTTTTTTGTTTCTTTTGACCTCCTATCTCGTCAGTTAAAATCTCCTTTTACAGCCAATAGCAGGACAAAACAGTTAAACAGTTCATGTTTTGAGAAGATTGGCTGTCATGTTATAAACTGAAAGCCATTGTGGTAAATAGAAACAACCTTTACCCTTCATACATACTTTTCTAATACATTCCCACCATGCTCCACCATGCTCCACCACTATCAACTGAAAAACGTGCCTAAGACAGGACTATGGACAGAGTCAGAAACCTGGGAGAGAGCGTGTGGGGAAGGACATGCGGGATAGGAGTCAGGTAGCGTCCGAACCAGGCTGTCTGCTCCCAAAGATCCCAGCCCCCTCTAAATGGGGCGCCCAGAGACTACAGTCCATGCCTGGGCACCTCATCCCAACACTTTTTTTTTTAACTGTATTTACCTTCAATATATATAAAATTCAAGACAGTATTGTGTTAACATTATTAGAATAGATTAGAATATCATTTGCATTTTGAAAAGTGTTGAAAAAAAACCCAACAGCAAATCCAGAAGAGAAGAGTTAGGACACATTTTAATGAAACTGAGAGTTATTACAGCGTCAAACGGCATTCCCTAGTTGTAGTACAGTTCAGTATTAACTTCCAAAGAGTCGAGGAGAAAAAGGCAAAGGTTATTTCAGACCCTTACCCCGTTCATTGCCAACTGTCACTATCCTACGCTCAGGTTACACAGCAGCTGGGTAACTCTAAACCAGGACTTAAAGTCACACTCAGGTCATCTACAATAATCATCAATATCACTCATGGGCAAAAAAGATGACAGTAGCACATACAACACAGCAGTAAAGATGTCAACCCCCATGATGCAGGTCTGCCTGGTTCAATCTGGCACACATATGTCACATAGTTAAGAGCTGTAATTCTCCCTTGGGACAATCAGTGTAGTAGAGATGTCTCACTTCCTCAGGGTCTGACAGTTGTAAATAATAAAATGTTGTTAATTATTACCCTTGATCCATGAATGGGTAACTGATAAGACAATGGAAGAGGGACTGCAGCCTCAAGGTTTGTCATTTACTTGTGTTTTATTGAAATGCATCTCTATAATGAAATCAAGCAAATTCAAATTGTAATTAGATTATATTGAAATAGTGTCTCTCTTCATGAACAGAGAGAGACCACTGACTTTAGAATTGAGCCTTGAGAGTATATAGTGTAGTATGTTGTATTCTTCATAATGCATTGCAATAAGCTCAGTTATATTATTATGCCTGTCTTTGCTAGGAAAATAGATTTTCAATCTCAACTGGGTCATCCGAGTAAAATGAAGATTAAATAAGAAAATATATTTGGATACACAGTGAGGTTAGTGTGTGCTTTAACCTTGTAACTTCCTGCAGCTGACAGTAAAGCTTGCTCAGAGTGAAGCCTGGAGAGGGATGATGGGAAGCTAAAGGCAAAGCTTATAGATGACCGCTGAGTTGATTACCAAAGGGTTGAAACTGGTTAGCTATCTCAAATCCGAGGTGGCATTGGGTTGCATTAAGTCAGAATTGTTGTTTTAAGTGTTTTCACTCAGCTGACCTGAAACTTTCAAGTCACGTAGCAAAACAGTGTCAGAATAACATAACCTCAAAGGTAAACATTACAACATCACTGCTGACTAAGGTCAATGCAAGCCAAGATAATCCTACCTGACAGTGTCTCTTTGAAAATACTCTTGGAATGAATCACACAGGAGAATCTAAGGTCAACTATCTGCCATGTTAATACAAGACACTGCATCATGTTCTGATCATCTCAACTCATTGAAGGCCAATAAGAAGTCCCAGCATGATCCCTGACATCACATCTCAATTTTAGATTGATTTAATACCAAAGTTTTAAGAACAGCTGTTTACAGATCCATTAAACACGATTTCCCCCCAAAGTTTCCCCCATCAAAATAATCATGTTATCAACTTCAAAGGTTATGCATATAACATATGGTTCCTCCTAGACAAAGATTTTGACTTGCATCATTCTTATTGACGACATGCTTTCTTATCCAGGGTGTACAGAGTTTGGACACCAGGTCAACAATATTGTCCCCAAATCACTATTCCATTATAGTAATATCAAAGTTTCAATGAAGGAAGAGTTTTGTTCGTGTCTGATCTGAGCCACAGAGAGATGGACTCAGATGACTACAACTTTCTAAACCTTCCTTCCAGACTGACGGTGGATTTGCATTCCTAGGAGCACACTTGTCATCCTTTCTAGACAAACATTAAGTACGTTTGTCTTTTCTGCTTACACTGCATCAGTTGTCTTTCTGGACGTCTGTTAACCTGCTGTGGCAAAACCCAGTCCCTGTCAACCAGAGGACTCTTAAACAAACACAGGCAACTCTATAAACTAAATAACATTTACGGCCCATTTGATTCAATTCAATTCAATTTATTTTGTATAGCGTCAACTCATAACAAGTGTTATCTCAAGACACTTTACAAAAAGCAGGTAAAATACCTTACTCTTTGTCTGTTAACATTACAAAAGAGCAGGTAAAAGACCTTACTTACTTATTGCTATATTACAAAGAATTTAATGAAATGCAGCTGCTGTACTCATCAGAACAGATGATTTTGGACGACATAAGTGTCAGTTTTATTGGACAAAACCTCAAAATGCTGAGGTATAAACAAGGTAAGAAACTTTACAAGGCTCATAAACATTGTGCAGAGTCATGTACATGTGTTTATGTTTGTATGTTATATATAGTTAGATATGCTCTGTATTAATACTGTTTTAAAAACTTGTCTAATGTATAGAAAGTTTTCTCTGGCATGCAAATCGATGTAGTTCAGGCTTAAGAGGCAGATATCTCTCCGAACCCTAATCTTCTGGCTGCACATGATAGGCTGTAGATCATTTTGATAAATTGACAACAACCTAGTTGGTGGGTATGTGCCAAACGTTTGCCACTGCGCCACTTACCCTGAACCATTAAAGTCCCGAGAATAGTTACAACTCCACAAAATATCCGAAAACTGCGTGCTTCCATCATGTTTCCGAGACCTCTCCTCTGCCCGGCACCGCACTATATATAAATGTTAAGTTTGAGAGAGCGAGAGTAAAAGACAGAGAGGAAGAGCCCTTAATCCCCCACCACCAAACACCCTGACTGTCGCCCACCCCGGCTGTCGCTGGTCATGGCTCCAGTTACACAGCAACTGGGAAGCACTAAACCAGGACTTCAAGTCACACTTTGGTCCCCGACTATAACCATCATCAGGATCATTAGACAGCATTTATCTGTGGTGAGGCCGGTTTTATTCCATTAGGATTTTATCTTCGACAAATAAAATGAGACCTCATGCTAATTATCTAGCATATGCTATATTGTATAGGACCCGCGTAATACTCCCATAGATGATTACAACCATATTCTGAGAGAATAGTCATGGATATAATGTAAGACGTTCAATGATTTTTGGAAAAATGCTTTACATGTCTCTCTGTGTGTGTGTGTGTGTGTGTGTGTGTGTGTGTGTGTGGATGTGATTAAAAAAACCGAGCTACAGACACCCGTGGGTACAGCAAGTTGAACAGGTGACAGCCTGCACAGGCCTGCAGCCCCCTTGCAATGTGTCGGCGGTATTTATACACACAGCAAAGCCTAACCAGTTCAGAAACAAGGTTCCAGTAGTCTACAGATTACTGCAGGGGGAGAAAGCTGGAGGCCGGCATTAGTAAAAAAAAAAGTGTACAACTACGGAGTCTCATCTGGATCAGTCTGATAACTTCCTCCAACAGAAGATGATTACAATACACACAGCTCAAAATGCACAAACACACTGACATGATATCTTACTTCCAACGTTTCCGTTTGCATTTATAATGAGTCCTGTGAGTAATACAAGAGGTGTCACTGTGTAGCGACAAGGGCAACACACTGATTTCTGGAATGCGCCATGTGAGTTGCGCAGTATGTGATGTTCTTCTAAATATATATTTAGGGAAACAGAGCTGAGCTTCTTCGAGGTAACAAGACTCCAGAAGGCAGATTATGTGTCTCACTCTCTGGCTTAGAGGAAGTAGGGCTCGATGAGAAGGGCAGCAGGAAAGTGTAGCAAAACAATATTCATTTAGGTGTTGCCAAACAAGTGGACTCCAAGCAAGCTGAGGGAAACAAATTAGGGTGGGTGATTAGAGGCTAAAGGACCCATTGTGCAGAATGTAATGTTGGAGTTTGGATTTCTAGTTTTTCATCTTTATATTTGAATCCAAAACTTCACTCAATTTCAACCCACTATATTCAGTGATCTTGTGAAATACGTTACAAGGAGACCAGTCTGTGTCATCGGTTTCTTAAATATAGCCATATCCGAGTATGTGTAGTGTTCTAACCATTGAGTAAATGAGGTTTGAGCAATGACAATGATTTAACAGTCAATGACAACATCTTTTAAATTGGCAGACGGGCATTCATGGATATTGTTACAGTTCAACTCATTTAGAAGGGGTAGCAATCACTGAGTAACTCAAGTTGCGATAGGCAATACATGGCCCACAATACCATAATATCATGATACAGCAATTCTTCAATAATGTTACATTGAATTGCGATCACATTCATCAGGTTATCTGAATAATTGAGGAATATAAAATGACCCTTAAAAGTAAAGTGCAGGGTTAATGTATTTATTAACTCTAACATGGTGTCGGTGTCACCTCCTATCATGCGCCATTCTGTTACTTCTTTTCACCGCTGTCTGACATTATCCCGCGGTCATCTTCTTTTATCCTGCTTTCACCTTCTTCGTTGGCTTATTAACAATGCGGAAAATAAAGTAGTGACACAGTGGAACCAAAAAAGGTTTAGAGCATGGCACTGGTTTAGCTCAGATGGTAGAGCACACGTCCAATGTACAGAGAGTTCTTGTCAGACTGGTCATACCATGATACCATTTGGTGCATGTCATCCCCAACTTTCCCCCTGTATTTCTATCTTCAGCTGTCCCACATCTTTTCTTTAATCGAAATACCAATATTTAGCAGCAGTGATTCAATAAAGGTAACACAAGGTTCAGAATTACGGTTTATTTCCGTAAACAAGTTTTTCATGGGCTCATTAGCATTAGATTTATTGCCAAGAAGTGTGTCCCACCGCTACTCCTAAATAAATCTCCTCAAATGAACAATGAATCTATCTGCCCTCAGTTAGCCTCTGTCAGTGGATTCAAATGTTGTTTTGAATGCTTTTTGCTTTTACAAAGATTCAGAACAATATTGTATCTCAGCCTACAAGCCACAAGGGGTCCAACACACATTTTTTTTTTTAAATGTCACTGTATTCTCCTAATTGCTGTGACTCTTGTGTTTTGTTTCTTGTGTGCTCATCTTAAATTGGAACTTGAAGAAACCAAGAAAGCTCTTAACCAGCAGCCTAGCTGATTCCTAATTCTTAATCCCGGCACTGTGGCTCAATGTTTTCACTCCCCTGATCTAACATCTAGTGTGGGGGTATTTGACAGTGACAAAATACCTCTTTCCTGCTCTGCTGAACCTCCATACATAAACATACTCTTATAGAGTGAATGCATATCAAGCGCTTCAGCCCACCAGACAAAATATGTAGCAGCTGCTTTTTATTTTACCACAACAAACCTGCATTTTTAAGAACCATATATCTTAGTGAATGTTGTTTTGTCACATCAGCAGCTGTGTGGAGTCAGTCAGTTCAAGTCCTCTGGAAGGGTCACATGTTTTCTCAGGGATTGAGTCTCTCCCCTTGTCAGTTGTTGCCTGTTTCAGCTGCGGTCATCCATTCAGTGCACAGACTCAAAGCCCCATGACCGGCCCCTCCCAGCCAAATCATTGCTGGGCCTGCTTTCACTAGTTTCCCGCTCCACTGCTGCAAAATACCATTGTTCAGTCCCCCTCTTCACAAGCATACATGTGGTTTCGGCTGGAGTGTGGAGTTCAATGTCTGTTCACCTCCCCCCCTCTTCAGCAGCAGCATCAGCAAACATGGTGATAGGGACCAATCAGTGAGTACCCCCCTGATAGTGATAATCATGGAAACACCCTGCATGTGTAGCTCATGTTTTACTGACACGTCTTAGACTTTAGACTCAGATAATAACATCAAATCATTAAATAATTAAAAAGTAGTCAGGGGTAAATTGTTTTGAATCATTTTTTGTAAAAAAGGTGACGAGAGAAAGAAAATTATATTTTTCTAATTTTTAAATGTAGAATTTATTTTAGTTTTTTGCATGACAAGGCATTTTTTCTTTCGTTTGTGCAAGGAAAATCTCGGTTAAGCCTCGTTATTCATTGACACAAATCACTCCCTGTTTAGACATCCAAAAGGAGATTATGTCGATGAATCAATAAAGAAGGGTTACTCTGGGGAGAGGTATCTGTTGCTTGCTATACTGGAAACTCTGGAACTCACTCCCTACACACGTTCAACACTGCACCGACCCTCCTACTTTCAAATCACTTATCAAAACTCACCTCTTTAAAAAAGCTTTTAATGTAGGATTGTGATGTATTTTCTGTTTTCTGTAGTTTACCTTTATTGTTTTGATCTTTATGATTTGTGTGTAATGTTGCAATGTCTAGTTTGTCCGTGCTGTTCTTTCTGTTTTTAACTATTGTACAGTGTCTTTGAGTTTTTTAAAAGCACTTATAAATAAAATGCATTATTATTATTATTATACTCTCCTGCAAGGCAACATGTTTTCAGAAATGTGTGTCCGCACGGTGGTCGTGCGTGGTGGTCGTGGTGTGGCTCCTAATGGTGTGTGAGTGAATGAGTTATAGAGGGTGGGGAGGGAAAAGGGAGGAGGGAGGGTGTTGGTAGTGGGAGGAGAGGAGAGGAGAGGGAGCAAGTGTTTACTCCAAGTGACCAGGAATACGGCGCATATCTGGAAGATGAATCTAGAGGAAGGGGGTTACTGGCGGACAAGCTGTGCTAGCTCTGCTTTATCAGCCGGTAGCTTCTCTCGGTTGATCTCTGGACCCTCAGATTGAGCAACACAACAGGAGACGGGCAGCTTCTAAATCAGAGAGAGAGACAAAGGCAGGAGAGGGGCAAGACGTGAATCAAAGAAAGTGAAAGAAGGAAGAGGGGCAACGAGCAGAGTTGTTATAGAGGAATGAGGGAAGGGAGCAGTTGTCTGACAGAGCACAGGGGCTTCAGCGTAGAATGGTGTGGAGAACTTTTGATTTAAGAAGAGCATGAGAGGGAGGACTGGGGGGGGGTCAGAGGCAGGGGTCCGGTACAGACTAATTGCGGTGACAGCTTGTGCCAGGGGAAAAGGACTCATGTGAGACTCAGAGGAATGAAAAGATAGAGACAAAGAGAAGGAACAGAGAGGGACTGAAAGACCCAAAACTGGACTTCAGTATGGGTGTGAAGAGCAAGGCTGCTGCTGCTATCTTAGTCCTGCTGCTCTTCCTCGGCTCCCTGTGGCTCCGTGAGTATCTCTCTACCTATGTGTGTGTGTGTGTGTGTGTGCTTATGTGTGTGTGTGTGTGTGTGTTACCCTGTTGTACTATTAATCCATACAATCCCTTCCTTGTTTGAAAGGCTAAAGCTCCAGATGAGGAATGTGTCACATGGTGCTGTGGCTGCAGGATCCAGCATGGTGGTCACACATCCCTACTTTTCATACAACATGGCAGAAATATTTTGTGGGATTTGACATGTTATTGAAATTTGAAATTAGTTCTTAATTTAAGCCAATTTCAGATATCAGAGGAGATTTTTATACATGTTGTACACAATCATTATATTTTTGCTTGGGCTAGATCTTAATTTAAAAATTTAAAAAAATGTCCTTTAATTTGAAATCCAAAAAAAAATCAACAATATGTTATCAATATGTGTATTTTATTGCTATTTTAAACAGTATGTCAATCTTCAAATCTGCCTGTGATCTGTTTTTCAATAGCTTGAATTAAATCAGAAAGAGACAAGCGAATCAAAGGAAGGCAAAGTGAGCTGAAAAGTTTTGGGATGAAAGCATGAACGGCCAGCAGTGGATCCTCAAAGTGACTCAGAGAAGAGAGATTTAAATACGGCTCTTAGTTTGTACATGGCACTTTTCACATCCCGCTTGATGTTTTTGGCAACGCCATCAGGATGTCCCTGTCAACATGTTCCTGCAGCTGCTGCATGGGCTCTTGAGTTTAATTTGAACTTGGGGATGTTGGTAACTCAGTCAAGACAGAATATATGCGGCAACAGTTCATGGGAGTCGTCCTGGGTCATCCAACTCGGGGGCTGATCCTTTTAGTTGTTCTTGTTAATGATCAGCAGTGTTTCTGAATGGGTGCTGCAGTTACATGCCAGATTTGTGGAGGACATCCCCTGCAGCTTTTGTGGCTTTTACTTATTTGGCCGGACTGTGAATCTGAGGGCACTCCAGGTGGGCCCAGATTACTTCAGTAAGATGACTTCACTAAGGCTTACATTTGAACTTAACAAATTGAAGACCTTTATTTTGAATTTGACTGACCACTGGTAAGAAGCATAAAAAAGTGCTTTTGTTGACAATACCTAGCTTGTTAGTTATAAATATGGCGTGCGTAGAACTTTTGGCCTTTCGGGAATATTAAGGCATGGCCCATAATTGATGCCAGCACCATGTGCACATGACAGTCACATTCCTTAGCTTCCTCTGCCACAGGCTGAAATAAGCTCAACGTGGAATGAATCAACAATGTGCGATCGAGTCAGCAGCCTCATAATCAGTTTTCAACATTTAAGGATGATATCTTTCACATGACAGCTTTGGCTGGTCAATGAGCTAATAGCCTAATGAAGAAGGCACACTCACAATTTAAATCCTATTTCATTAAAATGTTGCTTTGATGTAAACACACCGATGTACTGTGATGGACCGTCAGAGAATGATCATCTGATTCTGAAGCTAACAGAGTTTTACAGGCTAACATTCTTAGCTTGTTAATTAGCTGGCTAGCTTGCATTGCTGTGTTGTTGACTCCCTTAGCTGTGTGTTTTTCTGCAGCATCAGGAGGCTTTTAAGAGCAAAGATCTCTGAAAAAAATTCACAGTACCTGCTCAGTACTTCATAGCAGACACAAGCTAAACTAGCCTGTGAATATATTTGAGCAATTAGCAGCTTAAACGCTGGATTTCTGCCCAAGCTGATAGAGACCCAAAAGTAAGCTAAAAAATGAAATTCACCATTGCTCAGTAATTCCTCGATGCGTGAGAAAGCAACCATTTGGTAACAAGTTCAGCAATGATATGAACAACCTGTTTCTGTTTCCCCCAAGTAGCCAGAAACATAGCTGTTGCATGTTTTATGTCTAGAAATTGTGAGCCTTAATGAGCCATAATTGTTAATAATTTATATGATATATATAATTTTTAATTTCTATGTGCTAAATGCACCCTTATCTCGCTGAATGTCTTTGTGATTGAATCAGAGTTTCAGTTAAAGTTGCAGGATTATCTGAAAAATAATGTCATTGTGTCAGAAGGCAAACACATACTAACATTTCCCTTGTTTCTATCTTGATGTTTAACTCAGATGGAGGTCTGGATTATCACTGGGATTCCTGTTTTAAAGGTTATAATCAAGTAAATAAGGTAAGCGCACAAGCAAATGAGAAAGCAGTATGCTACTTTATTACATTTCCTCCTGAAGGTTGATCTTGTGAAGCAGATGGCCAATTTGAATGTAGTGAATCACTTCCGCATTCTCTCTTTCTTTGTCCACAATCGCCCCCTCACTCAAACACACCTCCCATCCCCCACCGGCAGCTCCACCAGCTGTACAACAGCAGTGGGGCAGAAGGAGCGGAGGGCCCACAGGTCCTGGAGGGGTGCCCTGGTCAGACCTTCCAGGTGTCACTGCTGCTCTCCCACCTGCTGGCCGCTCCGGCCTACACCTCTGACGTGCTCCTGCAGCCGTATCTTTCCAGCTGGGACGAACTTGTGAGGTAATATCATCAGATAACACAGGAATGTTCTGAGAGAGAGATACAGCTACTGGAAAGAATGAAGTAATTTATGACATAATGGCATAATCTAGACTCATGATATGATATGATTCATCCCGTGATGTTTTACTCCTTAATTGGTTGGGCATATGAATCATATCAGATTGGCTCTCATCTTGTCAACTTGCAGAAGTGTCACTGTCTATAGTGGGAAATTTATGTCTGTTTTGCCTCCACTGTCTTGTGGAGTCCAACAGGGCTCAGCACTGGTGACCCTGCTATTCCCTCTCTAGTTGCTTTCCCTTGGATAAATCTTGGATAAAAAATTTGAAGAAAAGCATTTAATTAATTTAATTTAATCTTTATGCAGATGATACACAACTCCACTTTTTATTTAAACCCTTATGAGCCGTTAAGTTTGTTGCCTAAACTGCCTAAATTCTGGTACTGGAAAAATATATACAGCTTAAGGATCATAAAACAGAGGTTCTGATTGTTTCCCTAGATAAGGCTGTTCATATCATTTTGCAAAACAAAGGGCCTCATTCTTATGCCTCTAAGTTAAATCTAGTACATAATCTTTTCACACATGCCCAAAACTTACAAGTGGGCTGCATGTGTTATAAAGTAGACAGTCGAATCTTTCACCCTTACTTTATTGTGACTTTTTCCAGTCAGCCCCTTAGTAAAATTCCCACAAGATGTCAGGATGAGCCGATGTGTGAATGCTGTAGATAATCAGAAAAATGCCGCAAGCGGGTGGGCTGGGGTGATAACGTTTATATATTCTGTGGCCGCTTAGAAGCCGGCAGGATCTTCGTGCATGTATTGAAGCTGCTTCACACTCTTTTCAGCCTGCAAGTGTTTTTTTCCCACTAAACATTTACACTGTGAATTCATATAATTACACCCAGCACTGACATACAAGCAACAACTGCTTCCTCCACCAACTTGGATAAGTCGTTAAAATCACACTGACTTCCATGGTGTCCTTTTTTACTTTATGACTTTATGACCCCCCCCCCCCCCCCGTCCTCCTGGCAGGAAAAACTTGTGAAAGAGCTGCTATGTAAAATGTCAAGGGCAGACTGTCCTTAAATTTTCTAGAATCTTCAGGAGTGCATGTGTGAAAATGGCTTTGGAGTAATAAAGATTTAGGCTAGCAACATTATGTTTTTCTTTTCGTTTTGGAAATATAAGTAAACTGACGTCAATAGTTTCAACTACTGAACCTAATATGCTTATGCAAGCCTTGATCTCAACTGAGCACTCTTCTCAACACTCAGCATGTCCGCTCTTAAACACCTACAGTAAAAGCAGCATGCTTCTGCAAGACTATTTTCCAGGTTGTTCTCACATTTCTTCCAGGCTGAGATCTTCCCTGGCTCCCTGCTGTGTACAGGATCAAGATTACAGTTCTCACCGTTACTAATAAAATGCTTCACAGTCAGACATTGACTGTGTTACAGCCTCCATAACAAAACTGAGGGTCAAAGAGGGGGCTGCAACGTATAAAAGAAGTGAAACCCTCAAAAGTTAAAACGATTGATCCACAAGCTGTATTTTAAATCAAATATCGAATAGAAATGAAAACAAAATGGAATGGAGACCCGGCCAACATGAACAAAAGCAGTGAAGATGTTGGGCCAGCCAGGATATGGACTGTCACATTCAGCACCTTCCCCCCTCATCTACCAAATAAACAAAACTAACCTAGCAAATAAAAGGTCAAAAACTGGTCTACCATTAGACCCTCTCCGGCCCCAGACTGAACTACAAATAAAAATAACAAAACCCGACGACCTGTAACATCTTTGGGAACCTTCCTTATGGAAAAAGGAAGAGATTAATGTGGACAAAAAAAAACACTACTCACCACATGCTGTCCAGTGTGTGCCTGCCAGTGCCTGCACTCCATGCTCCTCTAAATCCCCTCCCTCCTCCTTCAGGGCAAATTGTCCTCACGTGCAGCAGCAGGCAGAGTCAGTAGAGATACCACAGCGACAGGAGAGAGAACAAGGCTGCACTTTAGGTACCAATTCACCTCTTGTCCACCTGCTCGCTTTAGACAAACATGCTAAAGTTTCTGTCTGTTCCTCGCACGACCTTTAACCCCATGATGATGGAGCGTTAAGGCCATGGCCCCAATCCTATGTAATGTTTTGCCCCCCGATCTTCTGCTAATAACACTCTTAGAGCCTTATTACATTTAACTTTTTTTTTTTATATAAACATTCTTGTTTAGACAGGTGTTTAGGCAACATGTTTGGGTCATCATATTTTGAATGTACCATGCTTGATTTTTTTAAAATAGTGTATTGTACTCTATTATTGTGTCTTGAAGTTGTATTATGTTAATGTAAAGCTCTTGGTGATTTATGTCTCTGAAAAGATGTAAAATGATGTCTTACCTCGTGCTTACTTACCTGCTCCTCCAGGTTTATGGAAGCTCTCGGTCCAATGGTTGGACTTATATCCAAAGAGATAGAAACTAAGACTTCTATAATCCGGCAACTGGCTGTGCTGGCTGCAGAGGGCCCTGAAGCCGAACTGGGCCCGGACGGAAACTCAATAAACTCTGTGAGCACAGAAGCGGGGACAAAGGACACCGGTGCCTACCACTCTGTGCGCTCCATGATCTTGGCAGAGCTGAGCCAAGGCCAGGTGGACTTCAACCAGCAAACGGACTCTGGATGCCGGACTCTCCTGCGTCTGCACCGCGCCCTGCTCTGGCTGAAGCTCTTCCTGGAGAAGCTAGCCGAGACGCCGGTGGCAGGGCGGTTCAGGAGCCCCTCGGAGCTGTGTCGCGAGGCCTACCAGAACACCCTCGCCCACCACCATACCTGGTTTGTGCGCAGGGCCGCCGAGCTGGCCTTCATAGCCTTGCCAGAGCGAGGTTTCTTCTACAGGCTGGTGTGTGTGCAGAACCAGGAGGAGTTCGGCGTGCTGCTCAACAGAGTGGTTCAGGCTATTGGAGAGGTTTACGACAGGACACAGAAAGCACTGGAGGAAAATGGCATGCTGGACTTGCCATAGAAAAGGGGACCGTCAGTCCTGGTTGTTTCCAGGGCTTCATACGTCAACAAAAATGTTGTAAACTTCTCAATGATAGATGAATAGACTATTTTTTCTAACTGAAGTTTACATGTGCCATATTTTCCACTCAACCAAAGTGCTGTTAACAATCAACTTACACTGAAAGATTTTCTTTTTCATCCTGTTAACATTCCTCATTCAATTAGATGAGATCATATGTTGATTGGAGGTATATTTAAGGCAGCTGATGAAGCATTTACACTGTTTAAACACAGCTGGTGGACACACAATCACGAACCCCCCCCCCACACAAAGAAACACAATGTTCTTGAGACTGGGTCACAGGGGAGATGATTAAAGCTGCTGTGAGGAGTTTAAAGCTGGTTTTGAAACACACTGAAATGATTGTTTATGCCTCTGTAGACCTACAGAAGCATCACTGACTTGAAGGATAATTTCTATATATTTTATTTAATGCTTGTAACCAGAAGAAAGAGCACACCATCAATCCACTCTAACTTTGCTAAATGGTGCTTAAAGTGTTGTGCACAAGGTGGATTCATGTTGGCTCTTTGTAAGTATTATAATAAAGAGTACGGTTTACACCTGCTCTTTTTGCAAAGTGTCTTAAGATAAAAATGATTATGAACTGGTACTATACAAATAAAGATTGATTGATTATGATAATATATAATACACTTTTATCGAGCCCCATTCTGGGACATTTTTTTTTACAACAGCTCAAAATAGAGGAACAGAATCAGCTAAAGATAGGAAAAGGTTTAAAACATATTTACATTCATTAAATATAAGAAGAAAGATACTGTAGTCATGAAATTATACTAGAAATATACATCTCTGGCGCCGGGTTCGAATCTGACCTGTGGCTCCTTTTCCTGCACGTCATTTCCAACTCTCTCTCTTTCCAGTTTCTGACTCAGTCCACTGTCCTATCTCTAAAATGAAGGCAAAAGCTCCACAAAACAAACCTTACAAAAAGTAAATATATACTGTATATACTATGTAGGCTTTCACTGCGTGTGAAGTGTACGTAGTGATTGATTGACTGCAGAAACAGCCTTCTGTTTACATTTTTCTGTTCACGTTCAGTGATGAGGTTTGATTGTTCAAAGACAGCAGGATGAGATTTTTTGTTAAAACACAAACAGAACCGGTACAGGAAAAAATCTGCAAAAAGATCAACCATGCTTCTTTGTCCACAAGGGGCACCAAAGTGCACACAAACTGAATACTCTCACAGAAGCTTTAAAGAGTTGATTGCATTAGTTCTGTACAGTTTATGTTTTTAAATGTGGTTATTTTGTTTAACACACAAATGTTTCTGTTCTCTTTAAATTTGACTTGATTTAGTATGCTACCTCATAACCGGCTAGGTCTAGATGCCTTTTTAGCCTTAAAATCTGGGTCCAATCAATCCTGATCAAAGACGTTTTACACTTAATCGATAATAATACAATAAATCGACATGTGATGAACAGAAGACAGTAAAAGGGCTTCACACTGACTGTGGTGTGAATGTTGAGTATGAATTTCTGAGTTTTACGCTGAAAGCTTTTGTACCATGTTCTGAATGATCAAATATATAAGAGAAGGAGAAAATGCAGTTGTCTGTTTTTCTGACGTAGTCTTGTCCAGTTATGTGATAAGTCTGACATTTAAATGCCACTTGACTGTTATGTATTGCCATCCAGTATCCAGCTCTGAGACACTTAAACACTCTCCTTATATAATCGTGGATAAATCTTTTTGTTGCTGCTTTTACCTTAAAACCTTTTAAATTAACAAAGGGATGTCCAAATGTCTCTTTGTCTATAATATACATTATTTATCTTTCATGTTTGGGCCTATCTTCTCGATGACAGAATCCATTGTCTGAAAAGTATTAAAGGATTGCAGGATTTTAATTATTTTAGTGTGTGTAAGAGAGAGTAGTATAAGTAAGAATAGGACACTGGCCATTCTCTTGATCAGACTATTTTAAACCCACAAATACCTCTAATGCCACATAATCCTGGCTTTCTCTCCCCCCCTGCCCTGCGCTCTCTCTTTCTGAGGTGGAGACGGCGAGGAAAAGAAGAGATAAGGACAGAGCCTGCAGCCTCGGAGCCAACTGGAGACGGGACCTGGTTGAAGGTCAGAAAGCGGAAGTACACTCCGCCTGTAATCTTGTCAAGCTGTTGGGAGGCAATCTGTGTTGAAACGACTCCCGATGGAAGAAGAAAAAAAAAGTGAGCCTTGGTGCAGTTTTTTTTGTGTTACGTGCAACTGCTGTGTGTGTTGCTCTGGACCTTTGACCCGTGGTGTGTCAAGGAGGATGACGTGTGGCTGGTGGTATTTCCACCACGCACACACTTCCTCTTGATACTCATGTGAAAATAAAGTGATTAGAGGTTAGCAGTAGTTCACTTCTCACATCAAAACGCGTCACATTAAGTCTCTTTTTCTCTGTATCCACCTCTCATTTGTTACTACACACCACGGTGTGTGCACAGGATAACACTACTGTCCAATGTCACTGCAGCCAGCGGGGATTATGGGGAATGGGATTACATTAGATTACATCCACTTGATGCTACTTTTGACACCGACTGGTTTCTTTTTCCGTCTCCCCAAAGGCAAAGCTACATTTGACTACTTTTGGAATTCCTAGTAAACCATGAGGAAATAATCAACATTAGCATCATTGCTTAATATGAGTGTCTCTCCATGTCTAAGAACTCCTCTCTCGTCATGAAAACAAACTGTTAAAGAGGCAAAAAAAAAAATAAGAGCGAGTCTTGAGTTCCCTTAAATGACATTTATTTATTTCTCTATCTTGGTTTGCAGTAAACATGAGCAAAAATATACATACAGTAAGAGCAAAAATAAAGATCCAGAATAGAGTTTTCATCCTTTTGGGTTAGAGTAAATTTCACTGATTTCTGTGTTGAACTATCCGTGCACCACAATCTTAGGCAATAGTATGATTTAAGACAAGAGGGGTTAGTTGGGGAGTTAAAATGATTTTGTTGATTTTAGACACAACTAATGGACTCTGGTTGACATGTCCGTGTGGCCCTGTTGTAGTTTCATACCAAAGAAAACGTTCTGAATATATTTGCACATGAAAGCCCTCTGAAAACGCCGCTTGCAACATCCAGTTTCTTTTCTGATGACTTCATTCTGGTAAAAACAAAGCAGCCGAGTTCAGAGTGCCGTCACTGCAAAGCTTAAAAATCTCCATTTAAGAAAGTAGAAAGGACTTAAACTATGACAATGAAAAGGTTCTACGTTTAAAAAAAAAAAAAAAAATGATTCAGCCGAGCCGTTAAATGATGAAAACCTACCAACCAGCTCCCATGACGTGATACAATCCAAGCTTATACATTCTCTCCTCTTTACAATAAAATAGCAATAAAAATACTCTTTTTTTTTTTTTTTTATAAACAAAACACCACTTGTCTATCCTGTCCCATCAGTATAATGCACCGGCACAAAGCCTGAATGCACCATCTGTAGGATCTTTCTGGACTCTTCCTTGCTCTTGATGACACACTGATTTTGTTTCTAGTAAATACATCATACGGCCACACAATAAATAAATATATTGCTTTTTGAGAACATCTCCAAGTAATCGAGAGAGAAAATAAAAACGGATAAATGGAGATATGAGGAAAAAAAACATTCTGTGACACTGGGGAACAACACTGTCTGTCCACCAGGAGGCACTGTTAAATTGCAGTGAAACATGTTCCTTTTGTGCGTATTCTTATTATATAAGAGTAGGCCTTCTAATAACACAAGGTGGTAAGCCCTCCACCCGGGTTCCTACAGTATCTCCACACTCACATCTGCGCCTGGTTAAAAAAAAATAAACTGTGATGAAGGTCTTTGGTTGAAGAGCGAATCTTCACATGCACATGGGCAAAAAAAACATGAGCGTCCGATTAGATGATGAAAGGGCACGTTTGATTGGATGTGCTGTGATTTCAATGGACTTAAATTTATTCTACAAGGGTTAAAGTAGCATTAAATGGGAGTGAGTGCATTGAGTACTTTGCAGAAGAAGAAGAAGAAGAAGAAGAAGTGGAGGAGGAGGAGGAGGAGGAGCGTCAAAGTAGGGTAAAGAAGTTCAGCGTGCCTCCTCTGGATTAGCCGAGCAGATTAAGAGATTACAGAGAAATTAAGTAAGTGTTGCAGGAATGCCAGAGGAGAAATGCATGTGAACTGGTCAATGGACTGTCTCAAAAAGCAAGGGATAAAAAAAAAAATCCTCTGACGGCTGTTGGATCACACAATTCATTGTGAATAACTCCTCCGATACAGATCAGATAATCACATTACACCTAATAGTCCTTCTGTCTCTCTTTGTCAAATCTGCGTCAGGCAATAAAGTCCCATTCAGACCAGAGAGGGATGTCTCTGCGAGCAGACTGAGGAACACATTGCAAAGAGAGAAATGAATCAGTGGAGCCGAGCCAGGCCCGTAATGTGAGTGAACAGATGCCACATTTGCTGCGATGACATTGCAGGTTCACAGACATGATTTTGTAGCTGTGATAAAATAACGTGCCTGACTCGAAGAAAAAAAGAAAAGTGTGACTTCACAGATTTCCTCCAGCCAATATATGCAGGTGTTTCTTACATTTCTGTGTGACTGGGACTGCAGAGTGAACAGTAAACAGCTTCAGCACCAAACTCAGGACTAATCTAAGATCCTGTCAAATGTTTGACCTTGTTAACATGATGTCTGGGCTTTCAGACAGCTCCTTTGAACAATGGAGAAACTAAAACAAAAAATTGTGACAAGAAAAAAACAAAAAACCTGTCTCTATGTGGTCAAGGATCTTAAGTTTGGGCCTATACAACCAAACTCTGATGGACAAACAACTCACATATTTTAAGACTAATCACCTTCAAAAGAACCTGGAGACTACATTTTTGATATTTTAAAGTATGATGATGAGTATGAAGGAAACAAAGAGAACAAACCAAACTTTCTACATCAATCTTCTCAAAAACTGTACATGAGTTAATTCAACTCAGATTCACAAAAAAAAAAGAAAAAAGAAAATAAATCACACTTCCAGTGCAATTCAATACAAAATATGACAATGGCATCTATTTCTGATACATTTGAAATAGATGCAAAACACGCACACAAAAATACTTAATTAAGTTTTATAGCTATTGTTAAGGATTCGAATGGTAGACGTAATGGCTGGTTGTGCAGCAGGGGTTTTCTTTTGCTTTTGTTGTTTGATATTCAGACGTTTTATTTTGTACCTGGGAGCTGAACTTGTTTAGAGACTTTCTAAATGGTACTGTTCAGGGCATGAAAAACAGCTTTTTGCTATCCTAATGTGATGTTGTAAGACTTCAATTAAATCTAGAGATATTAAACAAGGTGAGAAGTCCATGAAACATAACAGATGTACTGTAAGGTCACACGGCATCACTCATCATAATCATAAAACAGAAAGAAGTGCTGCCTGCACTAACAAAAAAATGAAGGTTTGAGGTGCTCTTCGGGATACATGCAATCAAAGAGAACAAGCTCCATTGACTCTATTTTAAACAATTCAAACCTTTATTTCATGGCATGGTCGTTTAAGATCTAAAAAAACGTTGGTGCATTTCTGCATCCAGCCTTCATCAGGAAGTCAAGGCTCGATGATGAAACCAGCAAAGTTGTAAAGATCTAAAAGTGCATGCCATGAAAAAAGCTTTTCAAAAGTTAAAAAGAGAGTGCATTCGACGTTCTTCTTGTTCTCTATGAAACCCCTCTGTTATTCAAAAGCTGCTCCAGCTCAAATAAAAAGACTGAATATCAAACGGTCCAAAATAATTTGTACTTAATTGATTAATTGTCTCCTCAACTAAAGATTGACTCAAGCATTCATAGTGTATGCCACGAAATGAATATTGCACGTTGCATGCAACTTCCCGACCTACAGTATGAAATGGGACATGTCAATGAATGGAGCACACACACACACACACACACACACACACACACACACACACACACACACACACACACACACACACACAAACACACACACTCTTAAGAGGTTTTCGAGCTCTCCTATGACTCCCTTTCTCTTTTCGGGAAATTATTTAATTTGGTGATTTTGTACCGACTACAGTGTGTTCCCTCCTGGTGGTCAGTGGTCGAAGTTATCCGTTTTTTTCCACACTGAGCAGAGAGGCGGGACTCGGGGGGTGGGGTAGGGTCGGGTGGGGGAAGGGGTGGGGGGGGGGCCTCCTGCCCTCATAGCACACTAAAGACAATACACACATGCAACATGGCTTCATCTCTGCATCCATCCGTCGAGATATACGCGAGTCTGTTGGATTATTCTTTTAAGTGCAACAAAATACTGATATAAGGTTATGATGCCGTATAAATACTGTAGATATACACATTTTGAATTGTAATTTGTGTATATTCGTATATAGAGGGAGGCTCTGTAAGGAGGCAGCAGGAGGGGGAGCAGCATTAAAGTGGTACTGTTGCTGATCCTCGCAAACTCTGGAAACACACGTTCACATCCTTTACATCTCCTAGTTTGGTCATGCAGTATAAATAGACGTCACCTCAAACTAATGTACAGAGAAGAATTTGTCCCAAAGCTCACAGACAGAAATAATGCCAGGATTAGCACCCTTTTTTTTTTTTTATTTCCTCTTCATCCAACGACTAAGATTAACTATTTCCTCCCAAAATGTGGAGGTTTGTAAACAAATCCTACAAAGGGTGTGAATGCTGAGATTGCTTTCTGTGTATGTGCAATGTTGCAGAGAACGGAGACGTAGTTTTCAGGAGAAGGAAAAGAAGGTCAAACTAGGTGGAGACAGTGTTGATCCTCAGCTTGAACGACACCCTCCCAGCATACTTGTCCCTTTCACTTCCGACGGGAATGTTGTTGGCGAAAATCCTGCACTCGATGTTGACTTCTTGATTGGTGGTAATGTTGAGGAACTTGACAGCGACCAATGGCTGAGAGTAGTTCACCTGAGGAGAGAGAGAGAGAGCAGATCCAAAGACGTCTTAGAACACAGGAGCCGACGTGTTCCATCTGGTACGTCGCCAATGAACTGTCTGGAGATGCTGCTGGGTTCATGGGGACAATCTTACCTGAGCTTTCTTGCCATAGTAAGGGTAGTACATAAGGTTGAAAGTGCCGTTTGGTGGGAAGTACATCAACTCTCCAATTTTGTCAGAGTCTTCTCTCTGAGGGAGGGAAACAACCTTTTTGAGTAACAGCCTGAAAAATCCCTTCGTCCCACATATAGGAGAGGAGGTGAGTCTCCTTTTCTCTAAATCTAAACTATTTCATCTATTTTATGTAGGTCATGTCTCCACAGCAGACATATAAACATAAAGCTAGGATCTATACCTCTATAGATCTAAAAAAAACAAAAAAAACACAGGTTCTACTCTGTTCTTACCCATTCATTTTTGCCAACTTTGTATCTCTGTGAGAGGGCAAATGAGTGGAAAGCAATGGAAGAAAAGCCACACAGACAGGTGGTGTAAATGACAGAAGTTGCATGCGATACAGAAAAGAGAGAGAGAATGAAGCGTAGTGATGGGCGGCGTATTGCAGACATGAGTGAGCTTGGAAATGGGCTGAAATCCAGATGGTTATGTGAGAGCGTTAATTGTGTCAGACAAAGCTGGGTTACCTTTGCAGCACAGCTGACATATGGAGCCTGTCCATCCTTTCCTGGAAGCATCCCAATCACCTGGTGAGAATAAAAGACATCACTTATTCATATTTTTTTTTTTTGCTATTAAACATCTTTTATTTATAAGGAGGAATGTAAAATCATGTTTAAAGCTGACACCAAATGTGTCAAAAAGTGAAATAAATGCGACAATTAGGGACAGTATTCTTTCTCCCTCTCTCCCAACCAGTTGGTAACTGGTAGCTCGATGTCTCCTAGCAACACCATCCTTTTCCCTTTCATACCCGATTTAGCTTGATGATGATACACGGTTTGCCTTCCTGGTATCCATAGTAACGGTCATTGATTCCAGAGCACTCCTCTAGCATGGTGCGGTTGAACTGACAGGAGCGCTTGGGGTTGTTCTTCACGTCGCCGCTGTCTTCCTGCAGGAAGTACTGGTCAGGGGTGCACTCGTCGTTTTTCTGGGTTTGCAGAGAGTTGTTGTAGGCTGCAGAGGAGGGAGTGGGGGGAGGGAGAGAGAGAGAGAGAGAGAGAGAGAGAGAGAGAGCAGGGGAGGGGCTTATTTTATGTGTTTAAAGGCTTATGATGCGGGGCAATCTCCTGCCCGCTCACTGTAAAGGAATTATCTCTTATTAGGTAAAAACAATTCATTCTGGATGGTCAAGATAATCCGCTCTGAGCCCATTTGAGTCACAGTGCAGAGTCCAGACTTACGTGACAGGAACTTGTCCAGGGTCTGAGCGTACATGTCCCAGCTCTCAGTATCCTTGATGCTGTAGGCGATCTCAAAGGTCTCATCTGCTTTGGGTCTAATCACCATTCCTGTGAGTGACAGAGGGCAGAGAGTGGGGGGGTCAAGACAAGATTGCAAAAACGATGACCTCTGTGTCCATGCAGTTTGTATCATTAGCTGCAGCAGCACCTGGTGTGGAGAGCCGGTCCTGCCAGGTGGGTTTATGGTCATCCAACGTCTGCAGCATGACATACATGGTGAGGGCAAACAGCCCAGCCAGGAAGATGTAGAAAACTACATAGAAGAGAATAATAAGACCTGTGGAAAGAAGAGAAACAAGTTTTATTTCATACACAATATCAAGGAGTAACGGAGTAAACTCACAAAAGTCATAATCAGTAATCAATAATAATAAGTAAAAAAGGCCCACACCTTTCACACATCATGAACTGCACTCATAAAGAAATGTGAATTTCTACATTGTTACAGATACTCTTGCTAAACAGTCAGTTCATCTAGTATTTTGAAATTCACGGCTTCCTGATTGTTTTTCTTAGAATTTTTTTTTTTTTTAAATAAGATTTAATAATTGCTTTAATGTGCAAGAAATGATTCAAGTGCAATTCAATTGATTTATCAACATCCCAAGTTTAAAATTATTTTAAAATGAAATAATTTTCAATTCTTTAATTAAATACATAGACCGATCTTTGTGGTAACTGGCATGTTTTGTCCAAGAAGAAAATAACAATTTATTGAAATAGAAAGTAATTGAGAATACTGAAAAAAAAAAAGTAAAAAAATAATAAAAATGCAATTTCCATTCTAACAACAAATATGCATTGCAAGCAGCCCCCCTCTCCACTTTTAAACCATGTTGTTTGTATGTACACAACTAGACATTGTGGAGGAGTTTTCAGTTTGGCACAATGTTTAAACCAATACAAGATGACATGTTTGCATGTTGCTTGCTTTAAAAGATGCAGACGTTGCATTTGATGATATCTTTTTTGCTATGATTGCTGAGTGTTGTGTGTCTCAAAGGACTCTTTGATCTAATGACTGATTACAATGAAAGGCGAGTTATTGTGCATGAAAGCTGCATTAGACTACCATCTACAACTGAGTGTAAGTGCACACCATGTTATAATTAGTGTTACACACAATGTATTTATAAATGTGAATAATCTGACATTTGAGTTGATAGTGGAATCGGCTTTGACAAAATCTGTGCGGTCAGATATGTTCACAGGAGGTTGTTTAATCCTAATTAAACAAGAGTGTTTCATTCCATCTGCAGCATCTGCCCCTCTCACTCATTAATAGTCATTTAGATAGTGGAAATATGCATTATTCCAAAATACGGTCTAACGTGATAAATATTCATCACCATTGACCTGACCGAGACTGAACAGTGACCTGAAACAGTGTGAAATAAATCAGCTAGAATGGCTGCCCTCTGGTGTATTTCATTATAGCGTTTCCCCGTCCACAGCGGGGGAGTTAAGATAACAGAGGGAGTCACAGGAGGAGGGAGGACAAGGACCCCCTGGAGATCGGGCCACAGGGTCATGAGATTAAAGGCTATCATAGACTAGGTCTTTATTCATTACCGGTGTAAGGAGACCCCTGTGATGCGAATGTAAAATAGCTGTTTTTCTCTCTGATTATTGGCCTGTCAAAACAGAGTCACATCACAATCTCCCAGAGCTGAAGATGAACCCATCTGAATGCTTGTTATGTACATTCATCTGTTTCAATCCAGCAGATTTTTAAATTTACGATTGAAATTAGATAAACAACTTCAGCTCTGAGAAGATGAAGCTTTTTTGAAGCTGTTGCTCAATTTATAGCGAAAAGAAATCTTGAAATAAAAATCGCATCGTGCGAAACATCTGACTATTAAAGATCGAATAACTGTCTTGTTTTTTTTTAGCAGTGTTTAAAAAAAGTCTAATAGAATGAAAATGATGTAGCACTCATCCACTGCTGCACTATATAGAAAAACACTGAGTGTCAGTCAACCTAATGATCTCCAATGATATGTTGTCCCATTCTTTGGGAGCAGCTGTTTGGTGCACTCCTGTCTATAAAAAGACATTTTCTCTGACATGTCTGTCACTTTAAGAATCCACACCTGAGGCAGGAGTAGGGAGGCGATTGGATGCCCTGACCCTGTGCCTCTGTTCTCTCCCTCCTCCCTCCTCAGTGTGGAGCTCTTTCACTCTGTCAACAGCTGCACCTACCTCCACACGCAGCCGGGCTTTCAGGATCCATAACAAAATGTCAAGGGGAAGCTGCTCAGTGTGGGGGGGGGGGCGATTACAGAGAGCAACCTTTATGAATTAGGACCTGTTTGCATATTCATAAAACTGCTTCTTAAATCATTGCGATCTGAGTCGAAGCAAATGAATGAACGGCTGAGTAAGACGGCAGAGAGCATCCCGTCTGTTGCATGGAAAGGACCCAAGCTGAGTCATTAAAAATACACAGAGTCAGCTCTACAGGCTCGGGGCTGCACTGGAGGCACTACAGTGAAAGAGAGAGAGAGATAAGATGTGACAAAACAAAGTGTTTAAGTGGTTTTCTCTGTCGTCCAGTGGAGGTTTAGCGCTCGCCACAAACATGACACCACCCAGGGGAGAGTGATTGTGCACACGTGCATACAGCTAGGGTGGCTTTCCCGCTGGCAAGGAGGGTGTTAGGTTTACAGTCTGCTCGTCTCGGTCCGTGCCGATGATGGACAGTGAAGGCTCTCTCTTTCAGCCGGGTTTTTGTTTGCAGACGGCAGTTGAAAGAAAAGAACAGAAAGGCCGGGGCGGGGGGGTTCAGTATCCGGTTCTTTCTTTGGAAATAATGGCGCAAGGTGTCTATTTGCTATCAGAATTAATTAGAGGACATGACGATTAATTGCTTTGTAAATGGGTGATCAAATAGAGCAAAAAGTGGAAAGCTGTAGAAAGAGAAAACAAACTAATGCATATGGTGCAGAAACCTGGGGTGTGTTCCCTGTTTGGCACTCCTAGGATGAATTCTTACAGAACTTGATAGAGTGGTTTTCTTTTTTTTTTGTTGCTGTGGGAGGAGCAGGATCATCAAAGAGTCCAATTTTTAAAACCAGGGAGCTGTTTGAACACGTTCCTCGGACTTGAACTGGTGGCAATGTAACATCTAAATTTGCAAGCTTGTCCTATTTGATCAAGGCTATTTCCAGAGCATTACATCTCCCAACGCAGCCATGAAAACACGACTAAGTGTCCTTTGTTCCATCCTCAAAGAGCCTTTGATCTGACTCTCTGAATTTGCATTTCTCTGTTTTATTTTAAGCATGAAAAACCTTTTTGCCTTTTAAATAGACTGGAAACTTTTTTTTCTCCCTGACTTCTCTGAGAGCATGTCGAGATTAGTTGGCATAGAAACAGGAGGGCTGCACTATAAATAAACAAAGCCATCCATTCAGAGAAGTGAAAGTGGAGGTACAGTATGCAGCCTTCTGGGTTTGCGTCATGGGGGGAATGAGGAAGTGCAGAGTTGATGTGCCAAGTTTAGCATGTAGCTACATGTAGTGGCAAAGTCCAAAAATAGCCTAATTAACAAGCCTAAGAGAGCACGGCTTAAAAGGGCCAGCAGACCTTAAAGCACCTGGGACGCTCTGAGCTGGATTAAGTCTTACACTGTGGGAGGATTCCGGCAGAGGAAGCTGTAGTCAATGATTCCTGCACTAATAGTACAATGTCCATTGATGACACATAATCACCACAATACCACTCCAAGTGCGACCTCTTTCAGTATAACTACGATAAGAGACTAAACTTTAGAGTTTCCTTTGAGAGCTTGTCGACCAATGGAAAGATCAGAATAGTCTAAATTCTTGAAAGTGGTTTACTTTGCTGGCTCCCACCATGAATTGATACCTTCCCCAGCAGCCAATGAAGACATTAGATTAGGATTAAAGCCCTCACTGAATTACACTCACTGGGAGGGGCCGGGGGTTGGAGGTGATACAAATAGCATTTGGCCCTCGGCTTTACCCAGATTAAAATGTTCCAATGTCATTAGAACCGAGCCATATGCGCCCTATCACTTCATCAATCATTCAAACAGATGAAGGCTGGTTGAAATAAAGAAAAGAGGACAGTATAGCAATAATAATGTGTGTTCACAGAGGCTGGGTTTTGGCTTTATCTTTAAAGTCTCAGGGGAAAAACTCTGAAAAAAAATGATTACATCATGTTGAACGCTTCAGTCCTTTCTCTGCTTAACTTCAGTAACACATCTGTTAATCAAAAAGTCTCTCTCTGCAGAGGAATTAACATTATTGCTGGCTACAGCAGCCCCTCCGGAGAGAGGAGCTGATGGTGCAACAGAGTGGAACCTGTCTCAGCACTGCTGCAGTAATCTAGCTAATTCAAATGTAAAAAAAATAAAAAATAAGACCAAATGCCTCCACCCTTATGTTGAACGCATTGCGCAAGGAAAAGCTGTGCCATAAATTAATAAATAAAGACAGAAACTGAGGCAGAAGGGAGTTCTTTCCTTCCCCCAGGAGCGTTGCCGCATTCAAATTTCAGCACTGGAGTAGTGGACAGCGACAGTCCTCATCTCATTACGTTACCCTAAGGACCATAATCACCCAACTTCTATCAGGTTCATATTGACATTGAAGTTGCACACAATCTTTTTTTTTTTTTCTTTTTTTTGCAGGAGTCCACTCTGAAAAAAGCATGTAAGTGCATGCTTAATAGACTTTAAAAAGAAACCTGTTAGGACAGATTTGCTGCATTGCTGTAGCTTGACTCCACTTACCCCAGCTGCTCGCCGTCCTGCCCAGAAACTCCCTCGTCCTCGGGTTCCATATAAATTCTTTCCACCCATCTTTTTCTCCATCCTTTGCCATTTTCTCATAAACGTGTGGACACCAAACTATCTAATTAACGCGTCTAAAAAGCAATAAAGAAAAAGAAACGCCGGGTCCGAACAGTTAGCAAGACGGCGGAGAGAGAGAGAGAGAGAGAGAGAGAGAGAGAGCTACTGTGCCTCAGCTCAGAGGGATATGAGGTATTTGAACAGGTCTGCTCAAACTAAGACGTAAATGACAGAAACACGCTACAGTTGTCTATCTAATAAAAACAAAGTAGACAAAAAGAGGTGACGTTCCTACACTCAGCATAGACCTAGTATCTGCCCTCCCCCCCGGCTCCTCTTGTCTGCATGCCGCAGAGTTTTGATGAGTGGTGCAGAAATCTAGTGATACTGCGGTAAAGCACTCCCTCCGCCTCCCTCCACAGTCACCCCCCCTCCTCCTCCCCCCTCTCCATTAACTCCCCCCCCCCCCCTCTTCCCCCTCCAAGAACCTCATCCTCTTTCCATTTCTGGCAGGGCTGCTCCCTCCTCCTCATCACCCTGCTCCCGCTTGGCCAATCGCCTACACCTCATGCTGTGATTGACAGCCACCAGAGCCAATCGCGTGGTTGTAAAGGGCGAGCTGTTATTGGCTCTGAAGAGCGAGTGGTCACGTCACCGAAGTAAAACCAATACAATATCTGTTAAATTCTTTAAAGTGCTTTGGGTTGTCTGTGATGAAATGGTGTTTGTTGTTATTTGTCTGTAAATTAGCTTAATATCGATATTGTAATTAAACAGTATAACTATATTATAATTATACATCCAGCTTGCCATAGGTCAGAGTTCAGAAGCCTGACACACGTTTTCACCTATTTTCTTATTGCTTGCTTCGAGTCTAAGTATATCTATAAGAGTAATACAAAGCTAATGTGTACATTAATATTAATGCAAAAAATAATATTTAAATATATATTAAGGAAATTGGAACACAAGCTGTCTTCTAATGTACCTGATTTTACAAATTAGATTTGTGGCATTGGTTGCAAATTGAAAGCTATATGTAAAGAAAGTTTCTGCACAACTTTTTTCCTAAAATATAATTAATTCTGGAAATGCAGCTACTTAAAATTCAGTCTCGAAAGGTCTGCGGATTGCTCTTAGTGCATTTGCTTGTGCACACTACGGTATATTGCAGTGCTGCCTCCAGTACTCGGCATGCAGCCACATCATCATCAGCAGCAGCAGCAGCGGAGTGAAGGCAGCTCCCTCACCTGGACACTGAGGGAGCTGCAAATCCTGCTGCAGGAGTGCAGAGGGAACATGATGTCCACTTCCCCACCATCTTTACTCAGTAACACCACGAGGCATGAACACATGCAACAGCTCTGTTTGTTGTGTAAAGTTCATTATATAAAATTTATTTTGAATGACAATATCAATGCAAATATAGCACTACAGTGATTTCCAAGGTACACCGTATCTTACCATATCAATATAGTATGGCACTCGTATAATGGCCACTGTTTTCGAAGACACACAAAACCAACAGGTTCTGTAAACTAGTTTGGAAATGATACCTAGGGTCCATAGTGGTCTGAAATTAAAATCGGGCACAATAGTCAGCATCATAGGAACATTTTCAGTGTAAGGAATCTCTGCATGCATTGCACTCGCCCATTTCCTTCACCCTGACCTGTGTTTGTTTGAAAATGGACGCTCCAAAAAAACTCGAGCCTCAAACACGAGCAGGTGGGACTTGGAAAAACAAAAAAAGGCCGAGCAGTGACTCTCAAACATTTAGATAGGTCGTCTTCTCACAGGGTGTACTGAAACTGTACAGCTTGGGGCTAACTATCATTAAAAAAACAACAACAACCAAGAGACATTCAAGTGCCTTAATACTATTACAGAAGGGCTCACTCTTCAAGGTACAAACTTCAGTTCACGTGGCTTTCAGAAATAAAACAAATATGTAACAATAACCACTATATTGATAATGTTTCACATGGCGACACCATGTGGTCCAATGAACAACACCAGTAGTTCAAGATAGCAGCAAAGTAGTTCAAAATGTCAAGACAAGGAGCTGTTAAAATCTGTACACAAATAAAAATGTATGTAGTAAAAAAAGGCATAAATAAAAGAATAACACAGCTTAAAGGGAGTCTTGCATAAATTCAAATAAACAACTGTTGGCCTGTGCCTTTCTTCAGAGGGCTTACCGTTTTATTAGTAGAACTATAAGTAATGCATGGACTGGCTGCAGCAGATACTTAAAACTTTTAGAAAAAACAAGTGAACAAAGTTATGTTTATACAGTATATGCTACATAATATGTATTGATTACAAGTATGAAAATGGAAATAATTGCTACATTTTCAATACAGTTGTACATATCTATTTACAGTACATTAGGGTTTAATTTCTCCTAAGCAAATACCATGTTTTTGTGCAGATTGTTCCAGCATTCTGTTTGAGGTGATCAATACTCACAGTCTCATCAGTTGCACCATGTTGTACAGTCTGTGTTGATGGGTGTCAGTGCTTGTTTGTTTTTTTTCTGTGTGGTGGAACAATCACTAATGTGCAACTGTGGAGAAGCATGAGCGATGATGTTTTCTGTACCATTGATCTGTGTCTGTATTTGGCTGGACCTGTCACACCACCTTCATGAGCAATATAGTTCTCGTTTTTTATACAACCACGTGGTGCCATGGTGAAGATCTGCTTTGTGTGTCAAAGTCGCACATGATCATCTCTACACATATTCTTTTACAATACTGAATGTCTATTGTGACATGCAGAGAATGACACAGTAAATACGACTTCTTCAAGTCTTAGATATGTATGTTAGGCTAGTCGACACAAGTTTTGATTATGTTGCTCTGCTGCCGGGAGCATATTGCTATAAAATTGCAGAAACGTTGAGAAAGTAAATAGATTTACATTACAAATATGCAAACAGATACAGTAGGTAGCTTTTACTTCGTCGGTGATGATTATTTGCATCCACAATGACAATCTACTGATATCAAGACATCTCATAATGCATTCACGAATTCAAGAAACACTTTGATTACTTAGCAATGAGTCTCGCCTTCTCTCTCCTCCACGGAGTCGTTTCTATGCGCGTTGGAGAAAAATACATGATTTCTTTATGTCTCAAGTAGTCAGGAGGAAAATTTGGCAACACCAAACTCTGAAAACATTCCCACCCATTATTGTAAAGTTGGCTTTTTTTTGTTTTGTTTTGTAGCGACAATACTGGCGTTTGTGGCAAAAAACTGTTGGCAATTAGAACACATTGAAAAGGACAGAGCAAGTACAAATCACCCAGAAAAGAGATTAATTTAGTCTGATTGTGACACTTCTTTCACCTCTTTTGACAACCTGTTTTTTGTTTTTTCATTTGAAACAAATTCAAAGTCTCCGGTGACCTTCACTACTGTGCTCAGATCAGTTTATCACACAATAAGAAGCAGAGCCATCTTTCACTCCTTATTTGCTTGTAGCTCTTCAACCCTCATCTCCTCTGTGTTTATTTGTCTTTAATGCTGTATACCTTTCAGCCTGTCTTTCCACCTCAAATAGCGGTGTCCCACACAACGGCCTGTGGCCTCTGGCAGGGTGGCGTGCCAGTCTTACGAGGCTCAGGTGTCCGTCTCCAGCTCGGGAGGATGGGCATGCTGTCCTGCTTGCACAGACTTTTGTCAGGGCGCCTGTGGGCCTTGATCTCTTTGCACAGGCAGCGTTTACGCTCGATGACTTCCAACAGCTTGCCGTCTCTCTGGGTCTGTGATGCAGACGGGGTGGTGCCCCCGCCGACAGGAGGCTGTCCCTGTGCCAGCTGGGCGAGATGCTGGAACTGCAACTGTAGGTGGTGCTGTTGCTGGAGCTGCTGGAGCTGCTGCTTCAGCTGGAGCTGCTGCTGGTGGAGCTGGAGCTGCTGCTGCTGTCGAGACACACTGGGGCTGCTGGGACTGCAGGGCGCCTGTGACTGGGCCAAACCATGCAGCTGAATAAACAAGAAAAAGAAAAAACTATTATATTTAACACAATAAATTTCAAAAGAGCCGACATGAGGATGCCGGCAAAGACAGCCAATCATAGCACATGATGATTGAAACTGCAGTTCCTCTGCACAGCCACCAGGATGCAGCGATGCTTCATCTACGACAGGTTGAGGGAGGGTCAACCAGCCGCATGCAGACTGTCTCTGCAGCACACTCAAACTGCGTCAGCACTTGCTATGCAGCCAGAATCTGGGAAAATGTGTTGCTAGAAGGCTGCAGCTCATCACTCCAAAAGAGAGAACAGCTTGTTCTCCAATCCACCACTCTCTCTCTTATTTCCTGATTACATATCAGCCTACGTCAAATACCTTTGCAGCGCTTATTCTTTAGAGGCGAGCCAGAGCCTTATTCTGCTCAGTGGGCATATCTAGCTGCTAAAAATAACTCTGCTGGAGCACTGTCTCTAGCAGAAGGGGAAGTAATAATGAGAACAATATTAATGTTCTCTCTCAAATCTACTATGAATGAAGTTAATAGAGTCTATATCTGGCTGTTATAGATTCACCTGATTCAGGGCTTCTCGTGCTGGTAGGCTGCTCTGTCTCTGGACGTCTCCTCCACCCACCTGTCTCCCTCCAGCAGCAGAGGAGGAGCGGCCCAGCCGCCCCACTTCTGTAAGGAGACAAACATTAGACTGGGTGTCTTCTAATGAGCGCTCTCTGTAATATACATTTTTGTTTCAAAAGAGATGCTTGTTTTGAATCAGTTTATCACATAGATACATTATCTTGACATTTGATTTCAACTTATTTAAATAGATGGTAATGTGTCATTTCCACTTTTTTGAAATGATTGTTTATGAATAATTCAACAAAATAAGATCTCTGTTCTATTTTTTACTTAATTGTTTTTACAAAAAAAGGTGTTCAACATAACTGACAGAAGTGATGAAATCGAGTCAAGTTTTACAGTTTTGCATAAGCGCAGTTTGTAACCTTTCACTGATAAATGTCACATCACTTAAGTTGCTGACAGGCGATATAGACTGCACCTTTCTGTATCAGTACTAAGTTCATAACACTAAATTAAATAATAAATATTGACAAAATGTCTCAAAATCAACATTATAAGTACCAAAAACAGGATGAGGGCTCATGAATGTTTAGAAAAATCCTTCTTTTCAGTAGAAGAAGATGTAATGGAGGCAGAGCTGGTGGCCTTGTTATGACAGTCAGGGGAGAAGAGGACATAGTCTTCACTTCTGGAACATTATTAAAGTTGCATTTGATGTCAGACAAGGACAAAAAAAGGAGTACGATTTCCAAGTCGGCAGAAGAATCCCTGTGAAAATCCACAGCCGTAGTTCCTCTCTAAATATGGTGTGGTTAGAGGCCATGACTAAAAGATGTGCGTTTTTTTGCTTACCTCCATTTCGACAGGCAGGGAACGTCTGGCAGGGAAGAGGCAGACCCGCTCTGGGGAGCGCTCTGAACCCAGGGCTGCCGTCCACACCGGCCAAGGACTCGCTGTGACCAAGAGCCCTGCTGGTGGCACCGCTGAAGTGGACTGGGATGCCTGAGTGTCCTCCTCGAGACCCCATGCAGAGGTCCTCCTTATCCATTCTTAATAAAGCATCTGCGCTGCCATTCCACGCCCGGCCTTCATCCTCTGAGACAGGGGAAGGAACAAAATGAATATTTTAAAGTCGATTCAACTTTAAAAAAAAACCCATCAAAAGCAGGTTGTGTTTGCATTTTTATAAAACGACTTCTGACTTACTCTCTGTCTCTCTGGTCCCATGGCTGAAGGACAGTTTCCTCGGCATAGGCCAGTAAGACCCCTCATCTGCAGCTAAGCTCGCGCTGCTGTCCCATGGCATGAAGCCAGCTTTTGAGTGCGACCCGGACCCTCCATTACTTTTGGACGTCCCTTCAACGCCCGTAAGACTCAAAGGCTGCTGCAGGGACGGTGTGTAGGAGCTTCCTCTCAGGCTCTCGTAAGCCGGCGGTCTCCGGAATCCGCCGGATGGGTAGGTCCACAGCAGGGGGCTGTCCGAAGACGGGGGCTTGTACGCTGGCAAGCCGTGAGGCGTGTGAGAACGAAGATGAGGGCGGGAATGAGGACGCTGGGAGGAGGATAAAGGCGTAGGGGTGGAGCTAGTGCCACTTTGGGAAGATGAGGAGTGAGTGTGCTCAAGCGGTAAAGAGTATGGACCCCCATCGCGGTCTCGATCTCGGTCCCTGTCTCTGTCCCTCTCTCGGTCCCTGTCCTTCTCCCTTTCTCTGTCCCTGTGTTTTTCCCTTTCCCCGTCCCTGTCCCTGTCCCTGTCCCTGTCCCTATCCCTAACCCTGTCCCTCTCTCTATCTCGGTCCCTGTCCCTGTCCTTATCCCGATCCTTGTCACGCTCTCTGTCTTTCTCCCTCTCTCCTTTGTCCGACTTCAACAGGAAGCTGACCGACTTGCCTTCCCTGCCCGTACTCGACGTCTGGGTCTGAACCGTGGCCTGGTTCGACGACTGAGAGCCGCTCTTGCTGGGGACAGGGGAGTCTCCCCTGTCCGGCTTGCGATAGTGGTGGTAGTGCGAGGGTCGATGGTGAGGGTGGTGGTGGTGATGGGAGTACGGGGAGGTGGATTTGGAGGAGGGCGGCAGAGGCGTGGAGTGGCTCCTCGCTCTCAGGCCGGGGGCGGGGCCTAGCTGGGAGTCTCTGCTGTGTTTATCCTGCTGGTTTGCACTTCCTGAAGATTCCTTGGACGCAGAAACATTAGAAGAAGAAGTGGAGGAGGAGGTGCTGGCTTGAGCTGTCCCACTGGACGTTTGCGTTCCCGATTTGGCGGAGGACGATGACTTGTTTTGAACACCGACCCCACTGGAGGCTGCGGCCGGCTGAGGAAAGGCAAGCAAAGGTGGGCGGTGCTGTAAAAGATTTGGGAAAGGGGCTGGGATTTTTGTGTTGGATTCAGGCTCAGATTTACTCCCTTGCAGCAGGTAGGGAGTAGGAGCTCGCGGGGTGTGCGGACTGGCGGAGAGGACCTGTGGGACCGGGGTTGAGGACGCAGAGGAAGGCAAAGGAGACGAATGGGAGATGGAGACGGTGGCTTTGGGTTTGGAGTAGGAAGGGGAGGAAGAAGAAGGGCGGGGCAGAGAGGAGGAGCTATTGGAGGAGGACGGAGTGACGTGAAAGTGTTTCGAGGTTTTGAGTTTCTCGTGTTTCTGAGGGAGGTGTCTCTGGGAGTCTCTGTCCTCATGCAGCGGGTATTTCATCTCCTCGTAAATGGCCTCGCTCTGATCTGAGTCAGAGTCTGGCGTGGTGGCCACAGGGGTCACAGGGTGGGGGGTGGCTGTCTGACTGTCTCTGGTGAACACTTGGCCCACCATCTCTATATAGACCGGCTCATCGTCGCCGTCTCCCCGGATCTGACAGTCCCCCCCCTGGAAAGGCAGGGATGCGGCAGAACCAGGCACACGTGGAGGGAGAGAGTCGAACGTCAGCTGGGTGCTGGGACTTCTCTTGGGCTTTAAAGGAGGCACCTTCTTAGAGCTCATCTCCCCAGAGTCAGACTTCTTCATGGCTGCAGGAGAGGAAAAGCAAAAACAAACATGTCAAGATAAAGAACATTTTCAACGTGGAATATGAAACTGAAAACTAATTTACCATTTTTCTTCTCTGAGTGTTTGCCCTGCGAGTGAGAGGACACAGACGGTGGCGGCGTCTCCGGGAGTCCTCGGCCGTCAGCGGATGAAGAGCTGAGGCGAGTGCTCGGGTGACGTTTGGGCTTGGCCGGCGGGCAGCGGCCGCCGTGTTGCGATTGGGTGTCAGAGTAATCTCCGTTCTCCAGACTTGTGTCCCCTGCGCCGACAGCGTGGCAGGACTGTGAGCGTGGCGCCATGGCGGAGGCACAAGAGTGAGGGGACAGGTCCTGGGAGGCGGGCATGGTCATGAAACCCATCCGGAAGTGGCGGCGGAAAGAAGCCAAGTCTCGAACTTTGCCGACAGTGGCTGAGGGGTCGTTTTGGGTCGAGCTGTAGTTTGAGAGCGGCAAGAGAAAAACGATATTGAAGTAAATATAGTAAGGTCCAAAACATTCATGAACCTCTCTTTATATTGACCTCCCTCTCCCCTCACTCTCTCTTCAAACATCCCCTTTGCAATAAAGAAATGCCTGCAGGGCTTTCACTGCAAAACGGAAAGCCCTAAAGACTCCTCCGTCTTTAATATTTTCGTATATCTTTCCATCTGAATTCCTCCACATCTGCTTCCCCCTCAAACACATTCAATTAGGAAAATCAATTCCCCTGTCAAAAACAAAGTGCTCTTAGTCTTGTTCACTGTGCTGCTGGATTCCCTTTTCTTTTTTTTTTTTTTTGCTTTATATCTTCATATCCTCAGCCCACATCAGTAGTCTGTCCTCATGATTGCCAAAAGCATTTAATCCGTTGCCATGGGAACAGTTGTGATTTTCATGTATTTTACAGTTTTTCTTTGAAAGCCTTTATGAAACGAGCTGGAACAGCAAGAAATTAAACTGCCAAAGAGACACATCTAAAACAAAATACTGCAGTGGTTTACCAAATGATCAATTAAAATAATGAACAGTCTGAAGCGTTAACCTGCTCTGACTCATTCTGATAAAGGTGTTACTCTCTGCCTTTATTTCTTTAATACTATCAGATCAAAGTGACACCTGTGACATCACTGGCATGTCTTTTCACAAAACAGTCTTTTTTGTGGCTTAAAAAAATCAAACTCCATAATTTAATTTCATTTAGTTATCAAAGACGTTACAATTACCCAACAATCAAATCAGTAAAATACATGATTTCTAAACTCTGGATGGTAAACAAGACTAAAACGCAAAACCTAAAACAAGTAGTTTTCGAGCAGTTTGAGGTCAAGCACAGTTCAGGCATCCGTGACAGCTGTTCGTGTTGTTGACATAAAACTGTGGGGGTACGATGACCTGCTGGGTTCTCTAAAGGCTTATTAAATGACTTCGGATAAAGCTCAGCTTGCTCCTTCGCTTTCAAGAAAGGTGCTGCGATGATGTGGAGATTTCCCAGGGGTGTTACGCTGCTTCACCCCACAGTTACACACGATAAGCCCCTGGCCTTTACGCTGGCGGTTGTCGATCGAACAAGGTTGACTTACTTTCCAACAGTTTGGGTGTAGGTGGAGCAGCAGGAGACTTTTTTGTTTCTTGTATCAACACGACGATCTAAACTAATGTCAGAAGAGAGGTGCAAATGTATGAAAATGTTTTAAATGGAAAAACAGACTCCTGATGGATATAAGAATTTACTGCAGAGAAACGTGAGGAAACCACAGCTACATGAGGATGAGTTATATTTTAGGTTTGGTGCTTTAACACATCTGTATCTTCCCATTTCATTTGCAAAAAACATTTGTTTCTGAGTGAGCCAACACAAAGCTCCCAAGCAGGATTATTCTGTGTGTCGGAGATTCATCAAAGGGCATATTGGCAACATATGACTGTGGGTCATGCTGTGCTCCTTTTAGATCGGTTAGGATCCCTTTGAGGCAGCGAAGCAACAAAGAAGACAATCGGAGCTTACAATTTACGGTCAACATGACAAGCAGCAGAAGCAGAACTAAGGGCGCTCAGCAGTGAGAAGACGAAGGCTCCTATTTTATTACCACTATGTCTGAAAGCGCGTTATGTGGGTGTATGTATGTCTGAATAATATTCTATGTGGAGTACAGCCAGAGAGAGGATTTTGCATCTGAACGTGTATGTTGTGTCCTTGAATGCCGGTTGAGACGCTCTTGTGACTCCTAACAATCGACATACATACTACAGGTCCAAATATAGCCCAGAACAGAGGCTGAGCAGCTCCTCCGGGTAGCCTCCAGTGCTCTGTCTGTGTTTCTCCTCCTTCTTGGGGCAGTCGAAGCTCTGAACATCTTCAAAACCAAGGCCAAAGACTCGGCTCTTCAAAAAGTATCGGGACTCTTATTCACTTCTCGTTTCTTACCACTTTACATGGTGTACTGTATCTATGGCGACAAGAACTAAAATCTGCAGTTTGGTGAATATCCTAATCTGTTTTCCGAGAAGAAGAAGAAGAGGTCAGAAGTCTGTTTGCTTAATGTGGAACATAAGCTAACAGCCTGTTCGGTCAGCAGAGTTCAAAAGAACGGGAACATTTGAGTACTGTTAGCTTATCTTTGTTGAAGACATCTAAAAATCTCTCATATTAAGGAGTAAGGATGTAAAGATGAATCGTGAGAAATCGATTCAAAGGTGTCAAGATTCACGTAGATACTCTGAAAAATTAATCGCAGTAATATCGTGAACGTCAGCAGCTGTAGAGCACGATTTTGAAATTTGGAGGTGTGGAAGCATTTTGGCTTCTCCAAGACAGACGAGACAAAAACTGTGTGCAAACATTGCAAGAAGACGGGGAACTACGCAAATAACACAACCAACATGATGCAGCATTTACTCGACACCACAACGAGAAGCTCCAAACATCTCCCCTTGTTGAGAGAAAATAAATATAAAAAGTCCAAACCACACAGACAGGCGGGTCTGCAGCCCCTAAAGGACTCTTTTTCAGTCATCATTTGTCTTCAGTCTCATTTTGTGAAAAAAATCGTGGCTGGTATCGTGAGTTGAGTGAATCATTACATCCCTATTAAGGAGTTTAACTAACAGTGGTGGGTCCAAACATCGATACAGTAAAGTATTGTTCTCTTGACTTGTGAGATACAATTATCGAGTAAGGCTGACATAATAAGGCTGACAGCGGGATAAAAGAAGAAGACAGAGGGATAATGTTAAACAGCAGTGGATAGAAGTTTAAGGATGAAACATTTGCAGTAAATAAAAACATGAATCCTGCTGTTTAACTTTTCAGGAGCATTTCATTCTTCAGTTAATCCGATATTGTGATATTTCAGCAGGCTATATGATTGTCATACAATCATTTAATAACCGCAGAATTGCTGTATTGTAAAATGTTGTGTCTTCTCTTCTCATAACCTACCAGGAGTTACCCTTCGATTTCCCCTCCTGCAAACTAAAAACTTGGAGTGGTGGAAAGAAAAAAGTAAGGTTTCAGAGTGTGTTAATGTGGGACTATTTCTCGGCTGGGAGCAGTGACTTTGGTTTCCTAGCAGCTTGATGACACTAATGATCAAGAAGTAGTTCTGTGAACAAAGAAACACTGAGAGTTAATGAGTTTTTTTACAACCTAAAAAAAAGTCAAACTCTCTTTTATTGTTTTGTTTTCCACAGTAAGAAGACTGTTGTGCTATGCGCTGTTTCAAAGAAAATGTGTTTTAGAGAATTGGTTGAACTTTAATGCAGATTGAAAGCTCTTATGTATAACAGATCTGATCTGCTGTGAAATGTTTACAATCACCGGATCTGATATGCTGCTAAGAATGACCATTTAGTTCTCAGCAATAGAAATATTACATGAAAGTTTCAAAGCTTACACTACTAATCTCATTTTCTGCATAAATACAAATCATCAATTATTCCTTATGAATGTAACTCAAGAAAAAAAAACCCACACTGTTTGCTGAAATTATATTTTACATGTACTCCAGTAATTTTACTAGAAAGAATCTGAAGAAATTGTTCATCTGTGACTCTTAAAAAAACGAGGAGGTCATCTGCTGCTCCTCTGAACAGCACCTTTCTTGGGTTTATCCTTGAGCAGATTGAATGCCTCCTCCCCCTCCTCCTCCCCCTCCTCCTCCTCCGAGTGGGAGATATTCCCAAAAGTTTAAAGGCTGTGGTGTTAAAGCTTTAGCTGAAGAAATCTAGTTAGGAAAAATCTGCCCTATAGCAGCTACCGTCCTAATTCTAATTTACATTTTTGGGGCAAAGTTTAAGAGCGGGTCATGTTTAAACAGCTGAATGAGACTTCCTGTGTATAATCGTGGGGAATATCCAATCTGGTTAAAGGGCATATCAGAGCAGTTAAGTCGTCTCTTGTTGAAGTTTTAGATGGGTTAAGGTTGAGCTGTCCTCATTCTGTTGGACCTCATTGACATATCTGATACATTACACGACGCTGTAATTGATTGCCTTAAGTCATGGGCTGTCTCCAGCATGGATTCTAACTCATCCAGAAGAACCAGAAAGAAAATGGCATAGAAAGTGAAATTGAGCGAGGGGTTTGACTACAAACAAAAAATTAAATCTTTGTTCATTGATTCCTCTGACAGTATAATTGTAGGATTGTTTGAAACCCTATACATTCACCCTTACATCTGGCACGTCCAGACTTCTTTGACCAGGGTGACCCAACTGGGGCACTGACTTATGCAGGGGTGGCCTAAAATGTGTAACACAAGATAAGGGCATTATCTTAAAATTTGAATGAAACAAAAATGAAATGTATGCTCAAAGTCAGAATTTAAAGTACTTGCATGCACACTCCTGTAAAAAAAAACATTGAATGGAAATGTTTTAGTCCTGACGCATCGCCAGTTAGTTAATTACAAGTTAGACAGAGTGCACTACTTTCCTATGAACCTGTTTTATGAAATAGATGTGAAAATGATTTACATTGAAGGTTTACAAGAACACTGGGGGGGGGGGGGGGCAATGCCACCTCTCGCCAACCCTCTGGCACGCCCCTAACGAGTTGCCATAACAACATCCCTGTGTGTGATGTGAATGACACAAGAGGTGAAACAAACACAAAAAGATTCCCCTCGTCATTTCATAAACTCTATTAATAAAATCATGTCCAACTTTCATTATCCTTTAATTAGACTATACAAGACTCAACTTAATTAAAACAACTCTCTGAATAAAAATCTATTTATCCATAATTTGATTTATATAATGAATACTTTTCTTATAAACATAATTGTATGATGAGAATTTAAATGGCCTTATTGAATGTTGTCTACTGAATTGCTTTCAAAAGGGGATCTGCTGGGCTTTATAAGTCCGCTGTTTATCTGCACACTGGACACTCAGACCCATTCACTCTCCAAGAAAATGATAAAACCTCAGCTGGCTGAAAAGTTTTCTTCCCCCGGTGGTCACAACTGGGAATAGTCTTTTTGTCTGTCTAACAAAACGTCTCTATTTTTAAATCTCGCACTGAAACTCACCTATTTACAATTCTATATCTCCACAGTCGTCTCTGCTTTATAAATGTGACTTCTCTCCTGAGGCCTACCCCTGCCCGTCATCCTCCTTATTCTCCTCCTGCCTCCCTCACTCTCTCCCTCCTCTCTGAAGTCGTGCCTGGTCCGTTTGGTTTCCATCCTTTCCTCCCTGTGTGGTTTCCTCCCTGACCCTCTCCTGTTCACAATCATCGCTGGTCATGTCCTGCTTCTCACCTCTGCTGCTCTGGCTCAGCCCGGCCCTGTTTTCATCGCTCATCGTGCCCCTCTGTCCCACACGGTGCCCTACAACTCCACTGGCTCGCTGCTGCTGCCGTGGCGTTGATCTCTGCTGCCAACACAGGCGGCTCTCCAATTACCGCTGTGAGTCACAAAGCACTGGATGACGCTTCTAAACAGACCGAATTTTTTTTGTATTTTATTTTCCCCCTCTTTGTGTCTTTGTGTGCAGCCTGGAGTTTGGGGAGTTAAAGGTGACTCACTTCTGAACAGTACGTCTCTTCTCTGTCCCCGGATCACACCCTCAGACACACAAGATCACTCATTCAGGGGCACCCACACACTTTTAGAGACAACACTGTCATGACCGGCTCACATACACAGTGTGATGATGTTATGTTGCCGACACCTAGAGTGCTCGAGTTAGTCCTATCGTCTTTTATTAGTTTGATTTGATGCTTGATTGTCTTTTAGCATGTATGTGCAAATCATGACTGAATAAATGAGAGAAAATGAGCCTTAAATCATCTTAGAATATACTATTGTTTTTATTATTCATATTACTGACAAGACCAGCTTGTAGTCTCTGTTGTGACTGATTTTTTTTGTTGTTTTTTCATTCTGCTCGGAAGAGAGAAAGAGGACCAGAAACACCAGAAATCTGTCCCCTAATAGAAGAGAAACAACAAACTGCAACACATTCACAAACAACTCTTCAGTCCTTATGAAGGGCGAGGATTACAAGTATTCAAATATGTTCAGTTTTACAAAAATTTCAATCTCTGCTGTGCTCAAAATCTCTCTTTTAGCAACCGTAAGCAGAACGGTATCATCATCAAAGTGTGCTTAAACTATATGAATAAGGTATTTGTGAGTGTGATATTATTACATAACTGGATGCATTAATGCTTATGTGGCATTTTACTGTTAAAGCGTGTACACAGTGGGTAGTTCTGTGGGGTATTTTAGTCCAGCGGTCTCCAAAGGGTTACAAGGTAAAGGTGAAGAGGTCATGATTTGAATAAAGGAAGTTCTGCTTTATACATTTAAAATGATTGTTTTAAACTCTTTCCCCTATCTTAGATTGTTAGTGCAATACATGAAACAACTTCATCATGTCTGAAATATAACAAGCAGCTAACTAGCAGTATCTCTTATGTCTTTTCTAAATTTGTTCTGTAGATGCGTACGTAGTGTTTAATGACAAAAAGAATCTCATCCTGCTTCTTCAAAGGTATCACTCACTTAACAAAATGATGTTTCTGAAGGGAGCAGTTCTTGCTCTAATACTTGGTCTTCAACTTTCCACGCAGCAGCAGATTCAGGCTTTAAACATTACTATGAAGACAAGTAATCAATCTTGGTGATTCTGTTCATACAGAGGCGGCAGTGTTTAATTCAGTCCATTCATATTTAATAAAACTCCTCACAGGAGTGTTTAACTAAGTGGATTATTCTCTTCTGGCACTTATATCCTGCTTTGTTTTTATCAACCGGCAAACAACCATCTATTTTATATCCTTATCACTTCATGTGAGCCAATGACCCACATTCTCTCACAAACTGCAGTGAATTAAAACTACTCGTCTCACTAAAGTTTAAAGGTTAGACTCTAATTAAAGTTTGAAATGAAAACACTAAATATTCACATATTTAGTGTGAATTAAGATAAATGAGGCCTCAGCAGCTCTATCTAATTTCCCTTTTCTTGTGGCTCTGTTTTGCCCTTTGACACGTTGGCTGATATCATAGTACTTTATCTCCTCCACAGAACATATTCACTGTATTATTAAAGCCTTGCTATTTGTCCAGCACTCTCTGAGCAAACTACTAGAGCTCGACCGATTAATCAGCCAGCCGATAATATCAGCCGATATTAGCAGATCCAGTGACTAATTATCGCAGATATTACTAGATTTATTCACCAGTCAGAAAGAGCTTTACACTAGCAGTTCTCTTTCACCAACAAGGTGTGCTGTATGGATTACAACAAACATTATCGCTCTCCAGAGGGTCAAGCGGTGATGCACGTACATGCACAGTTAATTTCCAGTCAAGTAACCATCTTTATCTTCTACAAGTGTTTGATAACTGCATTTGAGGGATCCACACGACGCATTTATCTATCTCTACAGATGGAAGATAGATCTAAGGAAGACATTGGACGCTATATCGGCATCTGATTTTTCTTTCCCTAACATCGATATCGGTATCGTACCCAAAAAAAATCCCATATCCGGCCGTACTTTCTACCTTCCTGGACTTTGGCTGGAAGACAGATTTGAAATGTAAACTCAGACAGGCTAAGATTTACATCCCTGCTAAAGTGAAGCCCACTGTAATCTCATACATGCAGAGCTCCTGAGCTCTCATCCTCTCACCTCTTTTTACTTCCCTCCTGGTCCCTCTGCCTCCAGTCCAAACGGCTCTTACGATACAGCAGGTTCATGTCGCTGCGGGGTCGCTCCTCCTCGCAGCCTATCACAGCGCAGTGCAGCCGCTTGCTTCGCCGCTCTATGTCACGCAGGAAATGCTCGACTGCCACATCCTGGGCAGAGCCAGAGCTCATGGTATAGAAGAAGGGACGTATGTCACAGGCAGCCTCCTCAAACTCACCTAAACGAGAGGAAACAAGGGGGGGGGGGGATGTTTGAGTTCATTAATCATTAAAAAACATGTTGAACAGCTTCCCAGCCTACTTTCAACCGACTTGACTGACAGTGATTGCTTTGAGATGTGGTGACGCTCTATGAAACCCAAATAAACAAACCCAAATTACTGTCAGAACTTCAGGGGAGTCCGTGCTCATCATGCTCAGTGTGTCATCGTGCACAACCCCGGCCCATTACTCCGACTGGCAGCTTTCAGAGCAGAGACACAGTGATGCATGATGATGCAGGATGCAGTTTTGTTTACCCCCACCTCTAGCATATCACATGAAAACTATTTATATTTTCATTATCCCGTTATGAATATTTGAGTAAGCATGGTAACTCAGCTGTGCAGCGTCTCTGGCTGCGGGCCCTGGGATGGCCTAGCTAAGCCTGTCTGCTAGCCAGACAGTAATGTGGTTTGTCATATGTAGCGCATGCACAGCTTCCAACTCACGCTCAACCCATGAGGAGTCAGGCTTGTTGTGGGGCAGATATCGGAGAGACCAACTGTGTTTTCATGTTGCAGAATGTGTATGTGCAACGCAATTGGCCAAGAAAAGCGCAGCTGTCAGCTGATGCACGTTTGCAGTGTTTTTCCATCATAGATAGTAACAGTTTGGAGGTTTCTCATTGGTGGACAGTGGGAAATCAACATCAGGGCTTTTGGCAAAATTAGTTTGTTTAACCAAAACTGAATTTGTCACTTCCTATTAGATGCTTTAAGCTTAAGCTTCCTATATGTGTGTTGTGGGCACACATAAGAGATGTGTATCTGTACAGGGGTTAACAAAAGCCGCTACAAGGAATTAAGATCGTGCTCTTCACTTTGTGCTTTAAAAAAACCCATTTAAAAATAAGTTCTCAATCTTTATTTGTAGAGACCAATTCAAAACAAATGTTATGACCGAACTTTTTGTCGTACTATTTACAAGGACCCAAAATAATCCTTCATGAGCACAAAGTTACAGCGGTGAGGAAAAACTTCCTTTAAGAGGCAGAAACCTCGAACAGAACCGAACTCATAATGAACAGCCGTCTGCTGAAAGTGTGTAAAGGCCGAGAGGGGATAGATGGAGATGCAGAATATACAATATAAAAGAGGTATGACAATTATTGTTTACAAAAAGTTTGAACTTCTTGTTTACGGCTTGTGGAACTTTTGTTTGTTTTGTCATTTGGATGTTCTAATCTTTAACTTTAAGTAAGCTTTTTATTTTTTATTTACGTGGTTTGTAGGGATGCAACAATGCATTGTTTGAGCATCAGCATCAGTCGATTACTCGCTCTGTTGACAGAAATTGGCCTATTGCTAAATAATATGACATGCGTTGATGTCAGTAACCAACGTGTATCTGTTAAATGCTGGAGAGCTAGGATACATAAATGCTGATTCAGCGTTTAGGGCAGAGGAAGTCACCTGTTGCAGAAACTATGCCGTAAAAAAAAAAGGGGAGAAAGGGTGGCGTGCACACACGTTATTTGTTTTCATGGTCAAATGTGAAAGTATATGGTGACAGTGTGGGTGTGCTAGACTGTCGCTCAGTTTGTAAAACATGTTCCAGTGACATTTCAAGAGCTGGGACTACAAAAACAAATGTAATACATCAAATCTCATTGCTGATTTCAGGAGCAGACATTAGAAGAATTATGAAGAAGTAATGGAAAAAACCAATATGTTAGCAAGCACTTAAATTATTTTAAACATCTATACAGTAACAGGCTCTGATTATGATTCATAGTTTATTGCATAACTTAAGCTCAGTAAAAGGGCTGCCTATAAATTCATGTTTTATAGGTATAATAGGAGAAAGCTTTTCTCTTCGGGGGATTTCATTTCATTTCATTTATTTAATCCCTCCATGTAGTTTATTTAAACTTCTATCTTTGGCTATATTGTTAATATCAGGCAAAATTAAACTAATACTAATACTAATGGCCCAAATGGCTTTGGTCTCCTGTTTAACAAGAAATAAAACCCAACACTGAAAAGATTACACATCAAATGACGTTGTCTTCTTGGAACTTTCAAAAATCACATGAAGCTGCATGTGAATCCAGTGTAATGAGCTCTGAAATATGCTTTTATACTCCTTGAGCACGCACCATAAAAAATACATGACATGAACAATATCCTGCAGTGTTACAGCTCTTTAAATTCTTTATACATTCAGGACCATTTAAACCACATTTGCCCCCAACCGCACAGCAAAAACCTCTCAACTATCTCACCATTAAAACAAAAATCCACAGTGGGAGCATTAGGGTATGTGTGTCACCTGGGCCAGGCGGCATGTTGAGCATGTGTAGCAGTGTGTGATTCTTCTGTCCTGGCCCAGTGTGTCATTCAGCGTGTCAGCGTGTAACGTGCTATTCTTGTATCCCACAGCCCTGACCACAACCTCGACCGCTGCTGCAGACGTGCTTGCTGACTCAATGATAATTAGGTTACGGAGCTGCGACTGTAGGTTTGGCCTTCTGTTAAATGAAGCTTTGATTTGGGTTTCGAGGATCTGACAGCTGAGCCGGCCGCCTTGCAATTGCTTCATTACATGCTGTGGGTTGGTGTGCAATTAGCTGAGCTAGAAGCTAACAACGAGATCTTTGTCGTCCATCTACAGGCAGGTTTTGTCCAGTCGAAGTAGGCTACTAACATTTCTTAATGCAGTAAACGGAATAGCTTGATGGATTAATCCCTGGTGTCTCTTTAAATTTTTAATAAATTCAGAGCATTTAGCGAGTTGTTTCAGGAGCATCTGCAGGGTCAGGAGTCGCTTGAATTCCTCTCATTAGAACCAGGAGGCAGATGGAGCCATGATTCATGTCGCTGGATCTGCATGCAACCCTGCAGATCGCTACTCACTCATGCACATGAGCAAACACATCACACACATACTTAAATCCATACATGCAAAGCGCACACACATGGTGTGCAATGCAGTGATTTCAAAGGCTCAGCAGCTGATTTAAGTGGGAATACTGATGACAAGGAATTGAGATGATCATCAGCAAAATGCAAAACATGTAGGATGGTCTCTGGAGCGAAAAAGTGGAAGATTATGCACCAGAACAATTTGCTTTGACTGTTTATTCAAGATGCCTTAAGTCTTCATTCCCTGCTCCTTCTCGAACACTTCGGGAACGCGGTGTGCTGCGGCCCTCTGCCACTCAGCCTCCACCTCATCAAGAGGTCCTGTGGTGTTGCCACTCCTCACTGCGAGTGAGGCGGGAACGCTGCAGAGGAGCAACACTTTGCAGGTCAGGGCCGGCCTTGACACAGACGCAACATTTATATATGAAACCTGCTCACAATGCGCATTTGACTACTTTAGGGTGTCTGTGTTTTGCAGAGATCCACAAAAACTGTGAATGGATACAAGATATTTTAACAACCTGCCTCCATTTTGGTTACAGAAAAAAACACTACACCACTACATATAAACAGTATGTACTGTATCGGCGTTTAAAAAGCTGCTTGAATGACAGAAAATCGATGAATAAGAGCAGCTAGAACATCTTGTTCGTTCTACACACTATCCCCTTTCTTCTGCATATCCAGTCCTCAGACTCATGTGCTCCAACATATAACAGGATATTCACAAGTGTATCCCTCCAAGCCTGAATTACTTAGCAAATAAGCACAAATCAACTTTGTAACTTATAAGGGGGAGGGAAATCTGCAGGACTTGTGTGAGTAAAGGATGTTTATGTCTCATATTATCAATCACATCTGTTCTCTTATTTTAAATACGCAAAATACTCTTTTAATATTTAGGTTTGTGCAGTTTTCTCCCTGCTGCAGTTCAGCATCATAACTCGACCTCGAAGCTGCACCATATAATTCACGTTATATCTGCACTGAATGCAGACACACAGTGCTGCAGTTCAGCCAGAGAAGCAAACAGAAGCGAAGGAGAGAGGAAGAAGCAGCATAAGAAGATGGAGCGATACGTTGAGGAGAAGAATGAGCAGCTTGAGGAGAGGAGGAGGAGGAGGAGGAGGAGGGAGCGAGCAGAGATGGGAGGGGGCGCCGTAAAAAAGAACGAGGAACCCAGTAAATAGAGAGTCACTGAGGGTTCAACGGGGCTGAAGATAAATATGATAAGGCAGAAAACATACAAGCGATCAAAGGGAATATCGAGGCAGGGGGATATGAGAGAGGAGGGAACAGGCAAATGGAGGCTTGTGTGTTGAAAAACAGTGAAAAGAGGCAGCCAGACTACAAGAATGGGGGAGGGAGGGAGGGAGGTGAAATCAAGCCTCTCACACTAGTCGCTGTGTGTGGTCTCCTAGCAACACTGTCAGCCATGCATCTCTCCCTCAGCCTCCTGAATATGCACAAAGACGGACGTCAGCCTCATCACACGTGATGATCGCAGGGTGAAAACTTCACCGCCGCTTCATTTGCACCTGATCCTCCAGATCCATACTGCATCTTTAATGGAGATAGCATCTGCATCCAATGGCAGCCATACTACCCAGCTGTATGGCTGATGACGTAAAAAGCTCCACGCTGCACATTGTCCAGACGTTACATAGGCTGCTAGTCAGACATAATGCTTCTAAACAAAAGAGAAATGAGACTTTACGCACCCGAAGGAGGAGTGCAAATTTGAACTTCTATTATTTTCTTTGTCTGGTTAACCAATTATCTTATTCAGCTGCAAACCTTGATATGAGAATATGTTATTTTGCCAGGAAATCCAGTGTGCATGTTTGTATATTTACGTGTAATCGCCCGTCACAGAAGGAAAAAGGATGTTGACATGAAATATATATCAGTGTGCTGGAGAGGCTGGAGAATATCTGCATCAGCTGATAATATTAAAACAGAAGGTCCGTGAAGTAACAGCTGATTCCTCTGAAGGATCTGTAATATGGTTTAAATCTCTGATCTGGTAGCACACGGTCGTCAGTTTCTGCTCAAAGACAGACCTTCACATGTGTTTAAACAGATAATGAGCG